TCCATACCATGTTTCCAAATCACGAAGGTGTCATCCACGTACCGGAACCACGTTGCTGGCTTGTACTCTGAGGTCTCGATCGCTTTTTCCTCAAAGTGTTCCATAAATAAGTTGGCTATAACCGGGCTTAGTGGGCTTCCCATTGCCACTCCGTCCCTTCCACACGAATAGCTACCGGTCAGACAGACTTCAAAAAGTTTGCAAATATCGACAGGAAATATCCTGTTCACCAGGTCCAAGCAACTCTTCAGAGGTACTTTGGTAAACAGTGAGACAACGTCGAAGCTCACAAGGATGTCGTTTTGTCAATATTGATATCTTGAATCTTGCGCACGAAGTCGGTGGAGTCCTTGATGTAACTGGTGCCGTGTCCTACGTGTGGTTGAAGCAGCGATGCCAAGTGTTTAGCCAAGTAGCCCTCCACCAATCGGCATAAATACAACCTGCGCAGGAGAAATCGTCAGTCTACGTCCAACATCGGAGATGGAAGGACCTCTGAAGAAGCTCGCCACACGTGCTAGCGAAACGTTAGGAAGTAATTCCAATCGACGACGGCCTTTAAACCCGAATGAAGATAATAGATTATCCAATAATTTCTTACACAACTTCGTTACATTCAATTGTCGGTATCAGTCTGTATTGTGTTTCTGTTTGTATGTCTTAATCTTGTTGCTATCATTCATATATAAAGGTAACATTTTAAAATAATAATATAATTTAAAATTACAAAAATATTTTTAAGCCTTTTTACAGTGGGACGATATCAAATGAATCGGTTTCGAAAATGTTTCGTTTACGATGCTCTAACAAATTAATCAACTTGTAAAGTCAAAGAGTGCAACACATCAATAAAAGGAAATCATTCAGGAAACTTGCAGCGACATGTACAATTTTGTCATGAAGACATTTTTGCTAACTATCCCACCTACCACAGATGAAGAAGAAAATAAAGAATGATGTATAAAAAGAAAATGAAATTCGAGAAAATGAAGAACAAGAAAATGGAAGTAATGCATTTATTACGAAACTAGATGCTTCCATAAGTGACATTGCCACAAATTCCGGCTGTAGCTGTAGTAGTCTACGAAATATAAGGTGTGCAGCACATACATACTTAGCGATTATAGGTAGAGTTAGAACTTTGACTAAAAGATTAAGAAAAATAAATGTTTTAACTGTAATTAAAACAATGAAACTTAAGAAACCTACTGTAGATTGTACGACATGATGGCACAGCACCCATGATATGTTGGAAAGACTCTTATTATTGAAAAACTTTTGTAGAGACTTGGCCGGGAGCACTGAGGAGCTATATTCAAGCGAAAATGATTGGTCAGATATACAAGACATCTGTAACATTTTAAATCTTGCGAAAAAAACAGGAAAATTATTCCAAACGACGCATTTATTGGCTGGAGATTTTTATTCTGCCTGGCTGAAGTGTAAAATGCAAACAAGTAAAATTTGTGGCCGATTTTCAACAACTTTAGTGTAATCCCCAAACAAAAACGAAAAAGCACTCATCAAGATATAATTATGTCAGCAATATTTCTTGATTCAAGATTCAAAGTAGTTTTATCTACTTCACAAATTGACATAGCTAAAAACTACATCTCAGATGCATGGGATGCTCTAAAAAATATAAATGAAAGTAACTACTTCGTTGAAGAGTCATCTCTAGAGTCAACTTCAACAGAAGAAGTTGAAATAGAGCAATTTTTAAAACAGAAAGAAAATATTTCTTCAAAATCTCATAATACAGCAGATATTCGACGGTTGTTAGATCGCTATTATGAAGAACAGCGCGAAAAGCGAGATACGGGCGTCTTAAAATGTTGGGTAGCAAAAGAAACTTCATTAAATGCATTGTATAACGTTGCAAAACAAATTATTGGGTTACCTATGACACAAGTGAGTGTTGCACGAGCATTTTCAGCACTGAAATATATTTTAAATTATCAAAGGACGAATTTAGAAGAAAATTTATTGGAAGATGACTTGCTTCTTAGATTAAATAGTTACAATTAATTTTTATATAAATATATTCATATATACTAAAATTAATAATTATCCTGTAATTTACTTTAGAATATTTTTTTATTTATTTTAGAATGCTGAATTATTCATATATAGTTTTTCTATAAAATGAATATGTTAACAATTTTTTTATCTTATTTTTAATAATAATAATTTTATTTACAAATAACAAAAAATTAACCGTAACAATTTTTTTAAAATAAATAAAAGTTAATTGAAATAAAGTAATATCAGAGAGAAAAGAAACAAATATTATTATTTAAAATATGAAGCAAAAAAAAAATAACAAAATCTGTCATTGGCATACCACTAAACTGCATCATAGTTTGTGCGTGTTTTCAAGTAATTAAATTTAATGGGAATAAATGAAAGAAACTAAAACAGATTCGTGCCTCTCCAGTACAGAAACGGTCCCAAACAATTCATTCTAAATTTTATTTTTAATATTTGTAAAAAGCAAAAATGCCATCACCACTTAAAATGCAGTTGATTGAAATTTTTTTGCATTTAAGTTCTTAAATTTTCTTTTAGTAATTCTTGCCAGCTATGATTAAAATTATGACAAGTAACTTATTTGTCAAATATAAACAATAAAAATTAAAAAAGCATGTTGGCATACTTTTATTATAAAAATAGTAAAAAAAACGGTTTTAACCGTTATTTTATTTCGGTTGATGAAAACGAAAATGATATTTTTCGGGTGTGAACGAAAAGAACGAAAACGAAATTTTTCATTTTCATTCGGATCGGAAACGAACAAAATACTTGTCCTTTTTAGTCCCTGGTAAACACATTACATTGGAATTCTAATCCAACCTCTCTTACTGTCTTATTGACATAATCCAATAATATATCTTTCTCTTTTCTATTACGTTTTGGTAAGACGATGTTTTTACGGTTGCTCTATTATTAGTTGCAATAAAGTTGCTGGTAAGGTGTGTGTAATGTTTGCTCGATGAACAAATACAGTCGCCTGTAAATACCGAAAAAAATGTTCATATTGCCAAGTGTTAGTGGCGATTTGGACTTGGATCTCCTTCGTACTAAAAAAAAATAGTGGTGTCACATATTTTTTTCAAGTTTCTTTAATCTGCTCTCTTTTAACCTCTCTTACTGTCTTATAAACATAATCCTCCTCTCTTTTTAGTACGTTTGGTGGGACGATTTTCTTAAATTGCTCTAATATTAGTTGCAATAAACTTGCTGCGTAAATATCTGCAAAATGTTTGCTCAATAAACATTTATAGTCATATAGTATAGTAATATACGTAGCGGATGATCGCTTGATAAGATTGGCGGTTATGGTATATGATTAAGAATCGAATTAAGTGAATCCAGTTTTATTGTTATTTTTAAGCGGTATTATTACGATTTAGATAAGCCCGTACTCGATTTTTCCCCACAAAAAATGTTACAATGGGACAAGAAATTCACGTGTTAAAGTGACGCTTCCCGCACGCTAGATCGGTGTATAATTAAATTAAGTCTTTAAGCACTAAAACCGAAATTTGGGATTTCGTTTTTGTTTTTTGTTTGTTTTTGGTGTTATTCAAAGAGATACATAGAGGATAAAGGTCACTTTCTCGTTGAAACTTTGTGACGTCTACAAGATAGAGTTTAGAAATTTTATTTATTTTTTATTAGGAACGATGCACGACGCGTTGTTAAAATAACAAAAAAGGGTTTTTATTAAGTTTCCAATGTTTTTGATGTTTGATATTTGGGACACGATGGCGTTGAGAACATAATTTTATTGTTTTTTATTGTTTTATTGTGTTTATTATTATACATGCCATTTTTAACGTTCTTGTTGCGTTTTTTTGCTGTACAAAATGGAGCGTGCCTTTTCGTCAAAGAAATTCGACATGCTACAATGTTATAGTATATTTATGCTATAGTAACGCCGTTGAAGCTGGGCGTATGTATTTAAATAACCACCCAGAGAGTACAAACATCTAGAAATAAGGCCTGCAATGAGGAATAAGTAAATAATGCATTGTTAGCTGCAGCTGAAAATCCAGAAACCAGAAACGTCTTTTAGAAAAACAGAACGAACAACTGTAGTTGCTAAATCTACTGCTACTGCAGCGAATGTATTTCTCGTTGTTTTGCAAAGATGCAAAAACTAACGGTCGTAGAAAAAGTGTTGCATAATATACTATTACCAGCGAATTTTTGAGGCTAAGAAGACTAGGTCGTGAAGCCTTTCAAAACATTACAATAATAATATGCTAAGAAATGTTTTAAGTTCGACATTTACAAGTATTTGGAATATAATGGGGTCACTTGTTTGAACATTCTTTATAATTTAATTTTTTTGTACTAAGTTTTTATTTTGTTCGATGAATTAACATGTGTATTTTTTTTATTTTTCAATTTTTTTGGAAAAATATTGTGTCATACATCGTTGTATTCGTAAATATTAAATGCTATGTAATACATGGTGTAGATTTCTCACGGACCATATGAAAAAATAAATCTGTCATCTATCTTGTAGAGGTCGAAAAGTGGCAACGAGACAGTGACCTTTATTTTTTATCTCTTTAAATATATAATATATATATATATATATATATAATATATATAAATTTTGTTTTTTTTTAGGTATCTTCGGAATAATATCCCTTATTCTTATCTGGCAAAACCGAAATTGGCTATAAAAAGAATTACCACGGCATATATGATTCAAGCTCGAGCCAACATGAATATATGTATGATGTCCTTACATTTAAAAATTTCTAAGGTCCCATTGAAAAATGTCCGAGACTTTTGCCTTCCAAAGCTAAATCCGACGCGTTACGTGAAACGCAACGTGACTACGCCTTCTTACGTAATAACACAGTTTTCCAATCTACTCCTTTGACATTTCGATCTAAATACCGGGCGTCAAGGTCGTGGCCGCACCCCGCGTTCCTCACGGAAAACGCCCCCTCGCGGAGATGCTGCACAGCCCTTTTACTCACCGTCGGTCCCGTGGGGTTCGTCATTCTATCCTGTCGTTTGATTCGCGAATACTACTCGCGTAATATATATTCGTCTGACGGCTTTTAACTAATTACTAACCTAAACTAACAAACAAGTGAAAACGGACGCGCCGCGTATTATTTATAGTTTCGCGGGTCATCGAGATTTTCACCTCAGAGTCGGTTATCTCGTCCGCGCCGATTAGATTATCCCGGCGTCTCTTTTAGTACGACGTAAACTCGACTCTCGAACTCTACGAACCGTGCGGATTTATCAACTATGTTGGCAAACAAATAAAAAATTATTTTAGCGCGGCTTTTATTTTTCCGTGCAAAACGCAGACGTCGGTCGCCGTAGGCAACCAGACATGTTCGAGAAAATTCCGAATTTAATTTAGTTTCGCGAGTCACCGCAGGAAACCACCTCTCAAAATTTGAATAAATAATCTTTCCCGTATTTCCTTTTAAGCAATATTTTTAGCTTCCTTTTTGTTGTGTGAAAAAATTGACCTATGAAAAAATGTTTATTTAGAAGTTTTTTGTTAATTTTAACGTTTTATATAAAATATAGATATACCAACTGATTTTTAAAAATACTTGTTTTTACGTATTGTTACAACAAATTAATTGAAACAAACTAAGTATACCATTTGAATAAATGTAATACATGTTTCATTTATTAACAAAATAAATTACTGTTATATAGAATATTTTTTTATTTTCCCTGTATTTTATTTATTTAGACTGATATTGCAAAATATAACGGTTTTAAGTTGATAAGTGTTATCGTTTAGCCACAAATAGATTTTTTATTCTCGGCTCGAGTTTTTCCTATGAATGTAATTTGTAACAGGACTTAATGAACTTTGAAAAAGTCATTGCCACAATCCGTTAAAAATTAGTTTCTATTAAAGGAGCTTTTTATCCTACTACTACTGTGATGGCCCATCAGGAATGTTTAAATACTGAATATCTCGGTATGCATTTTTGGCTGCGGAAGAGCAAATGGAAATGCAGATCAAGCACGAAGGCTTTATATCGAGGATTATCCCAGTAGAAACGTTCCATCTGCTAAGAGATTCATTAACATCCACAGAAGACTTAGTGAAAGAGGATCATTCAAACCTGATAATATCAACAAAGTGAGACCAAGGTATAAAGGAACCGCCGCAATAGAAGAATTCCTTCAAAATGTGGAGGCTGACCCGTCAACGAGTACGGAAAAACTTGCTGCTCAGGAAAGAATTTCTTGCTCTACACTTTGGGAAGTTTTACATGAAAATGATTTTCGGCCCTTTCATGTTCAAAGGGTTCAAACACTGTATGATGGTGATGAGCAATTGAAAGTAATTTTATGCAATCAAATTTTAGGAAAAATTCAAAATTACCCGCAATTCTTAAATGTCATTTTGTTCACTGACGAGACTGCATTCAGGCATTGTAAATGTTCGAACAATGAAAACCCACATGCAAAAATTGACCTCATTATTTTAACGGATCACTTAATGGGGAAATGTATTTGCAATTTCTCCAAAAGGGACTACCTTTGGTGGAAGAAATAAAGTCTGTTCATAGATATAAGTAACGGGTGGTTAAATTGTAAGGGCCGATGTTGAATGTGAACCACACCTAAACGCCAAGTTTTTTTCCGAATTTTATTTGACATTTCTCTATTTCAGACTTACTCAATTTGAACCATGGAGAGATACACAATCCAACAACGTGTTAAAGTTATCCAGACTTATTATGAAAATGGGCGTTCAAATCAAAATGCATATCGTGCACTTCGTGATTTTTTTGGTCAATTTGATCGTCCAAATGTGCGTACAATCGCAAAAATCGTGAAAAAATTCGAGCAAACCGGGTCTGTAGAAGATGTGAGAACACCAGTGCATGCTCGTACAGCTCGTACTGCAGAAAATATTGCTGCTGTTCGCGATAGTGTGGCTGAAGAGCCGTCCACCTCAACTCGTCGTCGTGCCCAACAATTGCACCTCTCACGCTCGTCGTTGATAAACATTATGCATAAAGACTTGCATTTACACGCTTACAAGGTGCAATTGGCTCAAGAACTAAAGCCTCTTGACCATTCCAAACGTCGTGAATGAGCAGAATGGTGGCAAGAAATGGCAACAGTGGATGATCAATTTTCGAAGAAAATCATCTTCAGTGATGAGGCACATTTTCACCTCAGTGGATTCGTCAATAAACAGAATTGCCGCATTTGGGCGAATGAGAATCCAAGAGTGATTGTCGAAAAACCAATGCACCCCCAAAGAGTGACTGTTTGGTGCGGTTTATGGGCTGGCGGCATCATCGGGCCGTATTTTTTCCAAAATGAGGCCGGTCAGGCAGTTACTGTGAATGGTGTTCGCTATCGTGAGATGATAACGAACTTTTTATGGCCCGAATTGGAAGATATGGATGTGCACGATATGTGGTTTCAGCAGGACGGTGCCACTTGCCACACAGCTAACGAAACAATGGCTCTTTTGCGCAACAAATTCAATGGTCGTGTTATCTCACATAATGGCGATGTCAATTGGTCGCCAAGATCATGTGATTTGACACCGTTGGACTTTTTTCTTTGGGGTTATTTGAAAGAAAAGGTGTACGTCTATAAGCCAGCAACAATTCAAGAGCTAAAGGATGAGATAATTCGGCACATTAACGGCATAGAACCTCCATTATGCCTCAGGGTCATCGAAAATTTGGACCATCGGATGGAGGTGTGCCGCCGTGGTCGCGGCGCCCATTTGGCAGATATTTTATTCCATACATAATTGAGTAATACCAATATATCATAATAAAATAAAATTACAATAATTTCCTAAATAGTTTGTGTTTTATTCAAAATCAACATCGGCCCTTGAAATTTAACCACCCGTTACTTTGCTTAGAATTTAATTATTTGGGGTTTTGTTAGGAAAGATTTATGTTTACATCTAAAATAAAATTACAAATTATTTTTATTACCTACTTAAATGTCAGCATCGCTTCTTTTTTTCCTCGCCGAAATAGGATTATTCACAATTTTCGATATAGTTGATGTTGAAATTTTCGTCAATGTGGCCGTTTCTTCTAAAGATGCTTGCTTGCTGGCACCACGTTCAATGAGAGTCAAATAAACATTGTTTATAACTTCCTTAGTCTCAATAAAATAGTGTTTTCTACATTTGGGCGGGAGCATCTCCTGAGACTCGCACATATTTTGCATAATTCGCACACTGTCTTACACACGAAATAATAATGATTATTAATAAACTTAAACTAAGTAGTATACCAAATCAAAAAATATTAAACACAGGTAGATATAAAATTATTTTCTATTACGGACCATAATTTTACCTGAATTTAAGTTCCGAAACTTTAGGTAATAATCTTGTTGCATTGTATGTTAATGACCACCCTTGGATAATCCCATTCAAAAGCAATTGGTCACTTTCTTATATCTATGAACAGACCATACCCTTGCAGTGAATGTTGGCTGTAAGAAGGCATTTAAATCACTTAAAGTCTTTAGTGCATGAAACATCTACCCCAGATATCAATGATATACGACAAAAAATAATAAAAGCTTGCGAAATCATTAGAAATAGGTTAGGCGTATTTTTTCTTGTTCGGCAGCATTTTTTTTAATGTATAAGAAAATGTTTAGAAATGAATGGTAGACATCTTGAAATTTAATTGTAATTATCATTGTATACTGTTTAATTCCCGGTTATTATTAATTACTTTTTATTTTCGAAAATGTTAAACGTATTTATGTTCTTTTACTTTTTCAATTTATAACACTGTTTTGCAAAAATTAGTCCGCGTCGCTTGTAGCTTAATAAAGTATCCACTTACTTTTCCGTAACAAAAATACATATCGCGATATCCAGTATCGCCTTTCGGTAAATTAGACCGAGAATAAACAAATCGATTTGTGGCTAAACGATAACACTTATCGACTTAAAACAAGATTAACAATTTTTGAGGGTCTGTGATTCTGCTTGAGGCAGCCTGTTTTATTTTGCAATATCAGTCTAAATAAATAAAATAGAGGGAAAATAAAAAAAATGTAGGTAAAGTGCCCTCTAGTGCCAGACTGCTGAAACACTTTTACTTTGTAACGATGACTTACTAAATCAGGGCGGTGTGTAAAATACCAGCTTATCCCGTTGAGAATTAAGCCCTCTGTTTCAGAACTCAATTTCCGAGCACCCTGTACATCTAAAATAAAACTCTAGATATCGCAGGGTATTCAATTTTCATAAATGAATGTAGAATGTAGAAATTGTACATTTAAAATGCAATAATGCATGTTATTATGTGTGTTGATAAGTAAATAAGAAAAATCAAAAATTAATAAAGAAAAGTATTTTTCTATTCCCTCCTGTAAAATGCCCAATTAAACAATGATCTAACATGCGGAAATTGCTATCTTACCGCGTCTGTTTCGTTTCCCACGGATCTGAGCCATTTCGGAAAATTCTGTAATATTATCGCACGAGTTTAGGAGCAACGGATGTTTTCGGAGATTTTACCGCACGGCTTGAATTTTGACGTTGTCAGTTTTAGCGGTTATGTCAGTGTGTTGTTTTGCGAAAATGTACCCAAATTCTAATGGTCGCAGAAAAAGAATAAAACGTGTTGCATACTATACTTTTTGTACGACCGTAAATTAAGCGGATTGTGTCGAAAATTCTTTCAATGCTGCGACACCCTGTGTATTTTGTGAAAATGTTTAAGTAAATTACACTTAAAATAATTATGTTGGAGTTAATTTTACGTAGATACGGCACACAGAAACTTACTTATTTTTATTAGTTTGCTTGAAGTCCGTTTCGCTCTCTGTTTCACTCGTGCAGATATATGTTGTCACAACCTAGTTCCGAACGTTAGCACGACGCCGCTATGGCCCATATTGAAATACCGGGTTAAATTTTAGTTTACCTGGGTGTTGCAAGAAACACCCTCAGCGCCATCTATCCGCCCATAGATTAATTAGCCGTGTACCAGGACGCATCGTTGAAGTGGATTCGTTAATTCCCGATAGAGTGAGCCACAGAGAACCAATATAGAGCATGAAGAGGATGTCGATTGGAAACGAGACGATAACCGTTAGCGAATATTTTACCGCATATATGCGATGTAATTTTGCTATATTTGTCCTTTTATTATAATGCTAAATTGTTTCCGTTCGGTTCTGTGCTTAACAGTTGCTACGCTACCGAATAAAGAAATAACACATTTTTTATGGTTTGAGATTCGGGTATTACATTGTGGGCTTGGTATGAAAATCCAATATTATTCTCAGAGATTTTCGTTTTATTTCCTTTATGTTCCCCCTTATTTCCTGGTATATCGTCATATTTCCTTCATATATTCCCAATACCGCCAAATTCAGAGAACGAGAACTGGAATTCGAGATCTTTTAACAAGTCTCCGATTTAGTCATCTTCATTCATTGTATATGAATTTCTCCGTGAGTTTATCCCGGATAACAATGAAATAACAATGAAAATAAACGGCAAACAAATAATTTAATAAATAAGCTTTAAATATTTAAATGCGTCATATGTCCTGTGCGTCGAGGTATCGATTCTGCAGATCCTTGAGGACGTCCCAAAGGACCAAAATGACCACCGAATGCGGCCCCAGCCTCATGTAGTTGGCGATCGTTCCCTTGTAAAATCCATAGACACCTTCCGTTTGCCAAATTTTAAAGAAACAGTCCAAGAGACCGTCGTAGAGCAGTCCCTTACCCTGCGAATTGACGCCTGAAACAATATTCCTCATCTATAACGGATGGATAACGAACCGAAATTCCGAGGAGCGGTCTTTATTTATACAAAATCTAATTAATAGACCCGATTCAAAAAGGGAAAGCGGCAAATACAAAAATTGTTGCTAGTGCAAACGTTTAAATCTATCAGTAATGGCAGAACCGGTATCATTTTCGACTTGGCTTGTGCGGATCGCGAAGCATTAAAACGGAAAAAAGTTCCAATCAGACACACAGAGGTCATTTTTATTTATTTAGGAATTAATAATTTGTAAAAAAAATATTTCAGAAAACGTATGTGTTCGGACTTATCTGAAAGATAACATTCTATAGAATGGAGTGTCTTTGAAATTTGTTTTTTTGGTGTCGCATTTACATTTTTCTTTTCCACAAAAGTGGAACCAATATTCGACTTGTGCTCTTGCTTGAAATAGTCGAATTGTAAAATTGCGATTTCACCTGTGAAAGACTTACGTGCGCAAACTTTTCATGTTTATTTTCGTTATTTTCTGATATGTATAAACACCACAAAAAAATTAAACACTTCATACTTGGATAAGGTGCTTAGAATGTTGCCTGCATCTCTCCTACAAAATAACAATAAAGAAAATACGAGAAGATGATGAGAATAGTATCGTTAAACAGAGAAGACAGGAAATTATACAAAAAATAAGAGAAGAGTTAAATTTGCTGGTCGATATTCCAAAACAGGGTTATATCACCACTAACGACGGAAATACCGCTAGAAAGTTTTTCCGATTATATGTCATATGGACAACAATGTGTTCCGGGTATGAAATAGACGTGGACGCGTTTACCTAGTATTGCACGGCAACAGCCAATTTGTTTGTTAGGATACTCATCCATGGGCCGCAAATTATAAAAGCAGCACCTCTCCCTATTGGAATGTTTTCGAAAGAGGCACTTGAATCCCGCAATAAGGATTTTCGCAAGTACCGGGAATCATATTCAAGAAAATTTTCAAGGAGCAAAACAATGAGCGATGTATTTTGTCGGCTATTATTATCTTCGGATCCATACATATCATCTTTATCTGAGGTACGCGTTCAAATAAAGAAGCACTGACTAAAGACGTTCTCAGGTTACTCCAAGAGCTTAACTTGGCAGCCTCTGAACATAGTGACACTTCCGACAGTGATGGCAGCGAACAATAAAATGTATTTTCTGTTGTACCGAATAGGTATATAATTTTTATTATTGTTTGTAAAGTAACAAATAAGGACATTTTATTTGTTGACATAAGCGTTTTTTATGCCAATACCCTGTTATTTTTACATTGGACGTAGAAAATACAGAATAATAACATACATTTTATTATTGTTTTTAAAGGAGCAAATTGGGATAATATTTTTCTGTTGAAATACGCGTTAGTGTTTAAACACCCTGTACAAAATACTTATATGTTGCAATAAAACTTTCATTTGTATTTCACGCGTAGAAAATATTTAAATCGACTAAAACTCACAGGTAAATTTGGTATATATCAGATTTCCGATTTATTACCACCTAATAAAATTAAAATGACCTCTATGCGATAGCTGTTCGAAAATTATCGGAGCTTCAAAAAACCCCGTCCGTCCTTCACAAACGGTTAAAGAAATCTCATTTTATGCACATCCCAGTAGATAAACTCACCTTGGTTGTAAAGGCGCGTCGAGACCACATCGAAAGGGTTCATGGCAATGGTCTGAAAAGCGCCGCTCACTAAACTAGACACTAGCGACGTTAATAGCGGATTCGCTTGAAAGATTTGCAGTTCCCTGAGGGAATCCTTAAACATGGCGAAACTGGTCAGTTGAACCGAGGAGCCCACCAGGGCCCTCAGTACCGTCGCGTTTGCCCCCCTCCAAAGGCCCTTTATCTAGAAAAAGACGCATCAAACTATATCGGGCCATCGTCGGCACATTCCCACCCCATCCCTAGAGTAAATCGCTCCAATGGCCGCGACGGCGTTGCGATGGCTGTGCTGGTGGCCTACGGCTATGCCCTCTGCTGCTTGGGACTGGATCTGCGTCTTGATGAGGAACAAAGGGCTCGCACAGAACGCGCCCAAACCTCCGGAAAAGGCGCTACCGAGGGCGCACTTGTGGAACACCACTTTGCCGTTGGCGTCGGTCAGAAAACCCCTCCTGTTTAGATACTGATACGTGCCTAAGTCGGGTGATAATCGGAATGTCTTAATTGAACATTAGATAGTCGAACAACTTATATTTCTGAGTGAAATTCATGTTTTGAAATAGCAAGCGTCTATCTTCAGTTTTTTGTTCTAACTACTTCTTATAGTGTACAAGGTGGTCCGTTTAAGAGGGGCATATACATTATCTCGAAGCCTACGGGAATTACAAAAAAAATTAAATAAAAAAGTTGCTATTAAAACTAGCTTTGTTATACACAGGGTGGTAAACAAAGTTATATTTCTTAAATAGAACACCCTACATTTTATTGCATTTTTGGATAGTCCTTTCAAAGACAAATTCAACGATATATATGAGCACGATGAGTATGATGCATCGTTTCGAACTTATTAGCGATCATCTTCAGAATTCTGGTCATGTTTAAACCATCATTGTTGAGTTGCTTATTAACTTTTCCATCTATTATTTTTACGAAAATTACGCTTTTCTTTAGGCAATGATCAAATTTAAAATATTTTCTTAAAATACGCGGTGTTGCGACGTTTCGCAAAATTATACTTTTCGCAATTTTCTTAAATGAGACACCCTGTATATTGTTGGACTTTCGAATAGCCACTTTAATAGCAATTTCAATTATATAATAGTACGGGTTTCTGACTTAACGTTTTGGCTAAATTGGCAGATAAAATTAAAAACTGGGTATAAGATTTAAATTATTAAGATATGAGACTGGGAATTAGCTCGTTATCAATTTGTTCACAACCGTTTTAGAGCATTGTTAAGAAGTCATATTAAAAACATAATGTTAAGCTTTGCACAATGTTGCCAAATTTCTCAAATTCCTTATTTCTAAGTTTAAATGTCTACGTGAAATGATTACAGAAAATTTACACTAACTACTAATGCATATTACTTACTAGTAAAATTAATTAAATTAGTTTTTCAATATGTCCACCGTTTTGAAGAATACTAGGACTCCTAGCTGGCCAGGAGATGATTCCGTTTTGTCAAATCCACTCTCTGAAATTTTCGTTTAAAAAACGAATGATTGCAGCAGTTCGATGGTAAGAAGCCCAAATTAAATTTGGGAGCTATCTTTGAGGAATATTATTATGTATAAGTGGCCGAATTTCGTTCCTTAATAAGTTTAAATATCGTACGGATGTTAAATTTTGTTGGTAAAATGTGGGCCCTAAAATTCTAAATATCCAGATTGCGCACTATACATTCACGGATCTTCCCCCTGGTTGTTTACTTCAAAAACACATTTTTTATTTTCTAAACTCCAATAATGCGTATTTTTTCTAATAAATAACACCGCACACGTTGTAAATAATGATTCATCGGTCCAAATTATATTTTGAAATATGTTATCTAAAAAATGTCTATCCATCAGTATATAGCAAAATTAGAGTTCTAAGTTAAAATCTGCTTCTTGTAGCTTTTGTACTAATGTGAATTCAAATAACTGTTAATTTTTAAACATGTTTGAAGTGTGGTTCGTCTTACGTCTACATCTGAAGCACCAAGCCGGGTAGAGGTGTCTGGCGTATTTTCAAAATGCAGAAGAATATCTAGCTGCATATTTTCACCCAAAACCTACATTTTTTCACTAAAACATTGCCATTTGTTTGAAAATGCTGGTATATTTTGGCAATTTTTTTTGTCCTAGCAATCGCCTATGGGGAAACTTGTCTCTATATGGTCTAAGAGCAAGAGCCGGACTTTTGTTATTGACGATGTAACATTCTAATCGGTCAACTTTTTCCTCCTTCGTATACATTATACAAAATAGACTCAACAAGAATACAACTTAATGAAATAAATAGAAAATAGTGAAAGTCCGAAAAAGTGTGGTTACAATATTGTAATACACTGACACCTGTCAAAAAATCAGTAGTATTACCACAACTGAGAATTACTATTGTTTTCAAAGCTACTGCGATGATTATATCAAAAACGTCAAAATTAATAATATATCAATTTTGTGTTTGTGTCGTTCAACAACCAAGTTTCTATATATTTTTTAAAGACATGTGGTCTATATTTATTATTTACAAGATTCTTAAATTGTGAATGTAAAAGAATTTATGTATTATTGGAAAATAATTGCCAATTAAGCGAAAACGGTACTATGTTATATAATTGAAATTGCTATTAAAGTGGTTATCCGAAAATCCAATGATATACAGGGTGTCTCATTTAAGAACATTGAAAAAAGTTACATTTTTAAGAAATATTTTAAATTTGATCATTGCCTAAATAAAAGCATTATTTTGATGATGGTTTAAACATAACCTGAATTCCGAAGGTTATCGCTAATAAGTTCGAAACGGTGCATCATAGACCCATACTCATATATATATATATATATATATATATATATATATATATATATATATATATATATATATATATATATATATATATATATATATATATATATATCTTAAACGGGCCACCCTGTACACTGATAAAAAAATTAAATACAAAATAAATTACATGTATTTTCATACGAAATTTGAAAATGTAAATTTACCTCTTGCAATGGAATATTACACCCTTAAGTCAAACTTAAGTTATGTATATTTAAACTTAAGTTTGCTGGAGTACTTTTATATGGTAAGTATACGTGAATACCTTTTGTGTTCTACATGCGTTCTAAGTATATAATAATACTTTCTAAAATACAAATTTCTCGTTTAATATTTATAAATAGCCATAACTTCAGAAATAACGTTACTTTTTAAATTTGTTTAAGGGTTTAAAAACCATTAACAGATCTCACGCACATTTTTAACGTTTAAGCCGCTAATACGAAAAAAAGTTAAAAATCATATGGAATATAGGCTCGCACCTAATCGAATACTATTTCTTGATCCGTGGAGGAACATGGCGACCCCGAGGCCCTTCTGTAGGCCCCCCAGGCCCTCATTTTTGGCCACCACGTATGCCGCGTGGAACACGTTGCGGTAGACTAGCGCGTGTTTGCCCCTGGCTTTGAGCTCGCCCTGTAGTTGCATGCGCGTCTTGAGTACGTCCAGGGGATTGCTAAACACGGAAGCGCCACAGGCCGCCATTCCGCCGATGACGAAGTCCATATCGAAAAACAACCGAATGCGATTCGGGCCACCCTGTACGGCTCAAAATGACGCGCGAACGAATCGTACTTAACCTCAAAATTTTGTCGATTTTGAGCGCCCGCGTGCGATCCCCAAAAAAGAAAAGGTAGGCGCGTAGCTGACGCAAAGTGTTTGGAAATTAGAACACGATCGGAAAATGCGGGACGTAAAACATCATTTCGCGGTAAAATTGTGCATGTGACTAACTTATCACGTGCCCAAATTCGCAGCGACAAACTACAATCGCACCTTGGTCCGTGTTCAAACATTACGCAGGATGATGTGAGATTCTCGAGTTTGTGGAGGAGATCGCATTCTTTACAAAACAGAGAGCAGCGCGAAATTTGGGAAAACTGTCAAGTTTAGTTTAGTTTAGTAACCTCGACCTAATTTATTATGGATGAGAATTACGCAACAATTTGACCAACACTGACGCAAAGGCTTTTAAAATGGAGTACCTACCCAAAACGTCAAAGTGTCGTCAATTCAATTGTTAAAAAAGTAATAATAATGTGGTTACTTGAAAGAATAACAATTGACTCATTGACATTGCATATTTATCATCACAGACGTCACCTGATAACTGCAATTGCAAAAAAAAACATGTTGGATAGTCAACTTTGCCTCCGATAACAAGTAACTTTCGGTTATGTTCGTGAATAATGTAAATTAAATTTATCGATAAGTATATCAACTTGTTGAGGTTACATCACAATAGTGCAGATAAGAATAATTGCCAGTTGAATACTGCAAGAATTTACTGTTAAGCCCGGTAGATACGATGCAATTTCTACATGCACCTGTCAGGACATGTAAATATTGCAACGTGTCTACTACTACTAAATTGCAGGAAATTTGGTAAATTCAGTTAACAGCTATTTTTTTCGAATTTGTGCGGCTAAATCGATGCAAAGGGTTTGTTTTCAATCAAAAGATGACTCTTAAAAGTCTAAATATAACTTTATGAAATACTAGACATTGCACAGGAAAAATCTAAGTGGCGAAAATTTAACTGTAACTGTATAATCTCTCATAGACAGAAACTGTAATTTTTGCAAGATATAACCAAGAAAATTAAAAACTATTATAAAACAAAATTTAGCCCCAGATGTAAGAGAATACATAAATTAATACAATTGGTATTATATTTGATATTATTGAGCACTTCAAACAAACATCCAATGCCAATGCCGTTGCGACATTTGGGTTTTCTTTGAAATTTACCAATCAAGATTCAAAAATTTGTAGAACAATGCTTAATTCGAAGCTGTCTACACATATGTCGGAGATCGTAAGAAATAATTGAAATAATATAATAAAATAGAAATAGAAACCCGCTAGGACGGGTTCTGATGGCGAGCGAGGCGACGTTGGGTTAGACTTCTCGTACATATTAAAAGAATGCACAACACAGCGCTTCAAACAAATGAATGATCCAATCACTTAATTGATTATTAAAGGGAAACCAACGATCCGCGACCCGCTAGATTAACTACAAAATAGCCATTCAAAAATAAACCATCGGTCTACTTAAAATCCGACCTAACCAATGCCTTTATAAAGACAATCTTTCCCGGTTCGCGTTCTATCCACTTCGGAAATATACCAAGTGGGTTCCCCACGAGTTCACAATATTATGAATGACAGAATTACAACTGTTTAGGTTAGACCGATAAATAATGAGAGTGAAAAATAAATATTCCAAACACCCAAAATGAAATATAGGAAAATATCGACCACTTAAAGTTAAGGGCACCAACACGGCCATACCGCCTAGTGCGCGTCGTCGGGTACCTGGTGGTCATCTAGACCTCGAAAGCGCTTTACCTTCACTTTACTCACTTCGGCCTGAATAATAAAACAAAAATAAAAAACGCGATGCAATTCTTCTTTATTGTTATTATTATTATTAATCAATATACAAAAATTTTACTAGGAAAGAGGCTTTTATAAACTTGCACCAAGGCCCCCCTTTAAAAAAAATGGAGCTATTGTCTGGAATCCGCAAATTTTCTCTGTTTCTAGTAGGAATGTGTATGTTTTATATGGGTGCAAGTCATAATTGCATGGTGCAATAAATACATGATTTGCAAATAAGCGTCAAAAAAAAATTGCATAACTAATTGACTTGGACTTGGCTGTACAATTGCATTAAAAAGGTTCTTATGGTTTCATGAGATAGTTTATCTCTAAACCTCTTAATTAATTTTGTCTCGAGTCTTTCAGTTTTGATTAATTTTTCGATGACACATAAATTATAAACGTTTATTGTGAGGTGATTACGAGCGAATATTTGTCGGGAAGCCATTCAGTTCGAGGCTCTCGGATAATAAACCGCTCAGAGGCTTGTTTGGTTGTCCTGTTTTCGTTTATTTTTAACAATATACGAGGGCGGGGTGAAAAGTTTCCGACCTGACCAAAAAACACTGTTTAAAAAAATTGATTTATTTTTCAACATAATCTCCCTCAACACTGATACATTTCTCATAACGGTGTTATAATTTGGTTATACCAGTTTTAAACGTTGATTCGTCAAGCTCCACAAAATACTGCTTTACAGCTTTTACCGCCAGGCCATTTTTTGAAGTTAGGAAACAGATAATAGTCGCTGGGGGCAGGAAAGTAGGGATGTTACGGCATCGATTCTAACTTCAATTCGTGGGTATCGGATATGGCAACAATCGACGAATGCGCTGGTACGTTATTATGATGAAACAACAAAAATTTCTTCTACGCCAAATGAAATCGTTTAATTTTGCACCTCGTGCTTCAAACATTGCAACAACTCTGCGTAGTCTTACGCTTTTCAATCAATCAATGTATATAATATAAATTGTTTTAGCCTTCTTTGGAGTTGGCTTCCCTTTTGCCAGCCATTGTTTTGACTCTTCCTTATTTTCAGGAGTGTAATGATGGATCGAAGTTTCATCAACAGTTATGAATCGACGCAAAATTTCATTTGGATTATGCTTATAAATTTGATGGATTTTCTCAATCATTTTTAAAGTTGTGACCTCAACAGGCTGCCACAGGAGCGCTCACACGAGCGATTTTAAATTCAGAAACTTATCCCTTAATAGTTAAATATGATGGGGAGGAGTTTGCTAGTGTCGAATCCATCGCTTTTTAATTTGTATTGGTATAAAACCTTTCAAGCAAAAGAGTTGCTCCGGGAATAAGGCAGGCGAGGCTTATGATGGATGGGCCCGCCCTCCCTCGGACCAGGGAGCTGCTTAGACTGATCAGAAGGGAGTGTAGAACACTAACAGGGGCCTACACAGGACATTTGCTTGCTAGGCATTGGAGACGACCCGGAGTGTAGGTGGTGCATGGAAGGGGAGGAGACCCCGTATCATCTGCTCACCGAGTGCCCTGCCTTGACATGGGCAAGATTGGGAGTCGTCGGAACGGCCCTGATCGATCCGGACTCAGTGCACGATATTGGGCTAAAGGAGTTGCTCTAGAGCGGCCTGGGGGTACAACGGGCCCATCTGGTGGCCTAAGTGCTTGGACGCCCCCCTTTAATACCAATACTATCACCAAAAGTATGCACAATCAAACGCAAAGTAACGTAGCGATTAGGCTGAAACTGTGAATACTAACTCGGCAGGAATGGTACTGTAGGACGCCGCTCCAAAAGTAGACCTAGTGGCGCCACCTCTTGGCCTGGCGGAAAACTTTTCGCCCTGCCCTCGTATATCCGTTTATGATCGTTTTTTCACCCAAAATATGATGTTCTCACTTTTTTTTTTCACTAGTTTGTAAGTGTTGTGTAATTACTTACTGGTATTTGCAAACGTATTGTCTTAGGAGTAAAATATGGGTGGAAATAAAACGACAGTCAATAAAAAATATTTTACTTTGTACAAATAAAAAGAAAACACGCTAAAAATTAAATTTAATTCAGTTTTTGCGAGTTACTCGTGACCACCACGAACGATACTGCGAAATCACGTAAAACCTTACGAAAACTTAAGTGTGGCGCCGCACCAGTCGCGCAAACTACCGCCTCCGACAACGTTTGCACCGTCTACGGAACTTTCCGACGCAAAACCCCGCCCTACATCACGCCAGCTTTTTGTCTTTCTTCAAGAACGCGGCCGCCTTCTCGGTGATCTTCCGGACCCGCCCCCTGCTGCTCACGCTCTCGAAACACCGCGAACCGTTCGCACCGTTACCCGATCCGTCGTCGCTGTCGCTCTCACTGTCTTCCACTATCCGCTGTCTCTTTCTCCTGGTCCGAATACTCGCCAGGGTGTCGTCGTCCGAAGAGTCGTCACTCTGCGCGTACGCTCGATTCCGTTTCGGTCTCTGCCTGAGGCCGCTTTTCCTTCGAAGCGGTTCGCTCTCCTCTTCCTCGTCGTCTTCATCGAACGATGCCGTTTTCGGCGGCTTGTATTCGTCCTCAGTCTTGGAGCCCTCTTCAGAGTCCGACTCTGGATTATTCTTGCGCCCGTTGACGGGATGCTTGAGGCCCGCAGACGCGCTGTCAGACTCCGTATTCGTGCCGGATTTGGTCAACGACTTTAGCACGTCGAGCGGCGTGTTGTCGCTATCGCTATCCTCCGCGGGGGATGCCACTTTGCGCACAGACACGGCGTCGGATTTCGAGGTCGACGACGACGATGACGACGACGACGACGAAAGCGGCTTCGCGGGAAACCTAGTAAATATTACGCGCCTTTGGAAGTAGCGCCAGTTCGACAGCAGCCGCTTTACGTTGCTCTCGAACACGTACGACAAATTCATAGTCATTGTGTAGATCTGCAAAATAGAATTTATTAATGTCAGTGAGTTATAAATCGTTATCGAATTGTAAAACTTTGCAACAGTTGTTGGCAAAGTTACTTTTTGAAAATGGCGGATTAGTAAAACTGAGCTTCCGCTAACTGATTCTCACTGACTAACGTCAACGGTCGAACCATCAGACCATCAGACCATGGACAAAATAATGTCCGAAATGGGAAATTGTGGAATCACTTTTAATAGAGAAAAGCCAAAATTATCCGCTGGCGACGACAATATTTTAGACAGCTTCGAATATATTGCTGGTAAAGCAAAGAAACGGTAGGCAAGCTTTTGTGGAAGAAATGTCCACCGGAAGGTAAAGAGATGCGAGGGCTGCCTTTTATATTTCGGGATTTTCTTAAACTTCTCCTGCCATCTGGCGACTAACGTTTTTGACATTTTGAGGTTAGGTTTTGGCGAAGGAGTGTTGTTTGTTTTTTTGTGATAAATTAAAAAAATTGTGGCGGTTAAAAATGGAACTTAATATTTTTTTACATCTGTAGACGAGGACTAACTCAAGAACAATGCATCGATGAACTTAATTCTACTTTTGGAGTTAAAGCACCATCTAGCTTTATCGCTGGTTTTCGGGCTTCAGTCGTGGTCGTAGTTTTCTTAAGGTTGAATTTAGTGAAATCCGTGGTTGTCCAACAAAACATTGATGCAGTGCGGAAAATGATTTTAAAGGATCGTCATGTGACTTACTATGAGATTGAGGTATCTTTGCGCATTAGTGGAACCAGCATACATACAATTTTGCATGAACATTTGGCCGCGTTGGATTCCACACAATTTGATATCAGCTTAAAAATGGCTCGTGTTGATTGGTCGAAGGAAATGCTAAAAAAACACGACCGCGGTGCCTCCAAACACGTCTATGATAGGTAATAAATCGTGGGTCTATGCATATGAACCTGAAAGTAAGCGGCAATCGACTGTGTGAGTTTTTCAGAATAAGACAAAGTCCACAAAAGTTGTTCGTGCGCGAAGCACCTCGAAACAAATGGTAGCCTGTTTTTTTCAGGAAAACTGGCCAAGTTACAACTGTTTCTTTGGTGGAAAGTAAATCAGTCAATTCTGAATGGTACACAACCATTTGTTTGCCGGAAGTCTTCGGAGAAATTAGAAAAACCAACCGCCAAAGACGAATCACTGTCCATGACGACAATGCTAGCTCCCACCGATCAGTGCAAACAAAAAACTTTTTGAGCATTAAAAACGTTGATTTGATAAGCCATCCATCATACAGTGCTGATTTAGCACTTAATGACTTTTTTTATTCCCATACTTTAAGAATAAATTACGTGAGCAACGATTTTTTACACCAGAAGAAGCGATTGATGCGTTAAAAAGCATGTTTTGGGTTGCTCCACTGGATGTGGGAAAAGTGGTTTTATCGAATGCAAAAGTGTACTGATCATCAGGGTGAACACTTTGAGAAACCATAAAGTCATAGTTTATAGTTTTTTATTACAAATCCCGAAATATAAATGGTAGCCCTCGTAATAGGCTTTTGTGCGAGATTTAAAATCTGTGTAATTCAATAACCAACATTCCGGCTGACAGATCGCCGATAAGCGTAGACGCGGAATATTTACAGCGGTATTTTCTCAAAATACTCAAAATCTCAAAATACCAAAATACCATCAATAATAATTACTCACACTGCTAGCAAAAATTAATTTGCCGGTGGCGCCTTATTTAAATTTCAATCAAAGCGGGCTATAATGACATCCTAATTGCCACTTTCAGCATGCAAGATCTTTTTCAACCTCTATTTGAGAATTCGAAAAAATAACCACGTCTTCTGGGCAGAAAAATTACATTATTAATTCCGCCATACTGGTACGCTAAACGGGTATGTGGCAAAGCATAATACCACTTTTCAGGTGAGGGTCTTTGTCACCCTCTTGCAAGTATAATAAAGAGGGTCGATTGTGAAAAATGCAGTAAGTACGTCGAACATGTGACTGAAATAGGAGAAAGAATGTGCGAAGCTGATAACATGCGGGAAAACCCTGAAGAACCCCTTATTATTTCTCTGAACTCTAACGATTATACTTTATGTAACTATCCGGAACATGATGACTAAAATTTACAAATGAAGTTGTATGTATGTTGTATATGCTTTGAGTAATCTTCTTTCTAAACAGCTTTTTCCACACACTTAATTCGTTTTCCCAGAAGCTCTGACGAGATTTTGCTTTATTTTGACAAAATACTGTCAGTAGCCATGTTGGTTGTCGGATATCGCAAAGGTCATTGGTTAAAAACGAGATTTTTAAACCTCACGCGTGTGCATCAAGTTAAACGAGTGGAGATCGCTGCTTGATATAAAAATGGCGCAAAGTACAAATTAGTCTGGACCCATTGAGGTCCTGTCATATAGTGGCGCTGCTGCTGATATTTTCGTAGAGAAGGGAACGATTTTCCGCACCTTCCTCTACATTTCACCCACTAACATGGACATTGCGCCAATTTTTTTCTGAACAGCGACTTGCAACGAATTTACTCGTTTCCCCAAAACATTTAACGAGATCGAGGCATATTTTGACAAAATACTGCCGTATAAATACAGCATTCAACCTTATCGACGATCTGTCATCGGCCATGTTGGTTTTCAAATACCGCATTGGTTAAAGATTTCAAATCTCACACACTTTCTCATTTTTTTTTACATAATTGCTTCATGACTTCCTGTAGTATCGGCATAGGTAGGGTCTCTATAGTAGCTATATGTCTCTTTAGTAGCTATATGAGCCCCTGCTAATGTTGACTTTTGAAGGGACAATGAAAAAAATGTTGACAAGACATATGTTTAGTAGCTATGTGGTTTTTACTTACTTGATCTTAGATTAATTAATATCGCATTACCTGCCTATCTCTGTAATTATATCCGTGTATAATTATTATATTTACTTTTCTATTAAACTGGCTGTAGTAACGCTGCTTACAGTCTTAAGGTCTGAAGTACCCTGTTTAATGATCCCCTCATTGCAAATTCATTTTTCCGCATTAAGAAACGAAATATAATGATTGGTTATTTACCCTCGACTTTCTGTTGGTATTGAACGCCCTAGAGTTTTGAAAAATGAGCCGCATGTCGGAACTAAACTCGACGGGCGTCTTATACGCCCTCCTAGACAGTTTCTCTCTGACGGTGCCCAGGTCCATCGGGTGTCTGATGATCTGCTGGTACGTCGGATACTTGGCGATGTCGACGGGCGTCCTGAAAGGTTCCGCGTCGTCGTTCGCCCACACGACGTCCAAAATGTGTCGCGCATCCGTCATCCACTGGTCCGCCGATGTCCACGCCCGACCCGATAGGTCGCGCAAAGTTCGGCTCGTGGAGGGCGTCGCAGCCGTCGCGTCGTCGTCGTCGTCGTCGTCGCTTTCCTCGGTGCCGGGCGACTCGTAGCCGTCCACCAATTGGTGGTAGATCGACGCGATGTCGATACGATTGTTGCCGCTCTGTACTATCCTAAGGCACAGTTCGGTTAGGATTTTCGCGTGTTTCACGATGATGCTGTGCTTCTCGTTAAATTTCTCCGCGTTCGTCGCGATGTACGGGATGTCGAACTGTGCGGCCGCCAGTCGTCGGTAGAAATTGTTCTCGAACCGCGCCTTGATCGTCGACAAATCGATCGGGTATTCGACTATCAACGCGTACGACGGGTAGACGTTTATGTCCACCGGAACGAGGAACGGTTCCGCGATGGCCAGTTCCATAACCTATAAAGCGCTTTTTGTCACGGCCCGTCGTGAAGTGGGCGAGGGAATGATTTATTTGGAAAGGGGAGGAGTTCGATAGAGACAACCCGACGATGATAACGCAGGCGTGGATTGCGCGTTGTGAATTTCTCAGCTGGAGACTATAGAATACTAAGTAGCTTAAGCAACAAAGGAAGATGAGATTAACCCTCAATAGCTTGCTAATGAACGCTACTCTTTAACACACGATGACGAAAGGCATACACAGTGCCCGCCTAAATGTCTACGTACGGTGAAATTCGGCATGCACGTATATAATTAAAATATCTCATTTTTGGCATAAAAAGTTTATCTGAAAATATGAAAATGACAGCATTGCGCTACTTTAAGTTTTTATTTTTAAATTATATTAGCATACCAATGTTGAAAACATTTGATTCATCAGTTTTTGCAAGACAGTAAAACGAACGCGTGCAAATGTTTTATTAAATAAATAGTTTCATCATTTTATGAACTATTTTCGAAATTAGCACCTTGCGCATTTTGACATTAGTAAAGTCTGTCAATAAACTCGTTCCTAACATTATGCAAAGTTTTTGGGAGAATTACCATTACAAACATTTCGAACTCTGTCTTTCAGCTCTTCAACTGAATTTGGTTTTGTAACTTAAATTTGACTTTTTAGATATCCCCAAAGAAAAAAGTCCAGGGGTGTTGGGTCTGGCGGCCGAGCTGGACATCCAACGGGGTTTCGCCTTCTAATCCACGTGACCCTCCTTACCAATTTTAAAAAATACTTATAATGGCGCCTTGAGATATTGTTTTTATATCAAAAATGAGATATTTTAATTATATACATGGATTACATTCGTAAAATTCCTTCTAGGTCCCACTTGAATCCTTTGTTTATCCATTAGTTCCTTGTTTAAATGCCTGTTTGCATCACAATAGCAATTTTGTGAATGACTATTAGTTGGACATTGGATACTGGTAGTGGTGGTAATGGTAGAAATAATAATGCAAGATGGATTATCGCGCGTGGACAGTGTTCCTGATTTTGCTGTTTTGTTAGATTGCAAGTTATCGTTTAGCAAATTCGATTTTGGTGGTTTCCGATCATTTTGAATAACGATAATTCTATTATCTTCTCAATAAATGGGTGCCATCAGGCAGTTTAAACCGTTTTACATTTTATAAAAACCTCCAAAAGCCAAAATTTTCTACTGATCGCTCAGTTTGACTTAGTTTCTTTTTATTTTTTTTCCTAACCGAATTTGCATTGAAATAGAACTCGATACCGAGAAGAAAGTCGTTTTATGAAGTGACATGTGTACATAGTACATAAGACTGAACCATTATTCTTATAAATGAAAAATATAAATTTATTGACAAGAATTAAATTAGAGGTATGCGTCATCAATATGATTCCCAGTATACGCAAAATATATCCTCGTGGTGGATCAAGTGCAAAGAAAGTTTTTAAAATAGAAAGAATAGGAATAAACAATGAATTACATGCAAGCAGTAATACTTTCGTTTAAAAGAATAAACCTAAAACTACTACATGTGCTTCTCTCTCTTAGAACAAATTAATTTTTTAATAGATCAGCTAGACCTAGCAGCAGCAAGAATGAACACTATGTTAATGCCACCCATCCATAAAATGTATAATAAAATAGCTAATCACTGTGATCCAGATGTGCTTTAAACTATTTGTTTTAACTCCCTTGAGTTAAATCTAAAAATTTAGTTTTTCATTCACTTGTTTTTGTAAGAAATGTAATTTATGCCTACTTTCTACAAAACTTCTGGAGTCTGTTTCTGATTTCTGTTTAAGGGGGGCCGAGCTATAAAAGGGGCATAAACATCGTCTCGGATGACTGATTCCCATATTGGTGCCAGGTAGAGAGACCTGAGTCGCGGTTAAGATTGTTAGGTTTTGTTTATAGATTTCTATAGACTCTCGGATTTTTCGTTGGTAGTAGAATTGATTACATGCAAGATTTTTAGTTTTATGGAATAAAATTTTGCGTCCGGTTTCGTGATTGTGTGATATTTTGTGATATTTTTCGTCCGGTATTTCCAATGTATTCTTTGCCGCATTTTGTCCTTGACGAATCGAAGATGTTGAGAGATTTTTCGACAAGTGGTAAATCTGGTTTTGACGTTATACTTCTTTAGAACTTTTGATATGTGGTTAGTGATATTTTGAATGTAAGGAAGGACAACAGTGTTAAGTGTGGGTCTCACTACCATTAGATGGTTGTCGTGAAGTGTATTTTAATATAATATATTTAATGTGTAAATTATTAGAGAGAAGAGCAGAGGTAAGGTGTTTTAATTCTGGACTCAGTGACTCGGGCTGAGATAGTTTTACGGCTCTGTAAACAAGAGAGTTGATAACCGATGATTTTTGTGCCGGATGGTGATGTGACCATGCATTAAGGTATTGCTTTTCTATTGATAAGAATATCTAAGAATGGAAGGTTATTATTAATTTACAACTCAATGGTAGAACATATGTTAGGGTGTATAGAGTTGTCGAGAGCTTTCTTCTCAAAAGCTTCCATAAATATATTCGCCATGACTGGTGATAGTGGAGAACCAATAGCTGTTCCCGACGTTTGTTCAAAAATATGGTACCATTATAAGAAAAATATGTTCCAGACAAGCATTTTTCCATTAAGGTTCGAAGGGTTGGTTCAAGATTCTCGGATTTTAATATAATGAAACGATGTTGAGAGTTTCAGAAATCATGAGGCTCAAAGAACAAGAAAGAGCCTTACGACTAAGACCAATAAACTCATCAACTGTTGCCGAACACAATCACGAAAACGGACGTCAAATTTTATTCGATAAAACTAAAATTCTTGCATGTAATCGATTCTTCTACCAACGAAAAATCCGAGCGTCTATAGAAATCTATAAACAACCTAACAATGTTAACCGCAACTCACGTCTCTACCTGTCACCAATATAGGAATCAGTCATCCGAGACGGTGTTTATGGCACTCATTTAGCTCCGCCCCCTCAAACAATATATAAGCAGGTACAGGGTAGAATGCGAGCCAGTTTCAGTCAAGCTCTGAAGAAGCCAACAGGATAATTGGCGAAACGTCAGCAAGTTCGACTCAGCAAAAACCGACGCAGGAGGAATCCAGAAGTTTTGTAAAAAGTACTGCAGTAGCCTGCGGAAGTTTCTTTGAATAATTTATGCTTATTTCGGCCCTATCAATTATTTCTTTATGGGACCTTGAATAACGAAAGCAAATACGTGTTTTTTTTGTGTCGATCTATACCATCAAACTCTCAAAAAAATATATATTTTATAAAAGTAAAAACCTGAGTGATTCCCTTGGTGATAGCTTTGCAGGCAGTGTTTCGTTCGCAGTTGGGCCAGTCTTCGGGGGTGGATTTGTACAGGATGGCCGTCAGCTCGTTGTCGAGAACGGGGATGGCGGCTTTTTCGTCCTCGGGCAACCCTGAAGCGCACAAAAACTGATACGTCAACGGACGCGACGTTTCGAATACCGAAGGTGCTTACTTTGTTCGTCGATGGGTTCCATGTCCCAAGGGCTCATACGTTCGCGCTCGCCGTTGGTCCACTCGATCTGGTAGCACATGAAGAACGACTCCGGAAAGAACTCGCTCGCTGGGGACTTGTTCAAAATCGAGCCCATCCACCAATTGTCGTCGATCATACATCGAAACCTGGAAAAGGGCAGTAGTTCTAAGCAAACTTACCACGGTCAGTCGCGAGTCGACCGACTTGTCTCCGATATTCCAACTTCTGGATATGGCGACGTCGTAGGTCTGCTTGAGGACGAAGAAATCTAAAACGTCGGGCATGTCGTGGTACCGTATCGTCAAATATTTCCCGGTCAAACGACACTCGTCGTTCATCAACTCCAATTGTAAGCAGCACAACCTCGGAGGTTTTATCTCGTACTGTATGTCGACCACGCGACAAAACTCATGGTCTCTGAGCTGCATCGTGCTCCAGGGCATCTCTTTGAGGTTGACGTCGTAGACGCTCTTCATACGAACCGCTTCCACGTACAACTGATGACCTTCACAAACCAGAGGTTTTGTGTTTCGAAAAGATACCAATCGTCGATCTACTATTACCTTGGACGAAATAGACGATATCGTCTTGGATCTGGGGGTAGTAGGGGGATTTTCGAGGACGCGTCTCGGACAGCCACTCGCTGAGCTTGTATTGCTCGGATATTTTTAATTTGGGTCCTCTCGATACGCCGCTGGTGGAGCACGCGGCGTTCACGTGATTCGCCTTCGGCGCCGATGCCGATTTCGTCAACGAGTTGTTGACCTTCCCAACCGAATTGCATCTCGATGTAGATGCTTTCGAAACCTAACCGACATGTCTGTTAACACCTTTAGAGTCAAAGGAGGCAACTTATTTTTAAATTAAAATTAAAATTAAAAAATTTATTTACGCATATAGCATTTGCATTATTATTACTAACCTAATATAAATAGTAACACCAAAACTTACAGTTGCTAAACTACCAAGTTTTGATTAAAAACAGTCTTCTTTACTTTGGAATTAAACCTACTGAGAGTCAGAAAATAAATCAATATGCTCGTTATTTGTGAGTAAAATATTTGTCAGCTTGCACATTCGATTCATAAGCAAGTTAATGCCATAGTTGGTCCTATGAAAATCAATATTAAAAAGAGCCTTATTTCTTGCATTAATAGGAGAAATATGGAAAATCTATCAGGTTATTAAGGATTTTGTATAATGTAGCGATGTCAAAAAAGCTTCATAAGCTCCTCTTAGTTTATGACATTGACAAATGACATTCTCAATTTAAAACCTATCCCTCTAAGGAATTTACGCTGCACACGCTCAATTCTTTCCTTGTGAATTGCATAGTATGCTAGCATACTCTAAAATTGAACGCACAAGCGCACAGTACAGCTCCCTATACGTAAAGATGTTCTCAAAACCCTTCAAAGTCCGAAAAATAAACCCAAGCAATCGAATAGCTCTGTTAGTCATAAAATCAATGTGATATGTAATGTGAGCTCTGAATCGAGCCACACTCCAAGATCTTTAACTAGGTTCTGTCTCTCGAGAGTTCAAATGATAGGTGAAAGTTACTGGATTTTTGGTTCTGCTAAAGCTTACAATTTTGCACTTAAATTGTTCTGTCTGCACCACAAAGAAAACCTATCAAGATCCTCCTGTAATCGATGACAGTCAAGAGGTGATGCTATAACCTTAAAAAGCTTTAAATCATCCGCAAATGCAACAAATTGGCAAAAGCGAAAAATATTTCTTAATGAAGACATTAAAAAGGAATGTGGAAAGATGTCCCCCTTATGGGACACCAGACGTCACAACAGCCTCTAACGAAATGTAATTTTTAACTTTAACTGATGGCTTCTGGTTAGTGATATTACTGTGAAACCAATTTAGAAGGTCTCCAAAGGTTCCCATCCCTGAGAGCTTCCTTACCAGAATGCCATGGTCAACCCTGTCGAGGGCCTTGGAAAAGTCAGTATATATAGCATCTACTTGATACCCATTCTCAAAGGCCCCCAACAGCGAATGCCCATAACTTAGGAGGTTCGAAACAGTTGACCTTCCCTTGACAAAACCATGCTGTTCGGTTATAATAAGGTTGTTAAAATGAGGGGTGACAATCGGCAAGTATACCCTCAAATATTTTTAAACAATCGCAAGTAAATTTGTAAATATCTTCTGGGTACTATTAAAACGCCGACGCTCAACATTTTAAAGCACGCATACCTTGGCAGTGCTATTGTTTTCTCTAATTCTACTGTAAGTCTTCCTCTCTATAACTTCTTCCTCGTCTTCCGTGGTGTCGTCGTCCGTTTCGTCGTCGTCGTCGTCGTCGTCGTCGTCCACTTTCCGGCAATTGTACGCCGACCTCCGGCTGGGCCTGTTATGGACATGCGCGTAAATCGTTTGCTTTTTTGTTGCAGTTCTCGCAATTTACCTGCTCGGTTTTTTGCTCTCCCGCAGGCCCTCCTCCTCCATCCAGTCCGAATATCCGGAAGAATCGCCGGAATCCCCGTCGGACAAAGGGACCACGTCATATTTTTCGTAATCTTCCTCCTAATAGAACATGTTCCTAAAGCACTATTTACAAAACTACTGAATTAGTTGTTTTTGAGTCGAAATGCCTCAGAGTTTAACTCAAATTAACTCAAAAACAACCGACGCAATAGTAATTCAGAAGTTTTGTAAATAGTATTACAGGAGCCTGTGGAAGTTTCTTTGAAAAAAAAAATACTAAAGCGTTATTTAAGTTTAAACTTGCTGTGCGAGAAAAATTTATGAGACTCATGGTACATATGAACTACTTGATCCACCATGAACTCTGATGTTCCCAACTATTAGAACATTATCCCGGTGGGAATACAACCGCTCCACTTGCCATACAAGGGAAAGGGCTGTAAGTGATGGATGAAAGGCGGAATATGCGGAATCAAGAAGACACCAGAAAGGTGGAGCGTCTTAGGAAAAAGTCAATTTCATGAAGCTAGTGCCAAACTCACAGAAAAACTGATTCTCAGCAGATGATAGAAATATATACTATATTTAAAAGCTAAAATTTTACAGGATACCCTGTAATGAACTCTAGCTTTATAAGTAACTTGTTTGAATTTTTTTTTAAGAGGTGTGAAGCTGACTACAATTAATTTTTGTTATACCTGTGGAATTTAAACAAAACACGCAAGTACTGCGGTCCCGGGAACTGACTTTTATTGAATTGCTTGATGTTTGCGTGCGCCATAGCAAAATCCTGAAGGAACACGAAGGGGTCCGTCTAATGCGTACCAAACAACTACTACCCGTAAAGACTTACCGTCAGCGGTTGGTAACCTTTCCTTTTACACTTGGGTTTTCTAGGCTCGCTTTTTTTCTTATCTTTGGCTTTTGAACTGCTGGGTATAGCGGTAGATATCATGTGCGGTCTCTGGCGTAATTGCTTTTGATAGGTTTTCATTTCAACCTCTTTTGTTAACTCCCTAATGAATTTTTAATTGGCAATAAAACAACAATAAATTGTAGACCAACATGTACCTTATTTCTTGCGCCCGCTCAAGGATGGGCGGTTTCAAGGGCGGCACGAGGTCGTTTTTTTTCCATTCCATGTGCGGGTCAGTTTGCCAGTCTCCGGTGCTTTGTCTTATCCTGAAGTATTATAATTTATATGTGGTGTACATGTGGGTCATAAATTATATCTACCTCTGACTCCTGTGAGAGCCACCAGCGTTACCTCGGACGTCCTCGTCCTCGCTGTCCTCAAGCAGTCTTCTGGGTATATCCTGGATCACCTCTTGAGTACCTTAAAAACATGTTTTTTTCGACAAATATTCGACAAAAACGCTTTAAACTTACGTCCACCTTCACAGTACGAGAGCGTGCGTCAAAACAAGAATTTTAATAACAATAACAAACACCACACGCTTACCTTCAGTACCAATAACGATGTTGGGCACCAACTGATCCACTTTGCAATTCTCTCGTCCAGGTACTAGTCTTTGCAGCATAGGTGGATAAGGGTTGCCGTCTATATCCACCAGGAAAGGGGGAGGCATTAAATGGGGAGGCACTTGGGTTTGTTCATCCAGAACCCAGTAATTTTGATCCCTCACCAGGGGACGGTAGTCCGTATGGAAAAACAGCTCTTTTGGCAGCTATGAGAGACATATCCTACCATCAGACCAATTCGTAGGGTGCACCGATCAACTCCCTATTACCTGATCGTAAAAAGGATTGCCACTTCCGAATCCAAACGTCAAAATATAACCATACGAGTCGCTCGCGGCGATGAGACTCCCATCGGGGCTCCATTTGACATCGTAAATCGCCCCATGACCCTGTCCTTCTACATTATTCAAATACCTGTATGGGAAAAATTCAGTTTAACTGTACGCTAACAGCCAGTGAGATCCCAACCTGGCCACGATCTCCCCTGTCTTAATGTCCCACACGAACAGCTGACCATCGTGCCCTGCCGACAGGATGGTGTCTTCGTCATGAGGATGAGCCTCAAGAACGTAGACTTCATCTTTGTGTCCCGTGAGAACCTTAACCAGTTCGCCGGTGGACGCGTCCCACACTTTAAGGCTCCAATCGCTCACCGCGGTCACCACCCACGAATCTGAACGATCCCAGGTTACCATTGTGACCTTGAGTTTCTTACCGTCATGTTCCGACAGTTCGGTGTCACTGAAACAAACGACGCAAATTAATTTAAATCGATTTTTGCCAATTTTTCACAATTTCGTGATTTATGACAGCCATTTTATTTTCTTATTACCATTACCACTTGCAGAAATAGATAATTTAGTTTCTATTTTGTATATTTATTGCGATAACATTTTAAACAACAAGGGTATCTAGTTTATAAGACCCAACTATAGCTACTAGATACATCAGGCTGATTATACATGAAGTTTTGAAGCGACGATGGAAAAACTATTCAAATGAATAATTTAATATGCGCATGCGCGGTCTTTTGAAATCTCGTTTTCAACGTAACGACTTTCAGCGACCAACCAAGTAAATGTAGCATTTTTACGGCAGTTATAATTCTAATATAATGGATTAACTTTAATATTCTAGAAAAAAAAACAGGCTAAATGGATTTATTTGCCTGCAATTATAAAGTAGTTAGTAAATGATTTTTGTGTTTTGCTAAATTTAAAAAAAAGACCGTCTGCTGGGCAAAACAAGTTGTGGACAATTGATAGCTATCTAAGAAATGTGATTTTTTCTGTCTTGAAAACTAAGTAAACCGACACACTTACTTTGGCAATTTGTTTGTCATATCGAGATGTATGCTCTTCCACTGTTGCCGCTCGAACCACCAAATAATAGCGGTACCATCCTTACTACCTGACAAAAACTTTAAGCCAAAATGGGCCCACTGTATTGAATCTACTCGGTCTGTGTGTGCTTCAGTCTCCAAAATCCTTTGCGGCCCCTCATCGCCTTTCATGTAATACACTCGTACGTGATGGTCTGCTGAACCCGTGGCGAGGAAAGTACCGCCTGGACTGAAGGACGAACATATCATTTGTGACTGTCCCGGGCGTATTTTTTCCTGATAAAGCACTGGAGTGTTCCGAAACTCGACTTTTCCGAAATTGTCATAATTATAAGTCCAGAAAGCTATGGAACCATCAGTACTTGTGCTTATTAGGTACCGCACATCCCAGCACGCCGTGGGACAAAAGTTAACTGACGTTATCATACCGGTGTGACCCGTGAGGACCGCAATTGGAGCCCCGTTTTGTAAATTCCATACCTTAAAGCGAACCATATGCACCGTCTCTGAGGATAAAGTCTATTGGATTTTACCCTCAAAATCCTATCAATTGACCCTGCAGCTAATAAACTGTTCTCTGGATCAATGGCAATGTCTGTAATTTCTGAAGAAGCTCCCCGAAATACAGATATTAGCCTTCCCGTGTAAGTCGACCATAACTTTATCAGCAAATCATCTGCCCCAGTTATAATATACCTCCCGCTATGATCGAAGAGCAGACAATAAACCGCAGAAAGATGACCTAAAGTCGTCCGCTGGATTTGTAGGTTTTTATAAAAACGAGGTGATATAATACGGTGTCTGGTAAAGGGTCCAGCAACTTGTCTACCTTGAATGCAGTTAACTAAAAATTAATTTTTTCATGAAATACTACAATTAGTGTTAAGACAAGGTTCCTACCAATATTAAAAGGTACTTTCAGTTCCTGTATAGGTGCCCCATGTAAATGAGTGACATAGTTGTAGAACTGATTATAATTATGCAAAATATTGTTTTTGTTCTTCGATTTAGGTCGAAAACTTAAAATGGAGGTCTCAATATTATTCGGGTTAAGAGATAGTGATGCTTGCCGGCACAAGAAATAAAGAAAGTCTCGGTGTATGTAGGGATATTGTTGCTCCTAAAATACATATCACACTTATTTTTGACAATCTTCACTCAGGGGGATTAAGTTACCATATCTTCAACGGATCTATCATGTCGACTACCTAGCCAGTCAATTCGTTTAGGCAAAATCTTGAAAAAGAAAACAAATTAGAAATAGTAAAGGACACTATCATCATTTACCTTTTTTTCTTCCAATTCTTCATTTAAAGTCTACAACAAATGGATTTATAACATAAACACTACAATGCAAGCAAATAATAGTTACCTGAAACGTCTTTTGCAGGATCCCAGCCGACAAAAATCTCTGGATTAGAAAATAAATATCTAAAACCGTACGTGTTATTGTCCAAAATGTACCTTGTTGGCCACTCAACATACCTGGCGTTAATTTTGAATATTCTGTCCCGTTATACGTGTTTACCCTAGCCTTAGCATTATCCATTTCGAGAATGTGTTCAGATTTATATTTTAAAAGTAAATATTTGGTAGTCAGAAGCCAAAATTGAGGTTAACGAATTGTCATAATCTTCTTCTAAAATTACTTAACCATGCATAGACTATTATTGTAGGGTAAAATTAGTTGAAAACCGCCTAACGCACACAGATCGCTAAATTTTTAACGATCACCGCAAAGTTACTTACAATTTGTACGTAATTGTATATTCGTTTACTTTACAGAAGTGGTGATTACGAATTTGTATTAAGCTGTCCGTACTGTCAAAAACCCATAATTTGGAAAACGAAGAAGAAAATGGTGAAGCGCGTTTGCCAATGAGTGTGGGTTTTCTTAATTAATGAAACACTTGTGTCTTCGTGAACTGTGTCCATAAATTTCGATTTTCAAAAGGTGAGATTATTTAAATTAAAAGTCATTTTATTGTGGAAATGTCGGATGTAGCATTATTGCTGTAAAATGTGATGTAGTCGCAAACTAAATGAACGGACTAGCAACGTCGCTAGAGAAAGATAAAAGTTTTGAAAGTAACAAGCTTCGAACTTAGATCGCTGTCAGGTACGTTGCGGGTAGGTGTTTGTGTGACAGGTGGTTGAGTGGTTTTTGTGTATGCTGTACCAGTATTCGTCCGCGAAGCAATATTCCAGGTAAATTTATCTAACTTAATATTTCGTGTGGCAAACTACTCTATGCTTAAAAAAATAAATTTGCCGGTCCGTCGATCTTTTCCAAAACACGAAAAAATGCTTGTTTCATGCATAGATACCGTTTTTTCCTCGCTTCAAGGAATTCATATGTAGCTGTTTTTCAAGGTAATAATTGTTTAAGTAATTGCGTTAATAAAAACGGTAAAAATTTTTTCAATATAACGTGGCAAAACGACGATTTGTTTACGCTTTTTAAAATACTCGCCAATTCGGTAATCCAATTGGAAATTGTACAATCTGGAAAAAAAAAACTATAAAATCCGAATTATCGAGAGCGCTGATGAATGATGGTTATCATTGCGTTATCATTTATATTCTCGTATTGGTTTGTCTCGCGTCGTGGATACATTGCCTACCTGTGCGACGCTTTCGTTAATCATTAAATATTTTGGTAATGAGTAAGATGATGCGCGATTTTTTGCTGTTGAGATTTCATTTTATTTTGTTTTAAATAAAAAAAAACTAAACAGTAAAAATATTGTTTCGTTAACTTTGTATCAGTAATTATAATAAAGATGCTGCATAAAAATTGTGTATAAGATAGGTAGTATTTTTTTAAGGCCAAGCAGTAAAAAAAAACTAACGAGAGAAGTGTGACACTGGATGCTTATTCAGAAATGCGCCAATCACGTGAAAATTGGTGAGTGGGTTGCATAATATTTTGTGAAGCGCCTTAAATAGGCAACGTTTGACCCATTAAGGTAAGTTAGTCGAACGAAAAATATATAGGGGTGTTCTAGAAAGAAGAATTTTGGGATACGTCTGCATGTGCATTTTTATGACACCCGGTAACTATAAGGAGTATCAATAAATTTTCTTTTTTTGATAAACATTGCGTTTAGTTGGGCGAAAGTTTATGTAGTCCATGTGTGACGACAATAGTTTTTCGACTCATAACTTCTTTTTCGTCATGGATATTTTTTTTGGTACTTGCAACGGTGGTCTGTGATTTTTTGTCGCCCTTAAAACCTTTAAATTTTATCTATGGTCGGCTTAAAATTAATCCAAAACTTGTCAATATCAATCGTTTTTTTTTTTATCTAATCTGGTATTTTCTTACGTGAATTTCCTTATTGCTTTGGATTTTGATCTCCACTTGTGTTCAGGGATTACAATACACGCCCATACGGACAATTTCTATTTTTAGTGCCACACTAACATGGGCCCCACCGATTTATTGAAGCGTTGCATTAAAAAAAAAAAAAACTAGATTGGTTCAAATATGGCGCCGGATACGTGAGTATCATCAAAAGCCGGCTCGCTTGATCGCCGACCGGCCATCCATGGCAAACTGATATAATAATTGTTGTCGGTTGTCAAGGTTACGCATAGCGACAGTGGATAGAGTTTTGCGAAGACGAAAAACAGACGCAGTCGTTCGATTTAGGGCTCGCGGTAAAGATCAAAGGGTCGAGGGTGGCGCGTGTTTATTTTTAGAACATAAAAGGTGGGACAGGGCGTCGTCGGCCCGCGGAGTTCCGCTTTGGACCGGAAATCGACGGAAAATTCGTTTCGCGCCGTCGAAAACTATAATGACGCTCTGGCGGAATCACGCCTTGTAACGTTTTTTTTTTTTATGGCGGCGCTCGTAAGCGTCGATTTTTGTAAACAAAGGGAAATTTTAGCCTGCTGCGATACGTTACCGTCTCTAATTGGGTCAAAGCGCGATCTCGGGCATTAACGGTGTCTCTGACACGAGACGAACGGTAAGAGCCCACTTTACCTCGATTAGGTTCGAGAAACATCTGTAGGAACAACCGTTTTCTAAACGGTTGCTCGATTCGGAAACGCATCTCGCGTTCTGTGACCCGATTTGTGAAAACCAACGAACGGTTACCACCATAGACTAAATATCCAAGGAGACACCATATTTCATTTATAAAACGCTCATTGTTTTGTCGTAATGATTACCTCACGTTAAAAATTGTATGCGAAAAAAACGTTTGTCCTTCTTAGTTGATGACTTCTGGCTGTGAACTTCAGATTGTGGCTTATTTGGCGTACAAATTAAAAAAAAGGCAACTGTATAGTATAGGTATTATATTATCGAGAAAATTTTGCTTCGTTCTATCGATGGAAAATATGGCAACAGTTTTATGGTCATTTAGTCTATGCTTACAACCAAGGATGACCCATAGCTATCAGATAATATAATGTACTTATTACCAGTGTAACAGTAAACAGCTATCACCGCACCCTTAACTCATTTTTTCTGAAACATGTAACGGGATCTTGGATCTTGAGAACGTGCTGCCGTAAAAATGCCACATCCAAACGGAAAACTGTCGAATTGACTAACTGTCAGCTACCATGTTGGTTGTGAATATATATCAGCATTGGCAGGGCCCGTATAGCTATATATAGAGGCCCTGCCTATGCCGATAAAAGAGGAACTTAGGAAGCAATTTTGACTTTTTTTTTTCAGAAGGTCCATTCAACATGCGCATGCACGAGATTTAGAATCTCCTTTTTATGCAATGTTCTTGGGTCATTCAACAACCAACATGGCGGCTGATAGATCGTCAATATGTTTGGTTGCTGCATTTTTACGGCAGCATTTTCCCAAAATATGTTAGAAAATGCGCGGAAAATCCTTCCCTTTCCTATGAAAATATCAATGCCTCCTGCGGCGCATCAATTTTTTCCGTAGCCAGGCTATTATCTAATAGCTATATGGCAAGAGCTGTGTGGGTCTAATAGCTATTTGATGTCACTAATACCACTCATTTAATTATTTTTTTTTTGGCACATTTTGGGTACATTTTGGCAAAAAACTGCCGAAAATAGGCTATATCTAAACTGACTATGGAATGTCCTCATCATTTCTTTATGTTGGCATCACAAATGGGCGACCCAGATTACCTCCAGAGAAATACACAACTCAGTGTTTCGGGAAGAAATATAGAATAGAATTCTTAGTAAATCAACGTGTTTATCGGTTACAGGATCGGGAAAACTATACGTAATCGAATATTAATTTCAACGTTTCATTAGGAACCGAAAAGCAGGAAAATATCTAGTATCGCAAAACAGTCATTTTTAAGAACTCTTTAATATTAACGTTCTAGTAATGGTTTAACAACAACTCAAAAATATATGTAAATAAAATTTGCAAGAAACAATTAACCTATATATTCGTACATCTTTTATCTTAATATTTTTGAGAGGACTTTTTTTTCTTCATTTGTAATGTTGAGTTTTGGGGATGTCAATCCAAAACCCTTACCAAAAACGGGACGTCTGGTCTGCTTATAAAAACGAAAAATAAGAGGGGAATGTATGTCACAGACCTTTCCCCCCGCGGACGAGGCAATTATGTTGCATTGCAATGGCTTCTCTAACCATTGAATAGCTTGTTTACGTTTAGTCCAGGTCCGAAAGGAATTATAAGTAACAGACAATTCATGCATCCGCAATTTCCGAAGCGAACCCATTACATAGTATGTATGCCATAAATAAGCCTGACTCGTCAGTTACTTAATATCTTATCAATCGACTTGCTTCGAAAATTGCGAATGCACTGATGTTCGGTTAACTATAATAACACGTCCGAAAGTCACTGCCTATGATAGACGTAAAGCGAAAGAAAACGACGGTCATCGTCAGAGTCATTTTCTTTATTATTGTAATCGCGTTCCGGCCGTTTGGCGTCAAAACGTCGCGGAATTGAACGCAATAACCGTGTCCAATCGAGCAGCTACCGGGCGAATTCTACTGAGTGTCAGTCACTAAACTGCCTTGAACCGCGGGTTCGATCGCATTTAGCGTACCAAAGACGCGGATTTTCGTCGCATTTCGACGTTTTACTTTCACCTGATTTATTTTGCTGCGTTCGCTATATGCATCGCAGGCGAAACGGTTTTTTGTTATGCGAGATTTAAAATTTCGTTTTTAACCAATGGCAGCTCTAATGACAAATTCTGACTTAGTACCCCTTAGCCCTTGCGGCTTTCAACAAACAACATGGCCGCTGACAGATCGTCGATGTTAGGATGCGGTATTTATACGGCAGTATTTTCTCAAAATATGTCGAAATCCTTTTAAATTTTCAAGCAAAAAATGAGTTAAGATCTGGAAAAGCAGCGCAGAATTCCAGCACCCACGTCGGCGTCAGTATGATTCTGTAATTAATTTGGCGTTTTTGTTCTTCAAACCCTGTAGATACGATGCAATTTTTTTTAATGGAAGCTGTTTTTTTCGTAAATCGGCGTAAGGCGTTAGTTTTCATAAACTCATAGGTTAGGTTAGGTTGAAATAACTCGCACATGAAAAATCTAAGTGAAAAAATTTTCAAGAATGAAGACTGTAATTTCTTATGCTTGTTCTAGTAAAAATTCAACTTGTAGGTTAATTGCTTTCTTATATTTCCTGTAATACTTGTACACTAAAACATATTACCCAAAAATCCTATATTACATGCGACAAAAAAAAGTGATGCGCCTCGGGCTGCTATGATAATTTCGTATAGATGGGAGTGACCTTCGCACTTTTCTTTGTAAACACCTTTCTACACATACTTAACTCGAATTTCCAGGACATGTAACTATATTTAAGCATATGTTGAGAAAATCCTAGCGTAAAAAACCCGCATCTAAACTGAGACTTGTCTAATCACCAGCAGATTGTGGAATGCCACATATTCGTTGAAAACCAAAAAACAACCATTTTTGTTCGTGTGCTGTGTTATTTTACGGTTTCCTCGCAATTTTTAACCACTTCTTGTATTAAGTGTTAAGTATTTCTTTTTTATTGTTTACTGTCATGTCAGTCTCAAAGACAATTTTGGTCGTTTCCTCAATTTCGTATAACTTAATTTCTATTATTTTTACAAAACATTTGAAGTAAACTAAAAAATAAGATTTATTTACCATCACAATCATAAATTAAACCTTCTGGTCGATCAAAATATTCCGAGCACCTGGTCTGAGTGCAATTAGTGAACGATTTAAATTACAATATAGAGCAAAAATATTAATCAGACGTAAATAATGTCTGCCCGTGTCAGCGGTTTTGGCCATTGCGTGTTCACAGCCGCCTATGTGAAAATATTGCAGAGTACAGGGGTGGTCCATTGTAAATGTTACCCCCTCTAGGAAAGTTTACCCAAACTCCAATTTTTTTTAGCTTTAAGTTCTTTTATTGGACCGTTATTTTTTCAGAAAATATATATTTTTTTACGATTGTCACAAAAATCCACCTGGTGACAAGCAATCGTAATCGCGGCACCCATTGACAGCCATTTTTAATGACTCCAAGTTTACAATAAGAAAATGAGATAGCGCAAAGAGCATTAAATAAAAAAGATTTCAGCTTTAAAATCATACTCACTGTACAAACCAAGTTTTAAAATTCAAGATGACATATACACCTTGCTCTGTTGCCCTTACAATAATAATTGAAATTTGTCCTATTAAAGTTAAACAAACTGATGTTAAAAAAATTTATGAGAGCCTAGGGAAATAAAACCACCGTAATTGGATTGCTTATAGGCGAGTCCGGGTTATTTGTTCGCGGATTTAGAGCGTTTACGTTTCGTAATTTCACATTTGCGTACGGAGATTTGATAATAAAAATAGGCGAGTTTCGCAAGTGTTCAGCGACTTGGGCATGCCACAAAAATCGGAAATTTGTGTTAAATTTACATTCTAGATCGCGTAATAAGCGAGACAATTTGAATTTATAAAGTAAACCCGAGGTGTTCGTTTGAACTCTACCAGATTTGATCGACTCATTGTCAAATGCCTTCGTTCTTTTTTTTGGCAGCTGAATCATGGACGACCTGGTGTGGGCCCGTGACCACACAGAGGGGTTCGTTTTGGCCCGGATGAGCGAAATAACCAACGATGGCGCTGAGGTGGTGCCGCTCGACTCCAAACACGCCAAACGGACGTTGCCTTTCAGCGACATCTATCGGGCTTACGTCGAAAAGGATAGGGACTACGACGATAACTGTGAGGGGCCGTTTAAACCATGCACATATTTTTAGATAATTACACCATTGTTGCCGCAACTATTTGTTAATTTCTGAGTTAAATACTCTGACCAGAAAATTTATATATTATGTTTCATAATGCGAGGGAGTAAGACAATTAAAGATTATATCGTAAAGTTAAGATAAATTACAATGATAGTTTTCCGTATTTAAGTTTTTAAGACCTTACATATCTCGAATCGTTCCTAAATTAGAGTTACACTAATTTGTAAACAATAGAGAGACGAGTTTGATAAATAAAAGCAATGTGACAGACGCGTTACTGCATATAGTTTATTAGAAAAATAATTGTAATATTAATTATACGTGATTATAACTATGTAGATGGCCAAATAATTGAGATATTAATTAAATTTAAATCAAAACTGGTATAGAAGTAAGAATAGATATTATTCAAAAATAAATCTAGTATTAACAATACAACTTCATATTTAAATTCATGTTGCGAATATTCAAAGTCGAGAGAATGAGTACTACAGTGTGTTATCACTCAATTTCCTACAGTCCACTCTCCTGACTTCCCTCATGCATGAGGGTTTCAAAGTGTTGTTATACTACAAACTCTTTTACTTGTGCCCATAAATATTTTACGCTAATGCTAATATGCTAGTAATTCCATTATTGTTACCAATGTGAGTCGTTATTATTAATCTTACCTTTTCCCAAGGATTTTTTTATTCCATTGGGCCTTTATAATAGATACTCTTGGTTTTCCTTTGAAACTGTCTAACTGCAACAAATCAGCAGATAATTTTGTCTTTCTCTATTAAAAGTGGTTTTCTGTTTTAAGTTTTTTTCTTTCCTAACGCAAGTTGATTTCTTTTAAACTATCTCACAACTTCTTACCCCTGGAATTTCTCTTCCCTCTTCCATTTCAGACATTATTTTGTACACCGTAGGTGTTTCTTTTTTAAATAAAATTAGTGTATTATTCCTCTGATGGCAGTTTTCTTCATGTACTGTTAACTATAATTTTAATTTTCAAATTTTAAACACAGGCACAGGTAGGTCAACAACCTGTCCGTCTATATGCCACTCTCGGGACCCTTGACGATCATCATATTGGAGACGGCTAAGACTGCTAAGTTTTTCATTTCAGTAACGATTTATGAGTCTCTCGCATTAAGAAACAAATCATAGTGCAATAAAATGAAAAAACCTCTCATCGAAGACTTGCTTTGCGGGAACAGTTTGATTTCAATTTTAAAATTTGTGTTGTATTTTTATAAATTACGGTACTTTGACCTTGCAAAGTAAGTGCATGGTTAAGTCGGTTATCGGCATCGGCAATACGTATCAGCACCCGATATCGAAAAATGCAGTACAAATTTTTATTTAAATAATTTACATTTCAAAAATTGGTTGTGCTGTTTTTCCTTTAATTTTTCTTTGTTTGGAAACCCCCTGAACTGTTTTTGCAAGTCGTTAATTATTTTTAGGTGAGATGATGTTCCTCAACGAAGGTTCACTACTACACAACATACGTACAAGATATTACAAAAATAAAATTTATGTGAGTAGTATTAGTAACATTTTCCTCTTTTTTTTCCTTTAGACACGATAAAAACAGCGTGTTCACCAGATTGGAATAATCTAGACTCTAGATAGTTAAGGCAGCCTCAATATTTTACATTAAACAAAATTGATGAAATATGAATTTTTCAAAGAAACTTTCACAGGCTACTATCTTCTGGATTTGGAAAACAAGTTCGATTCATTAAATTTTACTATATATAAATGATTCTTTACAGTATGTGATGCCTTTCAAGACGATATTTCCAATCCTTTCGTTTTTCGAATGCAAAATTATTTTTCTAATATAACTGCTTCTCATCTTCCTTGTTATTTGATCGGCGAATACACCAGCACTTTTGCGCAACTCCGTTGGATGTTGGATACTGTATTGTGTGCATCGAACCAAGTTTCATGTAGCTAATTTATACATCTGTTTTCCAATTTGACAAATAAATGTTTCATCTTTAATATCTTGTTTACTATTGTCCAGATTTATCGAAGATATTGGCGTTTTTGTACGTTGGCGGTTTCTTTTAAAGCCTCTTTCATGAACTTTAAAATTCGTACACATTTTTCACAATTTGTTTTGCATCTAATGAAAACATTCTTTGCTGCACATGCATGGACGTTATATTTCTTCAGAACTTTTGATATGTGGTCAGTAATGTTTTGAATGTAAGGAAGGACAACAGTGGCAAGTGTGGGGCTGTTTTCATACTCATTGCCTTTGGAAGCTTGTAGTGAAGCGTAAGGTGAATTTTGGTTTCAGTGACTCGGGCTGAGATATTTTTAGGGCTCTGTAAACAAGAGAGTTGATAACCGATTATTTTTGAGCCGAATGGTGATGTGACAACGCATTAAGGTATCGATCTGTGTGCGTAGGTTTTCTGTAAGCAGAATGGCCCAATGTAAAGTCTGATTTTCTATTGATAAGAATATCCAGGAATGGGTGATTATTATTAGTTCTTAATTGAATGGTAAATCGTATGTTATGGTGTATAGAGTTTAAATGTCTAAGAAAATCTAGTAGGGATTCTTGATCATGTGGCAAAATAGCAAAAGTATCATCAACGTCACGTTTTAATAATTTTGCTTTTAGAGGGAAGGTGCCTGATAGAGAAGAAGCCTTAATATAAGATTTAAGGTTGCGCTCCGTAGATGACGTACTATCTTTTTCAAGTTGACGATATATGATTCATCTGATATTAATTTGTGTTCATGACCACCGTTGCATTTCCTTTATCTGCTTTTAGAATTGCGATATCGGGAATTGGATTTTAGAGATTTTAGAGCAATGCATTCAGGCTTTGGAATATAAGATTCAGGAGATTTTGGTATTTTAAGGATTTTGCGTTTTCAAATCGAATTTTATTAGCTGTTTGAGATGGCTGAGATGGTTGAGATGGGTTTGTTTAGGATAGACTCGACATTTGAAATGATTTCCTCTTTTGAGATAATACGTGTTGGAAGTTGAAACCTTTTGCAAGAACTGATTTTTGTGTGTCCGAAAGTTGGTGTGATATATATGTGTGTGTATATTTGGTAGTTGAGAAGTAGTTTCTGGGTAGAAGATAAACGAAAATTTTCAGCTTTGTCATGAATCATGTTTGAAATCTTAAATCCAGAAGTTTTGTAAAAAATATTACCCCCCACCCCCCGCCCCCCGCCGCCAATAGCTAGGGCGGGCGTAATAACTGTTAGGAAGGGTGTACAGACATGAAAACCCATTCTTTTTTAAGTCATTCGTCGCCAACATCCTCATTGCGATCAACCCGTACAAAGACATCGCGGAACTATACTCGGGCAAAACGGTGGCCTCTTACCGGGGCAAGTCGCTAGGGGAGATGCCGCCCCACGTGTTCGCCATAGCGGATAAGGCGTTCCGCGACATGCGCGTCTTCAAGCAATCCCAGTCGATTATAGTTTCCGGAGAATCAGGGGCGGGCAAAACGGAGTCGACCAAACATCTGCTGAAGTACCTCTGCGGCGACGGCGTTGCGGGCCCCATCGAGCAGAAGATCCTCGACGCGAATCCCGTGCTCGAAGCGTTCGGTAACGCCAAAACAACCAGGAACAACAACAGGTGCGTTTATGTCACCGACGTACGGTGTAGTGACACTAATAATTCCGCTGGAGCTATGCACACGCTTTTGTGTCGAAACTATAGTTACAGGGTTTCAAAATAATATTATGGTTTCAAAGATGTTGTTCCCATAGTTGTTAACTATAATGCGTTTGACATGCCATCTATGGCGTTTAATATAAGTTGCATCAAAACGTTAATGTACACATGGTGTTATTTTGGTGACGTTATATAATCTAATTAATGAATCTGAACGCCATCTCGATGCTGATAAATATTTTTGCTGCATATGCTATTTGGTAGCTGTCGAGTTCAAATTCGGCAGGAATTTAGAGGTCCATCCCCAGATGGAACGTATTAAAACTGGACTGAAACGGATGTCTCGAATTGTTAAAAAAAAAATCTCGAACCAGGAATAAAAAAATGTACAGGCGTGCCGCTTATAGCCAAAAAGCTGAAAATTTCAATTTTTCGAAGTTATTTTTTGGTTGCAAATAAAAGTTTGTGAGAAGAGAATTTGTGGAGACAACGATAAAAATGTTTGTGATTATTTCTTACAATGTAATGTAAGGGATGAAGTTAAAGCTAGAAGAATTGGAAGTTTTTGTAGCTGCTGTGTCAAACATTAAACTGAAGATTGGTGTAGAAGTTTTTAAAGTATCCTATTTTGAATTATCGAACGAACCTTTTCGGTGCTGACAGAAATAGTATTATCGCTGATTAGCCATTCTTTTTATGTAATTTGAATTGATTTTACCCAGTTGAAGTAATAGAGAATGGTGTTTAAATTTGTAGTTTAGTAGTAGGATTAAACTATTATTTGCGGTTTGAATTTATGATATAATATTAGCCAAATTTTGTTAACACTTATAATGAAAGCAATTTTTTTTGGGGTTTGAATTTATCTTATTAGCAATGCCCTTGCTAACAATTAATTAATGTGGAATCCTTTATAATGCGGGTCTAGACAGTGTGTTAATACTAATATTGAACACAAATATTTTGTGGGGTTTGAATTTGAAATTAGTAATGCTCGTGGACCAGATGAAATACAGATACATACATAAATACATACAAAACTTTAGAAGTGAATACCGCTCTCACACTTCAATTAAATTTGCTCAACTGCAATAATTGAAAATCGTTCATTCTGGAATATACATCAAATGTGAAGAAAACATTAGTTTCAGTTTGAATTCAAAGGTGATTTTGGTACAAGACACTCATACAGCACGCAGAGATGTAAACGTGGATGTAGATGTTTGCTTCCGCATTACAAAAAAGCTTTCGACACATGTTCAACACAATAAGTTACCTACTATATTGAACGATATAGGTCTGGACGGTCTAGACATTCGGATAATAGTCAATTGGACAGCTGACAAGAGTTAACGGCCAGACATCTGAAGAAGTGCATATTATGAGAGGATTTTTGACAAGGTTGTTTATATGTAGAAAACATCTTTACAGAAGAATGCAATCGTGATCAACAATTTAAGATATGCACGGTCTTACTAGCAACAGGTAAAGAACAACATTTAAGAACATGCAAAATGTTTTAACCAACAATACTATGCTATGTCTTGGGCAAATTCGGTACGAAAACATGAATCCTCACTGAAATAATGTGTTTTCGAAATGAGGGTTTACAGAGAGAGAAGAAGAGAAAACAGTGAAGAATGAAACGGTTCTGCAGCATACGAATAGAGAAAGAGAGGTACTTAATGCCATAAAAAAAAACAAATATGGAAATATCAATTCTTCTTCCAGTGCCATCCCCTAACGGAGGTTGGCGATCTCTTTTCTAAATGCGTCTTTGTCTCTCGTAACGTGAAACAGTTCTCCTACACTCATCTGAGTCCAGTCTCTGTTTCTTAGCCAGGATTTCTTCTTTGTTCCTCTGCATGATAGTCTGTAGTAGTTCATACTTATTATTTCTTAGAATATGGCCAAGATAAGCTGTTTTTCTTCATTTGATAGTAATCATTAATTTGTCCAATTCTTTGTAACACTCATTAGAAATTCCAGAAGTCCAGAGTATTTTCAAGGTTCTGCGATACAGCCACATTTCAAAGGACTCTAGTTTCTTGATGGTCTGAACCTTGAGAGTCCAAATTTCTACTCCATACAAGTAGCTGTGTCCACACGTAGCACTCAATAAACTTTAATCTTAGTTTAAGGCAAGTGTTTTAAATCTTAAGAAAGACTGTCGCTCAATTTCGATTCTGATTCTTATTTCATGATCCCGGTCTAGGTCTGAAGTTATGTTAAGTTCCTACATATTTATATTTTTCCACGCGCTCTATAAGTTTTCCTTGTATCATCAGGTGACCTTGATTGGCCGAGTTTTTCGAGACAATCATGAATCTAGTTTTTATAGTATTTATTGTAAGTCCCATTTTAATGCTTTCGTTATTAACCCTGTTCACCAGTAATTGCAGGTTCTCCAGAGATTCTGCCATCGTCCGCGAAGCGTACATTTTAACTATCTCACCACCCATCTTAACACCTTCTTCTCTTTCCCAAATGCACCGATGAAATATCTGTGAATATAAATTGAAGGTGAATGTACGCACCCTGCCTCGCTGGATAGGCCGCCTTTTTGTTTCCGTTTTGTTTATTTTCACAGTGGCTGTTTGGTTCCAGTATATCATTGACATCAAGTTTGAATGTTGTTCAGTTAATATATGAGTTTGGTATTCTGGACTCTATTAAATGATTTGTGATAGTCAATAGTTTTATTGTATTCGCGACTTTTTTGGAGGTGCCTCCTCTGAAGTCAAACTGTGAATTATGTACCTGTTCTTCGCATTTTCTGGATATTCTATTTTCGATTATTTTCAGCAGGACTTTTATATATCAAATATGAATTGCTCTATATAATTATTCAGGAAAAAATTGAGAGAGAACATCGCAACATTGCCCAAGTGCGGTGAGGGCAAGTTCTTTCATATTTAAACTTATTAAACGCGGGCTTACACGATTTGACCAGCTTATTACCCGACTTATTTTTGGGCATATCTTTCCGAAATACCAATTATAACGAGTATTTCTATCGTTTGTAGAAGCTAATACAGAAGTGATGTATGCTGGAAAACCACATTAATGGACAAAATTAAAAATGACTATATTTTAAAAAGAATGAATGTACAAAAGAGACTTTTAGATACAGAAAAACAGCTAATGTGGTTTGGACATAAGACTCGAATGAGCGAAGACAGAATAGCCAAAAAAAGATGGAAAAGAGGCAGACCACGGAAAACCTGGAAGGCAGGAATTGATGAAGCTATGCAAAAGAGAAGTCTCACAGAGGATATGTACAGCGATCAAGACGCGTCGAGACGCGTGGAAGTTGGGATGCGGTAAACAGCCAGTTAATATATTATATGATGTCATTTCAATAACACCCTGTATATTGTTGACACTTTGAAAATAAAAAATAATTAAAAAACAACAATTCAAATTTCACTCTCGGATTGAATGTCGATTCGGCAAACAAGATTAATGCGAATGTTCGTGTTTAGCTCGAGGTTCGGTAAATTTATCGAGGTCCACTTCGACAAAAAGTTCCAAGTGGCCGGCGGTCATATTTCGCACTACCTGCTCGAGAAGAGCAGGATATGTTCGCCACACGGGGAAGAGCGTAGCTACCACATCTTTTACATGCTCATGGCCGGCGCCCCGGAGACTCTCAGACAACAACTGGCCCTGAGCAAGCCCGACGATTTCAACGTGAGTCTTTTCCGTATTGAATCGCGACGTCGAACCGTCTTTTGATCGTTTACGCAGTACCTGAAAAATGGGTGCACGAGGTACTTCGCGAAACCATCTTCGGAGAAAAGGCTCGTGGCGACTCAAAAGAGCTCCGACCAGACCAAGTCCGGTTCGCTCAAAGACATCCTCATCGATGACGTCGACGATTTCAAGGAGTTGGACATGGCGCTGTCGCGCCTCGGCATGTCTGACGGCGAACGATTGCAGATTTACACCACTGTGGCGGCGGTCTTACACTTGGGCAACATCGGTACCAAAACTTGTCGGAACTGTTTTTGTTTTAAATAATACCGCGTTATGTGTAGAATTCGAAGACAATCCGGAGGACACCAAGGGAGGCTGCCGGGTGGCCGCGAGCAAGGAGAAGTCGCTGCAGATGGCCTCGAAGTTGTTGGAAATCGATCCCTCCGAACTGAGACAAGCTCTGGTGGCGAGAGTGATGCAAAGCGCCAGAGGCGGACTCAAAGGGACGGTTATCATGTAAGTAGAGTAGTATGAGAGTAAGTAGAGCTCGGTCGATAATTATAAGTTCTTCTCAAATCAACGTTCCCAATGTCAAACTCTTCAAACAATGTGACATCGACACAAAGCATTTTTGAAATTTTTTAAATTTTAAACGAAAATCTAATAGTTTACGTAGAGTGGTTTGTATGAAGCGTGTTGAGGGAAGAAATGGGTCCTCCGACGACAATTTTAAGTTATTCTATTACTGTATCTCAAATCTTCACTGAACTTAATTATGTGAACATTAACAAAGAGCCGGGACCTGATCATCCTCATCATATTTTGCTTAGTAGTCCTTTTTCATTGGGTCTTATTTATCATTTTTAAGCATTCCTTAAAAGCTGATTACTTTCCAAATTTTTGAAGACACAAATTCATCGAGAAACGATATGTAACGTAGCTGCTAGAATGCGCTACACGACAAATACAACAGAAATTCCTTTTGTTCCATCTTTCGTTACAAAAGAATGATGCGAAAAATCATCTTTATGTTTTTAAAGACAAGCGACCCTACACAAATGCTCCGAAGAATTGTCAACTGGCTGTTACTTGTAATTGTAATTTAAGGGTGCCTTTAAAAATCCATGAAGCCAACAACGCGAGGGACGCGCTCGCCAAAGCGATTTACAGCAATCTCTTCGACTATATCGTGAATCGCATCAATCAAAGCATCCCGTTCCAAGCGTCCAGCTATTACATCGGCGTGCTGGACATCGCGGGTTTCGGTACGTCCATCAATACTGTCCCGCCCCCCTTTTCTGTATATCGCCCGTTTCGTCCCCAGAGTTTTTCACCGTAAACAGTTTCGAGCAGTTCTGCATCAACTACTGCAACGAAAAGCTGCAGCAATTCTTCAACGAGCGCATCTTGAAGTTCGAGCAGGAGCTGTACAAGCGCGAGGGCCTTAGCGTGCCGGAAATCACGTTCGTCGATAATCAGGACTGCATTGACTTGATCGAGGCCAAGGCGAAGGGCATACTGACCCTGCTGGACGAGGAGTCCAAGTTGCCTAAGCCTTCGTACGCCCATTTTACCGAAGACGTGCACAAAGTATGGGGTAAGGAGTACAGGTTGGGGTTGCCACGGTCTTCTAAGTTGAAGGCGCACCGGAGCATTAGGGACGACGAAGGTTTTTTGATTAGGCACTTTGCCGGAGCAGTGTGCTACCAAACAGTAAGTGACAAAAATAAAATCGATCTTTTTCATCTTTCAAAAATTCACATTCTACATTCTCAGCGCAGTCTGTGTGTGACGAAATAACATAATGTACAAAAAAAAATAACAAAAAGGCGGAGAGCGCTGCAAAAAGAAATATATAATGCCAATACTACTAATAAAAGTAAGGCCGATTGGTCTATTATAAATAATAATTTCGGAAAAAAGGCAAACCCTACAATAACTTAATTTACTTTAGATAATGGCTTGGTTTTCTTCTTCTTCTTGCGTCGGTTTTTGTTGAGTCAAACTTGCCAGGGTTTCGCCAATCATCCTGTTGGCTTCTTCAGAGCTTAACTGAAACTAGCTCGCATTTTACTATGTACCTGCTCATATATTTTTTGAGAAGGGCGGAGCTAAATAAGGGGCATAAACACCGTCTCGGATTACTGATATCCATATTGGTGACAGGTAAAGACCTGAGTCGCGGTTAAGATAGTTAGGTTGCTTATAGATTTCTCTACTCCCGGATTTTCCGTTGGTAGAAGAATTGATTACGTGCATGAATTTTAGTTTTGTCGAATAAAATGTTATGGTCCAGTTTCGTGATTGTGTTTGGCAACTGCTGATGAGTTTATTTGTCTTAGTCTTAAGGCTCTTTCATGTTTTTTGAGCTTAGTTGATATTTTTCGCCCGGTCTCTCCAATGTATCCTTTGCCGCATATATATGGAATGCTTTAAACTCCTGGCATCTCAAATGGAATTTTGTCTTTGACGTATCGAAGATGTTGAGAGATTTTTGAACAAGACAGTGATGTTTGCTTTCATATTGTCTCCATTCGAGTTCGATACTCTTTCAAACATAAATCTTCGTTTATGTTCTACCCAAAATCACATTCAGAAATGTGAAAAACTAACTTCAACACTAGTCAAACTCTTCTCAACTACCAAACACCGTCCTTACCCCACATATTATTCCAAATTTCAAATGTCGAGTCTATCCTAAAAAAAACGCCATCTCAAACAGCTAATGAATTTCGATTTGAAACTTCAAAAATACTTAAAAAATCAAAACCGCCTAAATTGCTTAAAATCTCTAAATTGTAATCCTAAAAGCAGTTACAGGAAATGCTACGGTGGTCATGAACACAAATAAATATCAGGAAAAGATTTCAGATATCCTTACAGACGGACCATGACGTCAACTTAAAAGAGATCGTATGTCATCTATGAAATGCAAATCTTAATCTGTTATTAAGGCTTCTTCTCTATCAGACTCAGTGAAAAAGTCTGTCACCCCTCTTGGCTCTATAATTCCTCGTCTCTACAGACTTCCAAAGATTCACAAACTAGGATTACCCTTTCGACCTATTGTCAGCACCATTAGTTCTGCAACATATTCTCTAGCAACATCTTCTTTATTAAAACTGGGAAAACTGATAGTTTTGTACTTAATTCCTTTTACTTCATATTCTGGTTAGTTTCGACGTACTCTTTGAAAAACAAAATTTTGTATCGTCGTGCCGCCCTCGTACTCTTTACTATAGTCCCTATTCCTGAAACTCTCAACAAAATTTCAGATATATTAAAATCCCGACAGTCTGGAACCAAACCTCACGTTGATTGAAAAATGCTTGTCTGGAACATATTTGTCTGATAATGGTCAAATTTTTTAACAAATTTCGGAAACAGCTATAGGTTCTCCACTATCACCAGTCGTCGCGAATATATTTATGGAATCCTTTGAAAAGAAAGCTCTCAACACCTGCCATCTAAAACCAAAATTATGGAAACGCTACGTTGATGACGTTTTTGCTATTCGGCCTCATGGTCAAGAATTCCTGGTAGATTTTCTTAGACATACGTTTTACCATTGAATTAGAAACTAATAATAATCTCCCAATCTTAGATATTCTTATCAATAGAAAGTCAGACCTAACATTGGGTTATTGTGTTTAAAAAAAACCTACACACACAAACCGATACCTTAACCAACTCTCTAGTTTACAGAGCCGTAAAACTATCTCAGCCCGAGTCACTGAACCCAGAATAAAAGCACCCTACCTCTGCTCTTCTCTCAAATAATTTCCACATTAAAGATATCCTTCCTTACATTCAAAACATTACTGACCACATATCAAGAGTGCCAAAGAAATATAACGTCAAAACCGGAGATCTGGTTTTGACGTTATATGACTTGTTCAAAAATCTTCCATCTTCGATCTGTCAAAGACAAAATTCCATTTGAGATGCCACCAGTTTACAGCATTCCATGCTTATGCGGCAAAGAATACCTTGGAGAGAGACCTGGCGAAAAATATCAACTAGGCTCAAAGAACATGAAAGAGCCACAAACGAGACGAAGACAAATAAACTTATCAGCAATTGCCGAATACAAATCACGAAATGGACATAAAATTTTATTCAACAAAACTAAAATTCTTGCATGTAATCAATTCTTCTACCAACGAAAAATCCGAGAGTCTATAGAAATCTATAAGCAACCTAACAATCTTAACCGCGACTCAGGTCTCCGCTCCCCTCAAACAATAAAAAAGCAGGTACAGAGTAAAATGCGAGCCAGTTTCAGTGAAGCTCTGAAGAAGCCAACAGGATGATTGGCGAAAATTTAGCAAGTTAAATTCAACAACAACCGACACAGCAGCATTGCAGAAGTTTTGTGAAAAGTATTACAGTAGCCTGTGGAAGTTTCTTTGAAAAAATCAATTTTTTTTGGTTTCTTGTCCTCACTAATTATTAATATGTCAAAATATTCTTTCTTAAAATTATTTAAACAAAAATGTAGATAGTGGAATTAAAATGTTCTTCAGACCTCTTACCGGAAACGAAGAAGTTTACCCGCTTGCGTCTTGGCTTAATATGTCACTGAAGAATGCGACTTTTTCAGAGATATTTAAGCTAGCTAGAATTATTACGTTACACAAAAAGAATGATCGTAGATTTATTTTTCTTTCTAAATTAACAAGCATTCTTACAAACTTTCAACATGGTAGAAACACTCAAATTATATAGTGCTATAGTAAAAAATGACAAATGTTTTGGTTTATTTATGGATCTGAACAGAGCGTTTGACCTTGTAGATCATGATATTTTGATTGCGAAGATGAATTTTGATGGTCTAAGGCAAGGCCTAAAGGGATTTGATATGATTAAATCTTACCATTCTGGGCGCAAACTAATATATTGCATATAAATGCAGACCTGGAGGAAAAATACTACCTTAGGAGTCCCACGAGGATCTGTTCTCGGACCTTTATTATTTGAATTATTTATCAATGATCTACAGAATCCATCAGGTCTGGAAAACGGATACTTGGCAGCGTTTGAGAATAATAATTTCTACCTATGTTGTAAGCGTTCGGTTGAGGCATGTTACATACTTTTCGTTAAAATCAAATTTTGTCTAGACAAAGCCAAAAAACGGCTTTAATAAATTTTACTCCAAGATCTGTATCACAAAAATGCTTGGGTTACAAATTGATAATGAGATTTGTTGGGTGAAATATTCACAATGTGTCGTAACTATCATGTTTATTTTGCTTTGTATGGACTAGACCAAGTTACGAATTAAAAAGTTCTTTTATTTTAGAATTCCTCATACTTCTTCTCTCGACTTAAATAGCGTCATATTTTGGGGTGGCAACAATTTAATTTATGCTGCACATAGTCCAGGATTGTTTGCTAAGTCACTGGCATAAGCTACATGGTATAAATTGTTAGTTATTGCTACGAACTCTTTTAATAGGAAATTGTTTTTGTAGTACAGATGACGTGTAATGTGTAATTTTACTCCAAGATCTGTATCACAAAAATGCTTGGGTTACAAATTGATAATGAGATTTGTTGGGTGAAATATTCACAATGTGTCGTAACTATCATGTTTATTTTGCTTTGTATGGACTAGACCAAGTTGCGAACTAAAAAGTTCTTTTATTTTAGAATTCCTCATACTTCTTCTCTCTACTTAAATATTTTGGGGTGGCAACATTTTAATTTATCCTGCACATAGTCCAGGATTGTTTGCTAAGTCACTGGCATAAGCTACATGGTATAAATTGTTAGTTCTTGCTACGAATTTTTTTAATAGGAAATTGTTTTTATAGTACAGATGACGTGTAATGTTCAATTTATATATAATTTGCAATTTTCATATGGTTTTTGATTTATTTTAGGACCTACTAAAAAAATCTATTTTTGTAAGGGGTCGATTTTTCTTACACGAATTGTAATTTGGTGTTTGGAATAAAGGTATTTAATGTGGTTTGAAATCAAAAACATTTGCAGCAATTCAGCTCTCATGTTACTTTATCCTTCCTTAATTATTACCACAGAAACAATTCATAGACAAGAACAATGACGCTCTGCACGCGTCTCTGGAAGGCATCATCCAAGACAGCAAAAGCAAATTGATCCAGACCCTGTTTGCGACGTCCATGGCGCAAAAAGGTAAACTTACCTTTATAAGTGTCGGGAACAAATTTAAAACGCAACTACAGGAGCTGATGGAGAAACTTCGCGACAACGTAAGTCGCTCGCCTTACCTATTGGTTTGAAATTTAAAAAAAAATCGTAGGGTACGAATTTCATTCGTTGCATCAAACCGAACAACAAAATGGTGGACATGATGTTCGAGGGCAGCCTGTGTCTAATGCAGTTGAACTGCTCAGGCATGACCTCGGTCTTGGAGCTCATGGAGCATGGCTTTCCGAGCAGGACTCCGTTCGCAGATCTCCACGGGATGTACCAGGACTACTTGCCGAAAGAATTGAAGCTGCTGCCTCCGAAAACATTCTGCGAGGTACTAGCCACGTCGCACAGTGGAACGAAACAGACATTTTGTTGTTAAAAGTACACAAAATTTGAGTTTTTGAAACTACCCTAATATTCAGTTTTTCATTTTTTAAAACAAATGTTGAGCCCCATGTCCAACACTTAACATGGACTGGTTCCATTATGCGTCGCGGCGGTCGCCAATCTTATTAACTTCCGAGATTTACAGGCCATGCTTCATAGCCTGAAGCTGCAGGACAAGGACTTTAAGTTCGGTATCACGCGGGTGTTTTTCCGGCCCGGGAAATTCGCAGAGTTCGACAAAATCATGAGATCCGATCCCGAGAACTTGAAGGCCATCGTAGCCAACGTGAAAAAATGGCTAGTCAAGTCGAGGTGGATCAAGGCGCAGTTCTGCGCGCTGACCGTCATCAAAAGTATGGCGCCGTGTGGTGGCTGTGTGGCGTTTTATGACGAAGGACGGTGTCCGTTTGTTTCAGTGAAAAACAAAATTTTGTATCGTCGTGCCGCCCTCGTACTGCTGCAGAAGCACATAAGGGGCTACTTGGTTAAGAAAAAGTATGGCCCCAGAATCAAAACCATCAAGAACATTCGATCGTTGGACGCGAAGCTTAAGAAAATCGAAGGCGTGGCTGGACAGCTGAAGAAAGACAAGGAGACCACAACGAATGCCATCAACGCGCTCAAGTCGGAAATGACGTCGGCTATAGATAGGATCAAGGTAACGGGAGGTATGACCACCTCGCCGCTCCCACGCTTCACTCTTCTTATTTCCAGAGGGACGACAAGATCGACGCCAAAACCGTCGAAGGCCTGTACAATGGACTTCTCGTCAAAGTCAATCAACAGATGGCGGTACTAGAGAAGAAGGTGCAGGAGCAAAAAATCGCGGAAGAGCGGGAACGGTTGAGGAAGATCCAGGAGGAGATGGAACGCGAACGAAAACGCAAGGAGGAAGAAGAGAGGAAACTAAAAGAAGAGGAGGATAATAGGAGGAAGAAGGCAGAGATAGAGGCGAAGCGGAAGAAGGAGGAGGAGCAACGGCTCAGGCAGGAGGAGGCCGACAGGAAGATAGCGCTGGAATTGCAGCTGCAACAGCAGAAGGTGGAACAAGAGGAAAGGCGGTATCAGGAGCAGCTCGAGCAGGAGAGGCAGGATCGCGAATTGGCGTTGCGGTTGGCGCAGGAGAGCAACGGACAGATCGAGGAGAGTCCTCCGTTGGCGCGGAAGTAAGTGGAGCGTTTTCTTCCCGCGGGTTGTAAATATTGTATAAATATGACAGTGGGGGGAGAGGGGATGCGTTCACCTATATAATCACTCTTAATCTATGCCTCTCTCTTTTTTTTTAATCCCACGTCGATTGCAGCGTGATGAACGGAACAGACTCTCAGCGGCAATCGTTCAAACTGAACAGGTATCTTTTGATTTCTTTCTTTTTTAGCACACTAATTTCTAACACACTAAGGAACTTCCGTAATTGGTGTAGTTAGTCTAACCTATTAAACCAATTAACCATACCAATGCAAAATATCAAATATCTACGTCACCGGTAGTGTAGTTGATAATTATCCAGACTTGTCTTTGTAGGAGGTAACCATTTTATGCATTCCTCAGATTAACTACGCGAAGACCTGTAGTAGATTAGTATTTTGCTAGACCATTTAGCCGCAAACATCTTTTAACCACTAAACTACTATTGCGACAGGTCCGAGACAGCAAGGACTCAGCAGCCAAAGGGCAAGTATGACCTATCCAAGTGGAAGTATTCAGAGCTCCGTGATACTATCAACACGTCCTGCGACATTGAACTGCTAGAGGCTTGCAGGCACGAGTTCCATCGTCGGCTGAAGGTGTACCACGCATGGAAGGCAAAGAACAAGAAGAGAACTACAATGGACGAGAATGAAAGGGCCCCTAGGTCAGTGATGGAGTCAGCAGCTAAAACTCCAAGGTAATGAGGCTCATTTTTGAGGCTCCATTGGTTGCAAGTGAGACTGTTCACACTACAGGTTGCCCCAGAAGGCGATATTGGACAACAACTCGCAGCGCTACTTTAGAATTCCTTTCTTAAGGCCAGGCGGGGATCCCAACAAGCGGGGTTGCTGGTATGCTCATTTTGACGGTCAATATGTCGCCCGACAGATGGAGCTGCATCCAGAGAAGCCGCCAATACTACTTGTTGCTGGTAATACTTAATTTAGGTTGTTTTATGGTACCTCTCAAAACGTTTTTCAAACAGGCAAAGACGATATGCACATGTGCGAGTTGTCCCTAGAAGAAACGGGACTAACCAGAAAAAGAGGGGCGGAAATATTGGAAAACGAATTCAATAAGGAGTGGGAGAAAAACGGCGGACACCCATACGTTCGGATGGCAGATAGAAAGTGATTCAATATTTGTTTTCTGGGGCTTAATGTTTATTGTTACAATCATTAGCTTTACAGTATTACATTATGAAGTTTATATATTATGTAATTTAATTATACAAAGTGTATTTAATAATGTAATTATATTTATTTTCTTCCTACACCTCCCTACATGCTGCGCACCTTCTTTTTTTCCCTGTATACACTTTCCTTTTGAACTGAAATTTTTTGAAAGGAATTAAACTCCAAAAAACTAATTTGGAATGATAAAAAACAAGGCCGGTAATATTGGCGAATTGAGGTTATTCTAGGGGCAGCGAGGGCCATTCTAGCAGTTTATCTGAAGGTGCGATTCCTCTGGTAGTCTGTCTGACTATGAGTACAATAAAACCTAAATAACTGCGCACGCGTATCCGCCATGTTTAAAAGACATCAACATGAAAGTTTCTAGGGATCGGTAAGAGAAGAAGAGGAAGCTCCAATAGAGGGCCGCCGATTAAGAGGAGCTCAATTCATTGAGCCCAATAAACTATCGCAATTCCCCATGAAAGAGGTACTGTATTTTTCAGGGAAGGAAGTGAAGACGTGAGGGCATAATCTATTGAAAAGTCTGAATGCAACACAAATCGAATAAAATCTACGCTAAAACCTCATATTTGTGTTCAATTACGACGATGGTTGAAGAGTCATGGATGTCCTCAAGAATAAAGTAAAGCGGAATTAGTTGAAGAATTGAGTGAGTTTGTATTAATAAATACCTCAGCAGATAAGTGTTTATAAATTACTTTTTTTAAGCTAATTGTAGGTATGTACTACTTATAAATTTGTAAAGTGCCCCGAAAACATGGCGGAAGTCACAAAAATTTCTTTCTTTCCTACAGGTTTGAGATGCCAAAATTCAACTACAAATTAAAAGCTATTTAATAAAACATATTTTTCCCGTTGTCAATTTTTTTGACAAAAATGTTCCATAAATTTTGAAAACAAACAGGAGTTCTATTTGAAAACATTTCAAAATGTAACATAATCATACACATCATCTCAAGCCAACAATAAAACCCTAAAGTTAATTAAGCTTATGTTTAAGACTACCTTTCCCTAATCATTTTCTGTACCATTTCCTAATTTTCAAGATAACTAAAGCAATAATTTGCAGCCTTTCCTAATTTTTAAAGGTATCAGAAAGTGCTACTACTAGTAATGGAGTACCACTGACTCCTCAAAGGAAAGGACAAAATACCTAATGAAGACGGCACTTGTTTAACGCTTCAGAGGAATCCCACTCTAAAGCTGAGAACCTGGTGTTCTGTAGTATGTGACAAAAATTATCTACTTTTTATTCGAATGCCACCAGAATCATCTAGCATTATGGTTGTGGTAGAACAATATTTTTGTAAATAACTTACTGTAGGGGTCGAATCTAATGACTTCCAGTTTATCCGCCAACCTGGGCCTGATTTTGTTGAAGGTGTGACCGCTAACCAAACTTTCCATTTGTACCATTATATCTCTGAAACAAGGTATCCAACTATGAAACTCAAGAAATTTACAATAAAGTCGAACATACTTGCTTTTTACGCGTTTTAAAAGGATATTTGTTATAAACATAATGTGAGAATAATCTAGAACGTTAACCCACAATAAATAAATAACTAATATTTGGTTTTTCGATTTTTGAACCATGGAAATTCTTCTTCTTATTTTTTCCGAGGCTGGGCAACTGTTTGCCCGAAAAAAGTTGGAAAAAAGAAGAAACTTTTCACCAACCATTCGTAAACAAATTTAATCTAGGCCTGCAAGAAGAAACAATTTTAATACATTCTTGTGAACGGGGCCAAAAGAAAAAATAAAATGTTTTTCAGATCGTTACGAGGTATTTTTAATATCATAAAACAGATGCCCTTTGTGGGGGGCGTAATAGAAGCGATTTTCGAAAGGTTTTGTTCTATAATAGAATGACCTTTTAACATGTTGACTGCAGAATCAACCAAAGATTTACCAGAAGAGGTGGTCTACCGTATATTATCCTTTTTGCCATTCGACGACCTCGCAGGGTTAAATTTAAGCAACAAACAATATTGGAACATATATAGGTGCAAAAGTAATGGCAGAATTTGGAATGCGAAAGTTCATTGGCTAGATGAATTTCTTGAAACAGGAGAGATGATATTCAGAGAGCAGCTTTACATTGCGGCCATGGGCGAGTTACAAACAGACGGGGCGGGAATGGCTGCCGAATATTCTAGAGTTGTCTGGAAACCCTATAGAGATGGATATGTTTGGTATCCACATAATGAGGTTGTGGACTTGCTTAAAATTGCTTGCACAGTCTCTGCAGGACCCAGCAGTAACACATATAGTTCCAAAACATTTAATTTGTACCGCAAACATGTTTACCCAGTCTCAGTCAAGGTGGCCGAAGGATCAAATGAAGAGGAGATAAAGATCCTTTACAGGAAATTTTTAGACATTCAAGATTCTCCGATGATGTTTTTCCTAAATGAAAAACTGAACCTGGAATTTGAAAACGTTGAGTTGATTCATAGAATCTCAACAAATGGTTTTTTTATTTGGAAAGTTTTAAAAGTGGATCACTATAACAAGGCGAAACATGTAATAGGCAGAGCTGTTCTGTCTCCTTATTGCGATGATTCAAGGGTTATGGCTATATTTAGTAAGTCGGAAGAGTGTGCTGCTTTTGGGGTTGGAAATCTGAAAATTGACGCGGACAATTTTCCTTTTGATGACGCTAACGTGCACTACATGCATGTCTGGGAAGCCCCATAAAAATTTATAAACCGCCTAATATTTAAATAAATGTTATACAAATATCAGAGATGTGGTGTTTTCATAACCCATTCGAACCAATAATTTGCAATTTAAGACTGAAACAATCCATTAACACATTTGAGACTCTTTATTATTGAAGGACCTTATGCAAGATTCTATATATAAATATTTTTAGATAAAGTATTAAATACTCGAGAAGATTCATTGTAAAAGCGATATCCGTGCAAAAGTGTTTATAAAAATAATGCACTTGTTGGAGAGGGTACAGCTACATTAACAGATAATTAATTGACTATGTTTGTGCGGTTGAAACTGTCTGCAACTCGGCTTCCTGGATCTGAAAGTCTTGTCTGTGACAAAAAAAAAAACGAAAGGGATAAATACAGCTTCTCGTGAATACAATTTCTTAATCGCCTACCTACCTTTTTCTTTCCCGAAGTATGAAGTACATCACCCCGGCATTTAAAACGAATAAAACAATCATAATGATCGTAGGTACGATTAATTCTGCAATAAAACTCGATGTTTACATCATGGTAGGAAACGATAAAAAATTTAGTCTACCTGACACCATATTATCTTGAAAAATTCAACAAACCCTGGATTCTCTTAGTTGCTTAATATTGGCGGTTATTCACAAATTCTTCTACTTATTTGAAATCGTTTTACATCGCTTTCCCACTCTTCAAGCTGATCGGTGACGTATGATCGTATATCAGACGTATTAGTCAAAAACGTGATTGAGTGTTTTTCAATGTTGTGATATGTTTATGTCAATATTGAACTTAACTCTTTTGGTATATTCAATATACATTTTTAAAGAAATCTTGGGTGTACGACTTAACAGAAAAAAAGAGTGGTTTAACTATATTTAAATTCAACTCGGCATGGCCTTTAAAATGAACTACAGTTTCGAAGGAAATTCCAAATCTAAACCGGAACAAAACCTATCCGGCGCAAGCAAGAAACTATCGAGAGACGTCTTATTACAAAAAACACAAGAAGAGCGTCGAAATCGACATGAACAAAGGTTAAAACTTCAAAGTGCCAAACTGCTACAGTCTCATATACGGAGCTACATAGTCAGGAAACGCGTCAAACACGCCGAGAGGCAGCAGTACGACTCCGAAGCCATGTTACACAAACGGCTAGCAAAACTTTTATTTTTTTTCGACAAAAACCAGGACATTTTTCGACTGTATGAGCTCGCCCATCAGTGTGTGGCCCAAAAAGATGTGGTAGAACGGCAAATGGAACTGGATACATTCTTCGCATGGTCAATAAAGAGATTACTAGTTTTGTGTTTGAAAAATTGTTTCGATCATCGGTTTTTGGACGTGACCCTCTCTGCACTGAATGCTTTCGCTCATGATTCGCAGACAGTGTTTTACTTAATAAAGAAAGGGTACTTTACATATTTACGATCCGCGCTTGACAGCGTTCAAGGTACACAACTTGAACAAATCATTGTACTTATTAGTAAACCATTCAAGTTTTTAAACGATTACGGGCCCTCCCAAGATCTAGTGATGTTCGAGTTTTGCAACAGTTTCCTCAAACCCACAATCACTGCAAACGTCAAGTTTAACCTATTCCCGTATCTGAAGCTACGCCTGGACGTAAATTACTACGAGAAGATTATAAATTATTTAAATAATAGTTACGATTTTGATGGTGGTAACAACCTGTTTTACAGCATATTGTTGCTTGAGCCAGACAATTACGAGCCCAATTTGGATAGCATACAGGTGTTGGCCGCGCTCAGCAAATATATTTACACTTTAAAGCCTCTCTCGGACTTGACCCATGATGACAGCGATGACGAAGACGAGGATAGAGATATGGAACAGCAAATATTGCTTTCCGATTATCTTCATATACTGAATAAACCCGAAAAGGTGAATATTTTATGTTGGAGTTTATATCCAAAGGAGACCCGTCAAGTCTGTGACTAAAATTGGCAAATAACAGAAACAAATGAAATATACAGGGGATAAAAGTGGTCCTCACCAATGTATATTCTACACAATGGATAGCTATTCTCTTGTTTTAGAAAACTGTATATTACAATTCCAACTTTGGCATGCTTTTTTTTATTGTGATTGGTAAAGAGGCAAGAAGGTTCGAAAACATCCCGCATTGTGAAAGTGGTTTTATGTTTGTAGCAAACCCTTTTGTTTGCGCCCATACGAATTCCATGGGGTTTAACTTACAGTGATATCGCGAAAAGCGAAATATTTCATTTCCTTTTGTTTTGAATCGATTTTGTTGACAAAGAGGTTTAACCAAATTTACAATCTCCAGTAGCTCATTTTTGGCGGTCTTTTCATCCTCTTTTAATACAGTTTCTTTTCTTTCTCTACTTCTCTCTGATGGGCCCGCGTTTTTACAGTTGCATAATGCTTTATAACTCTGTCGCATTAAGAAATAGAGTATACCATTAGCGTAGGGTATGATCGGTTATGATTTTATTAGTTATTCCCCTCCTGTTCCAGGTGCGCAAGTGGATAAATTTTTTTGAGGCGAATTTTGACAATCGCGACGTGCTGCTGGCGTTCGTCAAACTATGCCAAAATTTGCTGCTGGTTTACAACAATTCCATCAGGAAATACCTGTTGTTATACAAGCTGGGCTTGAACGGCACGTTCCTCGGCAGCCTGTGGCGCGACATTCGGAAAAAAGTGACCGATTTACAGTTGAAAGGCTCGTCGTTGGTAACGTGGAAGAGCGGCTACTCGGTCCTGGCCGTATTCTGCGACGTGTTCACCTTTTACACGGAAAACCTGACGGACAAGGAGAACTGCGACACGAGCGATACCTTCTCGCAGCAGGACCTGGAGGAAATGTCGAAACTGCTCAAAGAGACCGTCGTCGATCTGATAGACGTCGCGTACCCCATGTGCAGGTCGAGCGCCGTGACGGCGACCTTGGAAATCACCCACTTGTATAGGGCGTGTTTGACGTGTGTGAGGATACTGTACATGCTCGACATGCGCAAACACTACTGCCCGTCTGGCTTCTGGACCAGGAGAAAATTTCACGTTTCTCTGGACCTGGCAAGGAAAAATTACCTCTGCAAACCAAACCGTCCGTTCGGGGGGCTGGCGGCGACCATGACAAGCTACGCGGACGAAAATGAACACCTCCCGCCCATGTCCACCATAGAACAGCGGTCATTGGCCATCCTCCAAGAACTGCCATTTCTGATACCGTTCAATACGAGGGTTCTGCTGCTGCGCGACCTGTGCCGCTACAGTGTCGGCGAAAACGACTACCAGCGGATATACCACCAACTGATGAACGACAACACGATAGTGATCAGGCGGAACTACCTCTATGAGGACGCGTTCGAAAAGATCTCGACGAAGAGTGAGACGGATTTTAAGCGCCGCCTCAGGATTCAGTTTGTCAACAATATCGGTCTCGAGGAAGCCGGCATCGACGGCGGCGGTATCTTTAAAGAGTTCATCAACGAGGTAATCACTGCCTTTTTCAGTCATATTTAGCAATCTTAAGTAAGTCTGCAGTCGCCAAAAACTGTAATGTTGCCAGCTACTCCACAACAGGTACTGTTCCCTAATTGGGATGTCATATTTTTAGATCTTTGGACCAATTAATTTTATCATATGTTAGAAGTTATTATTACTATTAGTTCTTAAAACTCCCCTTGTATTCTGATCTCCAATTTTTCTTTCCTAGATCTTCCAATAGTTGCTTTCCATTATATCTAGATCTTGCTTGCAGGCTGCGACACAGCCAGAACCGCCTTTTTTGCGACTTTCGTTTATTTTTTTCCAAAAAAATAATTATGCAGCGGCTCTTTGTTTTCTACAATGCAATGTTTCCTTTATACTCAGTTACAAGGTCTTCAAGGCTATGCGTAAACCAAAAGTTCCTTCCTTTCATTCTTTTCTTTTACTCCCATTCCATCACTCTCTACTCTGTGTCCTCCATCTTTCCATATGCCATTCTTTGCGCTTTCTCTTGACTTTTAATCTTTTTGAACAGTTCCTCGAGTCATTTTTGCCTTTTCTCCTTTCTGCGGGTCATTCTGTACCCAAGTTTTTTTTATCTCCTTCTCGCCTCATATGATCCCTCCTCCGTCTCTTATCTTTCTGCCTTTTCCACCAAACCTCTCTCAATCGGTGTTTTCCAACGTGGGGTCCACGACGACCCACAAGGGGGCAATTTTGTAATTAACGGGGTGAATTTCAGAAGACAGTCCACCACTTTTGCTCCGGGCTATTTGAATGCAATGCTAGATATTGGTGACAACAAAAAGCAAGATCATAAAAAATTGCTGTAAATAATTGTTAGGTATAATTTCGTTTGACCTTCCCAACAACAACAATTGGGTGATCAGAGTTGTCATGTAAATTTCGTCGGGGATTTACCGCAGAGTGGGTCGCTTGCCGTGCGGAACCCCTGGATGTTTAAAAACTCGCTAAACAACGCTGTTGTCGGCAACCTAAGCGTCTCAACTCAACTTCTGTAGTGTTTCACTCATCAGTTGGTATTAATTTGAATGAGTGTCCATCAGTTAATCGTTGATTTAATAAATATATTTATATATATAGGATACATATAATTGGTAAGTAATTGTAATAATTGTAAGAAACGTTTTATATAATGAAACGAGGTCGTCTTGAGGCACATTTGAAGGCTAAGGCTGGTGCTATATTAAAGTCTCTATTTACTGCTCATACTTAAACTAACAATCATCAATTTATCAAATTTCTTTATTGATTGCTAAAACTGGAAAAGATCACACTATAGTAGAGAATTCGATAAAACCGTCAAAATCAGCATTTTTGAAACAGTTATGGAAAAAGGTAACGAAGATGGAAAACCTATCCCATTTAGAAACAAATGAGCGAAGACAACTTGTTGAAAAGCTGAAAACATGAAAACTCACAGTTCAAATGGATGAATCAACTTTGAGATACAGTGAAGCAGTATTGATAACTTATGTAAGATATATTGATAAAGGACATTTTGCTGAAGAAATGTATTGATAAAGGACATTTTGCTGAAGAAATGTTGTTCTCTAAAAGATTAGAAAGCACCACTACCTCGAACATATGTCTAACAAGTTAAAAAACTACTTAGATGTCAATGACATACCAATGAAAAATATAACATCTTGTGCTGCAGATGGCGCCGCCATTATCAAGTTGCGAATCCAGAAATGATTCTTGTTCATTGTGTTATTCATAAGGAAAACTTGGTAGCCAAAAATATCTTGCCTGTTCTAAATGAATTATTACATGTAGTAATAAAGCTAGTGCCAAATTTGAGCGTCTTTTTAAATTATTTTGTGAAGAGAAAAATTAAGACCATGTGAGACTTTTACTTCATACTGAAGTAAGATGGCTATCTAAAGGAAACTGCTTGAAAATATTTGATTTTTTGAATTTTGATTTGATATTTTTAGTGATTTTTTAATTGACAATCTGTTAACAATCGATAGTAGAGCATTTGTAAAAACAAAATATTTTAAATAAGCAACTTCAAGGAACAAATAAAACACTTGTCGACGCATATTTGGTTTCATTACCAATATAGAATTATATCAGAAACATTAACAACAAAAACTTTGAACAGTTTCATGGGCTCAAAAAATGTGAAGTAACTGATACTACTTTGTCAATCATTTAAATATTCTATCCGCTGAATCCAAACATGGATGATGCAGCTAGTATTAGTGGATTTGTCTGATATATCAAATATGCAGTATCAAGAACTCGCAGAATTGCAATTTTATACAAAAGGAGTGATGGCATGGCTTTGTGAAAAAGCTTTAACTAAATACCCAAATGCAACCAAAAATGCAAGATACCTTTTACTACCGTTTCCGTCTTCATATTTAGCCGAGTGTGGCTTTAGTGCTGTAAATGATTTACTGATAAAAAAAAAGAAATCGACTGGATATAAACAACGTGGAGACTTGAGATTAAAGCTAACTGAATTGGAACCTAATATAAAATATCTATGCAGCAAGCATCAAGCGCAAGGATCGCACTAAATGAATATAGAAAATCTGTATTAAAATTATTTTGAATTTGAATTTCACTTTTTTATTATATGTTTTGAAATATTATATATCTTCCTAAAAACCTATCATTTACGTTTCTTAAGTGAAGAAATGGGGGCATACAAATTTTAGAAATCTTACAGTGGGGCATGGCACAGAAAAGGTAGGGAAACGCTGCTCTAAATCGTATTTTCATCACGACAGGTGCTGAAAACCGCGTTCGACCCGAACAGAGGATTCTTCCTGATGACGGCCGACAACGCCCTCTATCCGAACCCGAACGTCCACCTGATAGTGTCCAACTTCGCCGATCACTACAACTTCATCGGGCGGCTGGTGGGGAAGGCCATATTCGAGAACATCCTCGTCGACCTTCCGCTCGCGGAATTTTTCTTGGCGAAATTGCTCGTGGACAGGGCCAGCGCCCATTATCTAAAATCTCTCGATCCGATCCTCTACCGGAACTTGCTCTACCTGCGCGATTATTCCGACGGGGACGTGAGCGATTTGGGACTCGACTTCACCGCCGTCAACAACGACCTGGGCGAGACGACGATCGTCGAACTGAAACCTAACGGTCGCAACATCCCGGTGGTGAACGAAAACCGCCTGGAGTACATCCAGAGACTGGCCGACTTTAAGCTCAACGCGCAGCTGAAGAAGCAGTGCGCGGCGTTCCGCGAAGGGTTGAACAGCTTCGTGCCGTTGTCGTGGCTGAAGCTGTTCAATCACCGGGAGCTGCAGGTTATCGTATCGGGAGACACCCAAGAGATCGACCTCAGCGACCTGCGCGCGCACACCGTCTACTCCGGAGACTTCACCTCAGACCACCCGACTGTTCTCCTCTTCTGGAAGATACTTTACGGTTTCACGGAACTACAGAAGAAGCAACTGCTCAAGTTCGTGACAAGCTGTTCGCGGGCACCCTTGCTCGGTTTTAAGGAACTCAATCCGCAGTTTTGCATCCAGTCGTCCGGCACGGAGAACCGAATGCCCACGGCTAGTACCTGTCTAAATCTGCTGAAGATACCCGTGATACGGGAGGAGGAAACGTTGCGGACGAAAATACTCGCAGCCATCGAACAGAATGCAGGCTTTGAGCTGTCTTAGACCCCCTCAAGTGCAAAGTGAGGTTAGATCTACTGTGAACTTACTGACAATGATTGTTCTACATGTTACAGTCTGTTATTATATTACCGTGTAAATAGCGCGAAATAAATTATTTTTCAAAAAAATCACGGGCCATTTACCTACAATAGGTGTTTTCTGTTAGCGGTGTTTTTTCCTCATATTTTAGGACGTGTTATTTTTGCGTTGAGGTACATACTAACATAATAGTTTTTTTTTCATATAATTGTAGAAGATGTGTGTAACTAACCAAAACGATTTTCCGACACAATGAAAGAAAAAAGTTTTAATTTAAATCCCCAGAAAAAGACACCATCTCGAGAAAAAGTGATCTATCTTCGGAATTAAAGCAAAAACATCATGTAAATTTGGAAATTGAGCCCCAGAAGGGTCTACTTATCTTAAACATGTATTTATAACATTGAAAAAATGTTTATTGTTTTATATCTGTTCCATGGTTGTATGGAACAAATCATTATACCAATTATACCTCCCTATACACTTTAAATTCAATAGAAATTGCAACGTTAGTTTAAATTTACTACAACTTTATTTTCATATAAAATTGGTTATGATTGCTTATACTTTTATCAATTTAAAAACACTTCTAAACTGCTTAGTCACTCATCCATATCCCAATGCGAAATGACAGGAAGCGAAATTTCTTTAGGTACATTAAAACCTAACCACAAATTATGACCTTGCGTTTCCTGTAGTGAAAATTTTTTATCATAATTGTCAGCACGATGTTTTTGGTGAGCATAGTTTTAAATCAACAAAAGAAATGTTTATTCGTTTTTCGTACAATTATTAATAATTAAATTATGTAAGCGTTATCATCGCAAAAACTTTACACAACCAAAAAGAACCAACATAGTAATTCCAAATGTTGACACTACCAGGAATGTTTTACGCATTTTGCTGATCGTGTTGTCATACGGTGTCAGCATCTGTAACACAATTGGTTGTAGTTCTTGTAATTTACAGTGAAACAAGCAAACCTTCGATTCTAGTGCTAAAATTTTGGCTTCTAAGGAATGCAGAGACGATTCTAAACAGCGAACCGCACCTCCATTTCTGATGTGACACAAGTCAACCTCGTCTTGTTTTAATATATTCGAAAGGATTTCGAAATGCTTGTTAAGGTGAACCGACATTAAATGCAATACGATCAGGGTATATTCCAAATCAATTTTAATTTCCTGCTTTTTTCTGAAAATCGATTGTGAGCGACGAAACACTTGCTGTTAACTCCCGGTACTTACTCGGTGGGAATTTGCAAATTTGCGAAATGATTTAAAATATCGGTGCGAAGGTTCTCGTCCTCGATTCCGATCGCCGACAAGTCTTCGTGACCGAGAATTTTAAAAACATAAGGCTCGATGCCAAACTCGCGAAAATTATCGATGTACCGTTCTGCCTTGCAAGTTCTTAGTATTGGTTCTAACAACGCCATCCTGTCCAGGTAGACCCGTTCGGCTGTTTTATACCATAGACCTTATGATAGAAGAGAAACTACCCCTCGCAAATTCAAAAGTGGTAAGGTTAGGTACTGGTGCTTCTTCTTAATTAAATGATTTCAGCCTATTTGACAGTACAACTGGGCCGTTCAAGAACCAAAAGTTGATACGAAATACGGCTTTTAAGCGAATTTTTAAATTATCTATTTTACTAATTTTCTATAATAAAATTAACGACTTTTCGTACGCTCCTAAACACCAATTCATAATTGCAGATTATTTCCAGAATCTTGTCAAAGTCTTGTTCTTGACCTTTACTGAGACTGAGAAATAATTAAGGAATATTTTGCATGCGCGTACTGTATATATTGTCGATGTACAATAAAATTCCAAATCATTACTGCTCTGAACGAAATCGGCGATGACGACGTCCTACGCGGCAATTGGGAAAAAATTATTCAAGTGGCGTTTTCTTGTTTTCGAATAAATTACAAAGCTAGCTTGAAAAACTGATGGAAATACAACGGAACGCATTCTTAAGCATCTCGTGAGTCAGTCGCGCTCGGCAGTTATCATCTGATAGGGTTTATCAGTGTAAACAACTAAATTAGAGCGAAATATGTATAGGTGCGTCTGTTCGTTTCTTGCCGATAAATCGAGAACAACATGGCAACCAAAACGAAAACCGTAATTGGTAAGTCGCAGCAATGCGCGTGTCTATTTTAAAGCCATCGAGGCCCGGTATAATTTTAGATCGCAGGAGCCTTTGGGTCGTCATAGCGACGGTGATCCTCATAGTCCTCATTGTGATATTAGGCGTGCTAGTGCACTTGTTCGTGGAAGAGACGCTGGCCAGAATAATTTTGATTGCTTTGATATGCCTTCTGAGCGTTTTGGGCGTCGCCGTCGTCACCTACCTGGAGTTACGCAAGCGGAAACTAAACAGTGCGAAAACGACCGCAAAGAACGGATATTACTACAACAACATCCACCCTAACAACGCGCCCAAAGACACCAACTGGGAATACAACGACAGGACTAGAGTGCTATGACAGTTTTATCCAAATAATATAATTTTGATACGCCGGTTTTTAAAACAATTTTATCATAACGCCCGGGCAATTGTTCCTACCTTTTACGATTGGAATTCACGGTGGAAACGCCTCGAGAAATGACTCATCCTGCTCGAACATCGATCGTTGTGCAAAATTATTGCTTTGAACACTCACAATTGTAAATAACAAAAAGTAGCGTCGTGTTTCTATCCGTCATTTGCTTCACAATTGGCTATCGCGACACGAAACAAAACGTATCGTTTTAAAAGCAATTATTACCCTTTTAGGAAATCTAAGGAACTCATTTTTTTTTTGTTTACGATGATATCATGGGTTTCGTAAAGTCGTTTATGCAGTGCTGCCAATACCTTTTCGATCAACACGGCTTGTGCAATGTAGGTAGGTGAGCCATAGGGTGGGCCACCACCTTATCTCAGAAACTATACGGGATGGAGCCAAAAGTTAAATACAAAAGTTAATTGGGGTATTACAAAGCTTTAATTTATTTTAATATACAGTATATACAGGGTGTTTCATTTCTCGTGGGCGAGTCTCAACTTATTTTAAAACCTGGATATTAGTTCATTTTTGAATTCTATACGACATTGCGTATAATGTCCTAAACCTAGGTCTAACGGTTTTTGACATTTTTAATTTTTTATGCGAAAAATGATGTTTGCAAAATATCTGCCAATTTTTTCATTCAAAAGCATTTATGGTTTCACTTGAGTAAATTTTGTTGTCGACGAAGGACTGGAATAACGGATTTCATAAGAAATTTCGATACATGGTACGCGAAAAATAAGATTAAAAATAAAATTAAAAAAAAATGCCAAAAAACTTTTTTTAATGGAAACCACGCACTTTTAATAATCTTGTTATAATTTAGCATTAAAAATTAAGGCAATTTTATATAAGGTTGTATATGCCCAATATTACTTTTTGAAATATTTCCTTTGTCTATCACAAATAATATGCTGTTTCCATATAAGTTCAGTTGGTGTAAGCTGGCTATGACGGCGTTTAAACAAAACAAGTGCTGCCACTATGAATTGCTATTTCATAGTTCCAAAGATGTATGCATCATTTTCACAAAATAAAACCAAGGATAAGCGATAACGTTGGTGATATTTTTTGGTAATGAACGATCAATAAAAAATTAATATATAATAATATACAAGCAGTATAAAGGGTCTTTAAATACATAATGGCATTTCTAAAAGATTCGGGTTAAATCTCCAGGGGTCTCTGCAAAATACAACAAAATATTAAGTTGCTCTTCATCATTCAAAATATGACAACGTCTATCTTTTTCTTTCTTCAAAGTTCCATATATTTTAAAGTGTTCGTAAATCCTCTCGAAGATCTTTTTTTTTTTGGGCGCATTCTTAATGGAAATTTTCTAATATAATCTCTAAGGGCCAGGGTATGTAACTTTCTAACATCAATCTTTTCGTCTGTGGTAAACATAATACGCAAGCAGCATCCTAGCACTTATTTTGTTTAAAGCTGTCATAGCCACCTTACACTAATCAAATTTATATGGCAACCGCATATTATTTGTGACAAATGTTTAAAAGGTAATATTTCAAAAAGTAAAAATGTAAAATACAACTTTATATAAAATTGTTTTAATTTTTTATGCTAAATATGACAGGATTATAAAAACGGATGGTTTCCATTTAAAAAACAATTTTTTATGGCAATTTTTTTAATTTCATTTTTAATCGTATTTTTCGCGTTCCCTGTATTATTAAATATCGAAATTTATTATGAACTTCGTTGTTCGAGTCCTTCGTCTACAGCAAAATTTACTCAAGTGAAACAAAAAATGCTTCCGAATGAAGAATTGGGCAAATATGTTAAGCCTCGCAAACGTCAATTTTCGCATAAAAAATTAAAAATGCCAGAAACGGTTATACTAAGGTATAGGATATTACACAAAAAATGTCTAGAAATTTTTATAGAATTAAAAAACGAATATACCAGGCGTTCCATTTATAATAAGAAAGTTGATACTAGCCCACGAAAAATTAAAACATCCTGTATATACAACATTATAATAAATTAAAGGTTTGTATTTAACTTTTGGCTCCATTCCCTATAGTTCCTGAGATAAGGTAGCGTCCTAAGAAAAACGGGCTAGCCTATACAATGTGAGATGTAGCGGTGTTTCAATGGATGGATAAGAAAAAAATAGATTTGTTTGAACCTGATGTTTTGGTTCGAGTGTAGTTTTCGAATCGGTAGAACTAGTTTTAAGCACATGCGTGAATTTTGCACCTGTCCCAAACGATTTTGTCATGTGACATGTCATAAAACTGTTCTTGTTTTTTTGCAAGAGGCAAAGAAGTTGTATTTTTAGATGCTTAATCAAACAGCAAACACTAAAGTTACAAAAAAAGCAGTGGTGGGCTGGAGAGGAGACGTCATAAATAAAATTAATAAATTAATGAAAATTTTCGAAACGTGTATATATACACTTTTTTTTAATAAGGAATCGCGCTCTACAGGAATTTTTGAAGTCACGATGAAAAAATATCCATTTAATTAACAGGCGCATATACGATCATTTGAAATATCGTTCTTAAGCAACTAACATGGCTGCAGACAGTTCGGCAATTCGACAGGATTCAGTTTAGATGTAGCAATTTTACAGTATTTTCTCAAAATATGCCTAGATCTCGTCAAATCTTTTGGGAAAACGAATTAAGTGCGTGGAGGTCGCCGTCTGGAGAGAAAATGGTGGAAAGTGTAAGTGCAATGATAATACAATTTCAAACATCAAATTTTCTCAGTCCATCAAATGCAACGAAAAAAGAACATAAATGGACGTAAGTGACACCAACATTATAATAGATTTTTATGGAAAATATAAAAGAAAACTTGGGACGAAAATTCCATTCCCTTCAAGCAGTTCCTACTGACTAGTATCGAAATTACCTTCTTCAACGATAACCGTTTTAGGAAGGTAATTTCCAGTAGATTAATTTTGTTTTTCAATTTCGTACAAACCTTGGATGCGTCAAAAAATGTTTGAACAACTAAAAATTACCGATTTTTGCGTAGTTCCCTGTCGCGTTGGAACATCTTATATATAGATTCGTTGGAGAATGATACGATCACGGTCAGAACAAACATTCTGATTTTAAAAGAAGCTTGAAAAGTTTTTTTGATTGTCGTAATTAAAAAACTGCGCATAGCTAAAAAGGCAAACGCTTCCAAGTAAAACAAAAAAGTTTCGTCATGGTTCCAATAGGATATATAAAAAGGGCTTTTATTAAAAAACGAACCGAAACGGTAGAAAAGTTTACATTCAATGCGAATAATAATGAGTACAAATACACCTCACCTATTACACAGTCTAATATATAATATGACGTACTAACAATCAAATAAATACGTAGCAGTTTATACAAAAAACGAAACATACTAGGGAGTGTTTGGACGCTTAAAAAGTTTTTTTCTCATAAACCATTTTGTCCTATGATCTTAAAGGTAGAACACAAATTTGGTACTTTTTTGTCGCTTATAAATCCCTGGTCACAATCTGCAAATTTTTGATCAGAAAAAAATGGGAAGCTCGCGAAAAAAGGAGGGATAACTAACCAACTTCTAACTAAACCTAACCTAACTAAAATAACCAGTCCAAAAACTCCCGAGCGCATTGACTAATAATAAAAAAAAACTGACTTAGAATGGTTCATTACAGTCGATATATGTAGGTTTTTTTTGGTGTCGTTTTCCCGATAGATTCCGATCAGAAAGTGTCCCCGTGGTAGATTGAATATATATATGGCACTATGATGACAGAAAAACCACGCGACTTAGAGTAGTAGTGCGGGGGCAGGAAGGTGGGGGAGGGGATTAAATGGGTCTAGCCTTCCTTACGAATAAGTCGATGTCCGTGACGTACAAAAATATCGTTATCGATCGCAGCTCTCCGCTCACTGCTGGAACTTTTTCGACGCCAGTTCGAGCTTTTTCTGGCCCAACATCAACTATCTTATCATCTCCAAGTACTTCTGCTTGTGTTTGGCCAACATTTCCGTCACGGTCACCAGCGTTTTGATCGACGAATTTACCTGGGACGGATATGCGTGACGGTATAGTTTATTCAAAATTATACGATTATAAAAAAATGGTAAATACGAAAGCAAAGAGCTCCCCTTTTTTTCATTTACCGTTAATAATTCATCGCCAAAAAAGGCAGTTCTCAGAAACTTGGAGATTTTTGCCCTTGAAATACTCATAGCGCCGGATCTACTACTGTTCCCGGTACACCAATTTTTCCAATTGGGTCAATGAATTTCAATAAAAAAAATTTCTGGGACTGGGAATAAAAACCAAAAAAAAATTAATTAAAAAAACGGATTGTACCCAGAATTTGCAGGTTACTTATGGGGGTGGAATTTAACAACAATTCCACCAAATTTAAAAAACTTTAAATAGAAAAGATAACTGAAATATCGGGTTTAAGTTATGGTCGATTTTCATTAAATGGGGAACTCAATTTTCAGTTTTTTTTGCAAATAACGGGCACGCCCAGTACTTTTTTGAATATTGTCAACAATAAAATTTAATAGCATTGTATCCCGCGGATTTTTTTTCCAGTCACCCCAATTTCAATGTGCCAAATTTCAAGTCGATAGCTTCAAATTTCGAACACTTAATTCGTGTCATAGCGTTGTTCTAACAGCCAAAATGGCAAAAAAACCGCCGCGGATATGCGATCGCAGCCATTTTTTACTGATTTATTATGTGTCTCGTAGAGTATTAAACAGCCATAAAACAGAGAACGAACAGACAAAAAACTATTTTTTTTTCAGCTGAATGGTTCTATACCAATGGCGATCGCGTAAAAACAACCGTTAGCGAGATCTCGAGTTTACGAAAATATCAAATGAGTAATTCTTAGTGCATTGTTTAAAAGTTGCCCACACAACGCCACTGCAATAATTTCCACCCTGAGTGCTACAACAAAAAAAAATTCAAGAAACAATTTATGGCGACAGGTTTGAAAATGTCGTGACCTTTGGTAGAACTCAGCATAAACTACCCGAAAAACTCAAATTACCTTGGCTACCGCTTGAAGCTCGGGGAGGTGGGCGACGCATATATGGTGCAATGTTGCCAACTCTTTGGCGGTGTCCGGTTTCGATACTATACGCGGATCGCCTGGGTCGTTGACCATGGACAGCTGGTCGAGGAACACCACCATCCGCTCCTTGTTCTTCAGTATGAATGGGTTGACCACTTCCATATAGGGCTCCTTACCTCCGAACTCGACCAAATTGGCCAAATTCTGGAGGCACTTGGCCACCATGACGAGGCTGCGGGTGGCTGCCGGACTCGGCTGTTCGCTGACCAACCCGAATTGGCGGGGATTGAGCAGGGCAGGGCACAACAGCCTGAGGAATATGAAACCCGACACCACCCGGGTACGCACCAGCCGCTCGTCCGGCCATTTTCCTGCGGCCGCCCTCTGGAGGCAGCCGCAGATGTAGCGCAGCGACCTCGGACAAGCGTCAGGGGACGTGAAAATCGACAACGTCACCTGGTCCAGCACCTATACATAGAATTTGAAAAACTTAAAACTACGTTCCCGGCAGCATTTACTATTGATTAGCAATAGGCTATAAATAAATGGCTCTGATTAATGATTGCTAATTGCAGGTGCCTTGACATTGTTAATCGGCGCTATGTTTTGTGTATACACGCATTTTGGCGCCATCTTTTGCTAATCGTTGGTACAATTTACGTTGACACTGCAAATCAGCGGTATGTTTCGACTACATGCACATTTTTGCGTCACCTTTCCTGAGACTTACATTTCTGTTTTGTTTTTCTTGTCGGTGACTCTTATTTACTTAACAAATTAACATCATACTGCTAACAAATTTTCGCTACAAACTAGTAAGTCTATCCGAAGAAAAAACGGTTCTATGGGGTGATATTAATTCTAAGGACAAATGTATTCATTGGATGGATAACTCGGGTTTTGGATGGTTTTGGTTTAGTTTATCAAATATCTATCAATTTCTGTGCGATTTAATTATCATTATACTATGCTCTGTTTCTTAATGCGAGATCATTGTTGGCGTAACATTGTAGGTATTGTCAAGAGTCCCGAGAGTGACAGGTAGGCGGACAAGACTTAGTGTTTAAAATTAGAATTATAGTTATTTTCCGGCGGTTGTCGACAAAGTTCGTTCTTATAAATGGCTGTTTCTGAGTTTGTTGGAAATGGGAATGGAAATTCGTACGAAATATAATATAAAATAAAATATAACGGTACTTTATCTTCCGCCATATCACTTGGAATTAAGACCCATAGAATTGCTATGGGAATAAGTAAAAAAGGTTGTAGCGCGGCATAATACCAGTTTAAAGACGAGAGACGTTGAAACCATCTTGCAAGAAGGCATAAAGTGTTTCAAACATGTGATTGAAATAGAAGAAAGAAAGCTGCTAGCTATTTTTTTCTTCTATATCAGTTTTTGTTTACTTGACCTTAGGATAATGAATATCTTAATTATCTCCCCATCTCTATTATTATAATGAAGTATAATTATTATTATATTTATTATTATTGGTCTCTTTCATTAAACTCGTCCTTCTATTGCATATGTTATTTTCTGTTTAGATTTCAATTTTCCATGCAAGTTTGTAACGTCCTCCTTTATTTTGTTTCAAAAGTTATTAAAACACAATCAAAGCGTTGGTTTCGTAACTAACTTCATAAACTGAAATGCATCTGTTTTTTGATAAACCTCTGAGGAACATACTAAGGAGCTAAATCAAGAAATCAGGTAAAGCAGCAGGAAATAGAAGTGCTTATCACTGATCCAGAAGACAATCTACAACAACTACTTCTCCTTTTCATTCCAGATTAACCATGATAGTAAACATCAATAAGACCAAATACAAGACCTGGTAAAACGTAAATTAGAAATTAATACGAAAATTATCGAACAGATCAATCAATTTACGTATGTGAGTGCGGATTTAATAATTGTTGGTAATTTGAAAAGGAAAGTACAAGAACAAATGATGAGAGTTTCTCGTCACTTCTGGATGCCTAAAAGATATTATATGGAGGAACAAATATCTAAACATGGAGAGGAAAGCAAAGATATATAAAAGCTCCATTAATAATGAAAACAGTAAGATCCATGTTAGGAAAACCTCTATATGACAGAGTGAGAAATGAAGACCTTAAAGAACAATGTGTATTCCGAGATGTGACATAATGGGTTAGAATAAAAAGAAAATTCTGGAATAACGTGAACAGAATGAATGACGACAGATTGTCAAAAATAGCAAAGAAGAATATACCACTGGGAAGAAGATCCAGAGGCAAAGCGACGAGGACGTTAAAAGGAAGAATGCCCTCACCCTCATCACCCTCATCAGGAGAGGTTTTACTACTATAAACAGGTGATAGCGTACCATATGGGAAATGATACTGAAAGAAAAGAAGAAGAACAAACTAATCTACTCGCGTTTAACAAGGCAAATCGTCCCAGCAATGAGCAACAGCCAATCAGACACCTTAATTTATATTCTGTTGCTAATAATGGTAGCTTCTGGCTAAATGTAACCCGCCTACCTGTAACAAAAACTCCGCGTTGGCGCACGCATCGTCCAGCGACTCCATCTTGGCCGGATTGAGTTCTGCGGACTGCTTGCTCTCTAGCAGGCGCAGGACCGTCTCGAGAACGGCTGCCTGCAGGAAACCGCCGCACTCCGCCCTCATGTAGAGGTCCATGAGGGTGGTGGCGAGGGAGGCGGCGCGGAACAGAGTACCGGTCTCAGTCTCGCGTGCCACCTCCGCGCAGTTGAGCTCGCGCAGCAGCTCCGTCTCTCTGCCCTCCGAACGGAAGACGCGCAGTAGCGCAGTTGCGAGAGGGGCGCGGTCCAGGTGACAGATTTCCGCCAGTGTTTTGACGGATGCCAAGCCCGGCTCGAGCAGCAGTTGCTGCAGCGGGCTGTACTCCTCGCCGGGCATCACCAGGTCATGCAGGTATCTGTGGATGGGGCGGGTTTAACGGAGCCGTTTGTTATTCAAAGAATCCCGCATGAAATACATGAGAAAATGAACTTAACCCAAATTTAATTCAGTTTTAGTATAAAATGTACAATTTATATTAAGTTTCTTTGTCTAGCTTCTCAGATATTAGTTTTAAAAATGTGTAAAAGAGAGAAATGACATAAAGTATAGCAAATATGCAATAACTTATTGTTGCTATCAAGAACCTGTTAGTTTGTATACGAGGTACAGTGAAAAAAGTATAATTTATTCGAATTTTCGTTGGATACTATAGTTGGAATTATGTCACGCTGGTTTCAAATATTTTATTACCTAAACGTATAAAGTGATATTTATGATTGTTGTGTGGCTAAATTGTGTTGTATTTGAAGCTCGTTCAAAAGAACCTTGAACAAAATTTTAATTTGAAAAATATTGCTTATAAAAGTAAGTTTATACTATTATTATATTAAAAGAACCACAGTTTACAAAAAAAGTGTAGTTCTATGTAGTTCTAATATCAGCAATTAAAAATTGTACAATTTAAATCTTCTTTGAGAGGCGCTGTTATTGGGTATGACCGGTTGTGACGACAATTCGCTCGTTAGATTACCCGCCAGCCGGACGGTAGAATAATAGAGAAGCCATTAAACAACGACAAAACGTTCGTCTTAGTGGTTTTAATTTTAATTTTAGTCTCGATCCAGTGGCTTGCTTTTGTTATTTTGTGTTTAGTATCAAAAAGAAAGTTTTGAACATGTCCGAAGCCGATTTTTTAAAAGGTCCATCTAATAATTTACCTTTAGTAGATGTGTTTATTGTGATATTTTACATACAAAGTTTTGCTTTTGTTGAGGTTCGCGGTGTTATAAGCTAAAAAGTTATATTCATAGATAATTTAGCAATTAGTTTTAAATCAATTTAATATTATAATCAGCTTAAAGTTTTCTAGTTTCTTAAATTCAAATGGTACATCAAATAAAATGTAAATTATTCAACAAAAAAAAAAACGAAATAATGATTTTAAAGTATATTGGCATTGATAACTTAAACTTTATTTTATACAGATCTGGAAGCCATTCCTACGGAGACTGCAATAGGATAGATGCAAGTTGCTTTCACTGTGATCATATAAAGCACACTAAATACAAACACTTTACACGAGCCAAAAATAAACGTAAATAATATAATTCGCGGCCAATAATTTGAGAATAACGCTATAACATGACGCCGTATCGATCGAAAAGCAGCGGTATGACGATCATTACCGCTCGTTTGGTATCGTTTAAAAGGAATAGCCAGGTGTCACAATTTGTATTATTAATTGCAACTTAAATATTGAGTTTTGAGTTTTGATATTTGGTATGCGTTATTTCTATATATAAACAAATGTATTAAAGAAATAAAAAATATATTCAAGTTCCCTATTACATTATCAATCTGCGTTAGGATTTTTAGCTTGTTCTTTTTCCAATTGAAAAAATATAAAAAGATATTCAAAACTATTAGCTGTGATTGCTAATCTTCGCGGCATCTTGCAAAAGTTTATAAAGTCACAACAAATCAATGAAAATAACCACAAAATCATTCCAGATAGGTAATGCACTTCTTTATTTTCATTTTTTTACCCCGCAAGATATCGATATTTAGATTCGTCTTAAAAAAATTATACTGTTCTTTATAAAAATGAATAAGATATAGTAATTGTCTACAATTACTAGATTTTGTCCTTTTTTAGAAAAAAATTGTGTCCAGAGGCCCCCGACATCTTGCTGGTTATACAAATTCGATCAGAAACGAAAAACGAATACATCTAGAATTTATGGAAACCAATACTTTTAAGTTTTTCTTCTTCAAAGTTTTAGTAATACCCAACAAATCTTCGAAAAATTATACTTTTTGTGTGCAATTCGACTCTCGATAGCGATAATTTTTTAACACAAAATCATCTCTACTTCGCTTGCTTAATAATTAAACGCTTTTTTTTTTAAACTTTAATAGCCAATATTTCAGAAACTTAATGTAAATCGGCCATTTTTTAAAATGTGACTAATATTAATTAAATTCGGGTTAATATCCATATTCCCATATATTTCATACGGGGTTTTTATCATGAAAAGCGCACATTTTACAAAGCCCGAATATTTTCATTGATTTCCTACGAATGTTTTCCCAAACTCCTATTATATCATGTAACGACATCCCCTTTTATTTCTTGGGGACAGGTTGGAAAAATGACATATATTGGTCGAAAATAGACCATCATTATTAATTACCTCGTCCTCAGTCTTAACGAGCCCCATTCGCCCATGGGCGTGAGGCCGGAAAGGGAGTACCACTCCTCCCGTTCTTCGCCGTTGCCTAACCCGGACAGTTCGAGGTGGAGCTCGGCTACTTCAGTGTCTTTGCCGCGCTTGCCTTTATTGAAAACGGTCAGCGAAATGGAGACCACGTCGCACGGCACGTCGCTACAAATGCAAACCACGAAAGTGAGACACGTGACGTACAAAGGTAGAATTAATTAATGGTTTTATGAATTTCCTTAGCTTTTATCAACTTAACAGCAGTTTAAACAGCCACAACAGACTACATGAATTAGTTGTGTCCAATATCGAGTGTACAGTCACAAAAGAGTTCTTGCCACTCATTGTGGTCAAAATAAAAGCCTTCAAACCAATTTACAACAACGCAAATACAATTTCAGGGGAGCAGATTTCCACAAACTCTACAACCACATACTTCATACTTGAATGGTCAAATTTACTAAGTAATAAAAATGTTAATGAGGTCTGACAAGTTTTACCAAACATTGTATACTATTTTTAACGACTACTTCCCTTTACCTATTATCCACAAAAGATCATTTCCGGTATGGTTCATATCCGAAATAATCAAGGCAATTAAGCGAAAGCATAGGTTATTCAAAAAACACAAATACAACAAATCAGAGACAGTTTTAATCCAATAGAAAACAATATGTGCGGACATTAAACGAATGATTGATGTCGCATACAGAAACTACATCTTTAAGGCCGAAAATGCAGTCACAGAGAATCCGACTTCTTTCTCGTCGTTTATTAGATGTAAGCGCTCAAATATGGAATTGCCAGAGATTTTCACTTACAGCCCTGAAGAGATCGTTAATGAGTTTGCTAAGTTTTTGTGGGGGTTTACAATACTCAACCACAGATCCCTCAGTTGAATGGATGTTCTAATGCATTTATTACCATTGTTCACTTAACTGATTATTAATATATTAAGAGCATTAGTACAAGTTAAGAACAAAGTATCTTGTGGTCCTGGTAAAGTTCCTTGTTTTTCGTTATGCTACAGGCCTGCATCGATAACATCGCACCATCAGTAATTTGGCTTGCTTTACAGAATTCACTGCTAAGGTTTTGTAAGACAGGAGGCGGGTGGATGTGCTATACACAGACTATTTAAAAGCCTTTGACCGGGTGGACCACACTGTACTGCTCTCTAAACTAAGGATGTTTGGATTTTGTGATGACTTTGCAGCATTCATAAAGTCATATTTGCATAACAGAATACAGTACAGTAGCTCCGCGGTCACTCATCGCTTAAGTTCATGGCTAGTAGCGGCGTTCCCCAGGGTAGCAATTTAGCGCCACTGATATTCTTGCTTTTCATTAATGATATAGTAGCTGATATTGATAGTCAAATTTTGCTCTTTGCTGATGATGTGAAATTGTATAGAATAATTGATAGTGTGGTCGACTGTGTGTCTCTGCAGAATGATTTGGAGCTTATTGGTTCTTGGTGTGCTTCTAATAACCTACCCCTAAATACAGATAAATGTGTCGCAATATCATTTTCAAACAAAACTAATACTATAACTTTTAATTACCATCTGGATCGCGTATTATTAAGAAAATGTGACAATTTCAAACTAATGGGTGTAATGTTTGACAAAGAATCATGCCGATAAAGTCTGTGGAAGTGCACTCAAAATGCTGGGATTCATAGTGAGAAACTCTAAAGATTTTGCAAGGCGGCAACATACTCAAATTGAAAATGAACAGAGAAAGTTTCTGAAATTTCTTCACTGCATAAAAATGGTTTCTACCCGGCTAGGGGACTGCCACAAAGTGACTTATTACTAATGTTTAAGGTTACCTCACTGTTGAATCGTAGGAAGTACCTTTCATTTCAGTTTTTATATAAACTTTGCAATTCATTAGTGGATTGCCCTGAGTTGCTGAGCCAGCTAAACTTCCATGTTCCCTCAAAGACTATAAGGGCGTCACCTGTATTTCACCTAGCAACTAAAAGAACCAATTTTTTGATTAAACGTGTTCTCTCAGTTGATGAAATTATTTAATGACTTCTGCAATGATATTGTATTTTTAGTCTCAGCCGCTCACAGTTGACTGCATATTATAATTATAGTTATAGTTCTCACGATGAAATTGTCTTCTAAATGGATAAAGATTATTATTATCATAAATGTTAACCTTCCATAACTATTTTATTTTACATTTTCGAAAACAAAGTTTCATACAAAAGTTATAAGGTTTAATGTGTACAGGGTATCCCATTTTGCACACTTTTAGGGGGCATCTCAGTTATTTTTAAAGATAGAGAGTCGCGGTTTACGCGACACTGTGCTACTTTTTTGTGAAATTAAACTATCGATTTTGGGACTCGTTTCTCCGTTGTCTTATGAGTTACTGAAGAGTTTAAAAAACGTTCATATAGGATTTCTTCCGTATAATCCAGTAGCGTTATTAAGCAAACATATATATTTTTAAATGGAACACATAATCTTTTACATTAATTGGAAATCATTTAAAATTCTTTTATTTTTTATTTATAGCAGTAGCAGTAGGTCATAGTAAATCAATTAAATCGACTAAAAATAAGACACCTAACTTATTATTATTACTTAGTTTCGAAAAAACAGGATGAAAATATATTTTTTTAAAATAATAATGTCTTATAAATATTATGCTATTATAATATTAAGTAGATAGTTGGCTATGACTCACCTACTAAAAACAAAAAAGCAAATGTGCCAAAAAATTACGAGGCTGTCAGTTTTTAATTATATTTTTATTCCCAGTGCATGAAAATTTTAAAAAATATGGTATGTTGGTATGTTTTATACAATGCAATGAAATTGCCCAAGAAGCTTTGGCAATTTCCACATATTACCACAGATAAGGTTTTTAAAGGCATATAGTCAGTATAATTTTTATATTATAGAAATATGTTTTGTTTATATTAGATATCCAGAGAGACTACAACCGTCTCCAGATACATTTGCTTGTCTGAATCTAGTTAGGCACGCATCCCTTAATCAACCAAGTCCTAAAAATTATTTGAAGGAGAACAGGGAGCAAATAGAAACAAAGGTATTAGGTTACATAGAAGCAACGCCATCATCATCTTGCAAACACAAAGAACAAACAGTAGGAGTACCAATATCGATGCATGCAAGAGTGTCCAACATTTGCATCCTCGAGATGCCGAGCGTCGGATGCAGTTTTGCAACTGGCAACAAATACGATTCAACGATTCCTTTTGGAGCCTTGTAATATGGTCCGACGAATGTTACTTTACAAGTTCGGGAAGTTTTAAGCGCCATAACACGAGGAACTGGTAGACAGAACACCACCATTTAATTTTTGAAAGGGCCCGACAAGGACTCTCTGGGGTTTTGGTATCGTGTTTTATTTTGGGACAATGAATAGCCTACCGAATTTATGAAGGAGTTTTACAGCACGTAGGTACCTAGACATTCTTGAGGAAGTGATTCCAGAATTACTCGAAAATACTCGCTTAGTATATTATAATGATATAATATACCTTCAACAAGATGGTGCACCAAAAGTCATAACTCTGGACTTTGAAGAACATTTTTAGATGAAAACTTTCCTCAAAAATGGATAGGTACAAATGGATCTGTAAGATGGCCTCCATGATCTCCGGAACGTTCAATTTTAGATTTCTTTTTATTGGGTTATATTTCGTATTAATTAATGTAATAATGGACTATAATAAGTTAAAAATTATTACAAATAGGCTGGCTACTCTCGAGGACTGTAGAAAAATTCTGGCTTTAACTTTTGTCCTTTGTGTGAGAAATGGTGTTATTGATTCTCCTTGTATTCTGCCAAGTTTTAATTTTCATATCTAGAGAATGAAGAGGAACTGACCTTTTGTCTCCTCTAATGCAAATTAAATTGTGAGCTTAATTTTCAAAACAACGTTATACTTCTGAAAAGCTTAAATGATTTCCAATTAATGTAAAAAATAATAATAAGGGTGGTCCATTTAAAAAAATATATGTTTGTTGCATAACAAATAAACGGTTAAAGCGATAACTTAAAAGGCAACGGAGATACGAGGGTGGTTCCAAAATCAATACTTTTGGATTTCACCCTGTACCTCAAAAATTTTGTTGCCGGCATGTTGAATTTCACAAAAAAGTACCACAGTGTCGCGTAAACCGCAACTTTCTATCTTTAACAATAACTACTGAGATACCTCATAAAAGTGCCCAACATGGGATAGCCGGTACAATTAATTTTAGATACCTAATTATAGACAAGGTGTGCTAAAGTTATGTTTTTCAATTTAAATTTTGTTTTTGAAATATCCCCACAGAAAAGTTTCTGGAAGAGTACGAACTGGGTTATTGGCTGGCTATATTGTGCCTCATTCCCAATTTGGGATTTAGATTATTTAAATATTCTCAAATTATGATGTTGCCATATAATTTCCGCTAATTCATTGATCTTGACGTTGTCTAAAGTACTTTCTATATCTTCCCTTAAAATTCTTTTTAAAAATGGGGATTCCCTGAATCGCTAAGTATCGGATTCAGATATTCAGTTAAAAAATGATATACCGGTCAATTAAGAAGCGGTCAATTGCCCTCACCTAGTAAAAGTACATAAAACACTGCTTAGTTTTTTTTCTCCAAAGTTTTGATTCTTTGTATATGTGTAATGTATGTATGTATGTATGTATGTATGTGTAATGTATATGTGTAATGTATAAGTGCGCTTAAATGTCACTTTGGATGTGTGTTGAGTTAATTATGGCTAATTCTGGCCTTAATGTAAAAAATAACTTTAATATACCTTGCATAAAAATAAGTAGGTATGGTCTGTTCATAGATATAAGAAAGTGACCAATTGTTTTCGAATGGGATTATCCAAGGGTGGTCATTACCATACAATGCGACAAGGTTATTACCTAAAGTTTCGGAATTTAAATTCAGGTAAAATTGTGGTCTGTAATAGAAAATAATTTTATACCTACCTGTGTTTAATATTCTTTGGTTTGGTATACTACTTACTTTAAGTTTATTAGTGATCATTCTTATTTCGTGTGTAATACAGCGTGTGTTGAATCGTGTGCGAATTATGCAAAATATGTGCGAGTCTAGTGTATCTCAGAACTACTACCTTTTGGAAGTGTATTCAACACATGGGTTTTAGATTTAAAAAAAAAGGCAAGTTTTAATGGTCTTTTATCTTAAAAAAATTAGGAGTTACAGAGAACAACAAAGTCCAATTATTTACTTGGATGAAACCTAGTTCGACACTTATGATACCCTGGAAAAGGGTTGGGTTGACTCAATTGATAAGTGTAAAACAAACGCGCCATCAAAAAGAGGTAAAAGAATAACTATTTTGTATACTGGTTCTAAAGATGGTTGGATTCCAAATGGACTTTCTCTGTCTGCGAAAAATATTAAAGATTCCTCTCTGGATTACCATGAAGACATCACCGCTGATTTATACAAACTAGTTCCAAACATTCCTCGTAATAGCGTAATTGTAATGAACAATGCAAGTTATCACAGTAGCTAGTTGACTAAAACCCCTTCCTCATGTGACTCAAGTTGGGCAAATTTTGTTAAACATATAGAAAAACTAGAACAATCATATATCCATATTGCAAATAATATAGAACAAATAATAATTAGTGATAATGATACTGATATATTATGTGAATAATTTTAAGTATCTTAAGTAGGTAATAAGAATAACTTGTAATTTTATTTTAGATTTAAACATAAATACATACATAAATAAATAAATATTGTTTAGTATCTTTCCTAACAAAACCCCAAATAATTAAATTCTAAGCAAAGTACGGACCTGTTCGGCCATATTTCATTCTTACAGCTTGCCCGGGTCTTTCCTTAATTCCTATCAGTCACTTTCTTATATCTAGGAACAGACTTTAATATTTAACTTTTTTAACTTTTTTTTTCAGAAATGTTAAAAAATGGATCGCCAGTACACCTTTTCGGCGGACTTACTCGAAGACAAACTCTTCGTCCCACACGGGGTCCGGTCCACTCTTAGCTCTGGTGCGGGCGATGCGCACCTGATTATTGAACTGCACGGTGACGTAAGGCAGCGGTACCAACTTGTAAGGTAATCTGTGGGCGTCGAGAAGGTGGAGGGTGAGACATCGGAGCTCCCTCAAACGGGGCACCTTGGCGGTGGCGCGGCTCAATTGGGGCACGCATAACGGCTTGAGCGCGTTGACCCAATCCTGGCAGTCTTCGGGGGAGCGGGCGGCCAAGTGGGTGGCCGTCGCTAGACAAGGCAGGGCGCGTTCCACGATCTGGATGCAGTTCGAGCGCTCCCATAAACTGTCGTGCACCTGCAGGGGCGGTCCGATGAGGTTAGAAATCGGCGTTATTGGGTTTTCGCCAGGGTTGGACTGATTTTAATCAAGTTATTTAAGTCACGATTAAAATCATCATTTAAATCACTTGATTTTTTTTCCAACTCCAATTTTTTTAAATCTTTTTAGTTGAGAGCAACACAAAAAGCACATAATAAAAACATCATAAATATAAAGTAAAACACAAATCTTTAAAAAAATAAGACACATAACATAATAATATACATTTTATGCTTCTGCATTTTCGTTCTATAATTTGAATATAGAATATAGTAATTTCCCCCCTTTTTCTATCCCCATCCTGTTCCTTATATCTGTCTGATGCTGAGGAAGCAGCTGCAGACAGGAACTGTTTTATTATTGGTAGCTATTTCGCAATTTCTGGCTAATCATTTTGTGATGTCCCACCACTGTATTCCATTTACGTTTATTACTATTTTATACGAAAACATATTTTTTTAATGGGCAACTGCGGGTATTCAAGTTTATTACTAATGGCAAAAGTCCGGTGTGATTTTTTTCTATTTTGCATTCTAACGAAAACGTTAATAAATCAGTAGATATCGATGTAAACATGTCCTTTCTGGGACAAATAGTTGCCGATTTCGATTATACTCCAGTCAGAATCTGTTTTAGCCTGTTATTGTACCGAAATCTACCTTAAAAATGCAGAAATGAATTTAAACCCCTAGTTCTGGAATAAATAATTGGTTTTCCCTCTTGATTTCGAGAATCTAATCCAAATCGGCAATCATTTGACTCAGAAATGGCGGTTTTACGTCGATATCTGCTGGTTTATTAAGGTTTTAGGCCGAAAATGTCGATTTTGACTAGTATTTGAACGATATTGACATAAAAAAGTAACTGTTTGAATCAAAAAATAATAGTTTAAAATGATATCTGCAGTTTTGAAGCGGTATTAGATAGATATTTGTCGGAAAAGCCGATTTTGACTAGAATCTGTTTGGAACGAATAAGAAAAACCTACTGTCATTCCAAGAAAGTGGGTTTTTAAGTAGCTATCTTTAATGCCAATATCGTTCAAAAACTAGTTAAAATCTGATAATAGTGGCGTTTTTCTTTGCAAAATATCAAGAGCAACTGATTGGTTAGTTTAAAATGCTTAAATATTCTTGTGCTACATGTTTTAGCCCAATATTTGACATCCTCTGGTAAATGGTGCAACAAATTTGGTTTTTGTTTCCTTCCCAGATTTTTAATTATATATATATATATATATATATATATATATATATATATATATATATATATATATATATATATATATATATATATATATATATATATATATATATATATATATATATATATATATATATATATATATATATATATATATATATATATATATATATATATATATATATATATATATATATATATACATAACGCCATTCTAGCTAGATGGTTATCGCGAAGATGTTTTACAATTAGGACTACATGTAAACTACAGTAAATTCAAAATATGTGGTGAGCAGCCATAAGTTATAACTTTTGAGTCTGTCTTTTCCTCCAAAATCTTTCTCTCTCCCATATTTGCTGCATAAAATATTGTGAAGTATGAGGTTTTCCCGAAGTATCAATTGTTTCGTAAAAAAGGGCTCGTCCATTTTCAGTTGTTATTGTTGCACATATAACTGGCTCATCGTGGACGTTTTACCACCCTTCAATGGACATATTCACACATTGTCCTGACAGAGAAGAAAAACATTTTGCCTTTTCCTCCTCACAGATGTCATCTAAAAGGCTTGTTAACGTATTTCTTGATGGCAGCGTATAACCAGGTCTTAATAAGCTTTTTTACTTTAACTTCCGAGTTTTCAATGCATCGTTTGTCAATCTTTTCTTTTTTAGCTGTTGATGTTTGTATTACAAAACTACACGAATTAGGTTGATTTTCTGTTTTTTTTTTCTTTGTTTGGACTTTGTTTGACTATCGTGAGTGTCGTGGAAATCGAGGCAGACGATGTAGGTCTACAGAATTGTCAAGCGACAAGAAAATAAAAACATAATTTATAAGTTTGTACCATTGTTAATAAACGATAAGGCAAATACACACCCAATTTTCCTTTAAAAAATTAGTAAAGCGTTTATTGGATTTTATTAAATTTATAGCGTTAACATTTTTTTAATACATTGAAAATCGAGTACAGAGTGGGCACTTTATTAGGGACCTGTACCTTTTCTCAGGAACTACTGATTTAAAAAAAAAGTTTATACAAAAGTTTTATGGTTTAAATTAGATTTTAAAATTATTATTTTTTTTTAAATACATGGTGACCGATAAGTGCTGGACCCACATTAATTTTAAAATTTTAAATGGAAGGCCCTACATACTTAATAAAAATAAAGGTAACTTTAATAGAAAATACTTATTCGAATTTTGTGTAGTTTAGACAGAAATTGGGATTACATATTTTTTTTATGCAAAATTATGTTCCTAGTAAATATGGTGTTCCACGCCTGACTGTAATGACGACTTCATCAAATTTTAAACACATATTTAGAAGACTTCCTTCTAACAATCTGCAATGACTGAAATTTCAACTTGCAGTATTCATTTATATAAAACTTTTGTATAAACTTTTTTTTTAAATCATTAGTTCCTGAGAAAAGGTACAGGCCCCTATTAAAGTGCCCACCATGTACATTCTTTCCTAAGATATAGAAATAAGATAAAGAAAACATACTCTTTTTTATGTATCTCAAAAAATAAAAATAGGTATCTAAAAATTATAAACAATAACATTAATAAAATATGCGTGAATTCAAATTTTGGCAAGAAAAGATAAAAAAGACATGACATTTTTAAATTAAGAAATGCCTTATTTCTTCTGAACACGTTTTTGTGAATAGAAAGTTAAATAAAAATGAAATAAGTAATTATAAAACAAAATGTTATTTACCTTCCTTATTACCACAAACATCATGGTGTGCATTAAGTTGTTGAACTATCCCTTGAATTTCTTCCTTGCAGATTTTACAAATAGGTTTACACGCAGATTTATTTGGATGTCTTGTTTTAATGAAAAACTGCTATATATTTTCTTTTCTTCCTTTCTTCCAGCCATTTAAATGTTTTTACCTAATTCCACTTCTTTGACAACCACCACCTAAATACGCGAGACATATTCGACAAGGACAATTTATAGATCGACAAAAAAACAGGTCGCGACAGAAATTTTCTTGCAAAAAGTATGTTCTGACGTATACTTAGTGTGTATATTGTACTATATTGTTCATAGTAGCTTTAAAATATTTTGTAATTGCTACAAAAACAAAACGGGAAATACATATTCTTACGAAATTATAAAAAAAATCAATGATTTTTTTAATAAAAATCAAAGTTTGCCAAACACTAGTTCTCGCCTAGTCTCACCTGGTAAAGGTAGGCGCAGGACAAATCGATCAACCCCTTCGGTTTGGTGCGTTTGGGGTTCTCGTAAAAGTACAGGTGGGTGTCGGTGCCCTCGACCAACAGGACGAAATAGAGTAGCTTCCATTTTTTCACCGTTTTGTCGGATTTGCGATGCAGGTACCCTTGGTGCTGCAAGAAATGGTTAATTTTGACTGATCGGTCATCGGTACAAATGAACTACCGGGCACGAGATCGCGTTACCTTGATGCCCCTCATTTTTTTCAAGCCCGCCTGGTCACGACATTCCCGTAGCGTAGCGTAAATCTTCTCCGCGTCCGACTTAGCCTTTTGGTTTTCGGGAACCCAGTCGAGCTGTTTGCTGCCGTCCACCACCAGCTGCAAAAAACAATTTACTTAGAATTCAAACGACTGGCGATCCGAACGGGTCCTCACAGGGTGCTGGAGGGTGTAGCCCTCGACGATCTGCTCCTTTCTGTAACGGTTGATGACCGCATCCAGGCATTCGAATATGCGGCCGCCCATCAGGTATCGTACACCCTTTTTCTCGATCCGGAACCGTTGGATTTGATTATTGATGTGGAAAAAGAGCGAGTAATCGCCAGGAGAGTTATCGCTGGGGCGAACCAGAAAACTACCAGGTCCAGCTAATGAACAAGAAATCTTAATGCACAATCGCCACATTACTCGCGACGGTAATAATAAAACTTACGCAGGCGCAATCCACATTTTTTTAAAGAAAATTTCTAGTCCCAGTGAAAACATTTTAAGAGCGCGTTCCCTACTCAACTTTTTTTCTAGAATTTTCAGTTATCCCACAAATGAAGTGCATTTTGTATTCAAAGCATTGACAATATACAATTTCATCATACCAAAAAAGTCATTTATATGGTTCTTACATATTTGAGTCAATGACTTGAGGGCAAAATTTTTGCACCAGATTAGTAAATTGTTGGATAGGGAAGTTTGGCAATGACTACTGCTGTTTGAGGCCTAAATCTCTTTTTCAATCCTATTGGGTGTGGTAAAATTGAGGAACATGTTAAGTTCCTAACATTATTTCTAAATTAAAAGGAGGTCTTTAAAGTGACATAAGGGTGAAATTTCATAAGACGTTCAAAAATAAAACACCAAAGCTTTACCTTTAACCAACAAATCGACCGCCTCGTTTTTTGTGCAGTTGGGATGGAACCATGGAAACACCGTGTTAGGATCGATGCTGTCGTCCAGATCCTCCACCAATTCTTGGAATATCATTCCTGTATAGATAAAATAATAAAATGAATTGCTCTAACTGCATCTACTGAGAAAATACCCTGTTCTCCGGTGCGATGGGCAGTCACCCACAACCAACCGTTGTCCATGTCATTGTGTACGAAAAATATGTCGCCCTTTTTGAAGGTGAGCTCGTCTGTATCCGGCATTTTCGTGTAAGGCAATATTGCCACCACCCTCTGATCAACACCAGAATTAATCAAGATGCAAGTGGATAACTATACTCTGCCAAACTTTTTCATGGTTTTTGAAAAATGGAATTTAAAAATTTGACACAAAGTACTCATCTCAACCTCTAATTGAAAATCACCAACATACTTTAATATTGATTTGATCTGATTTCACAACTATTTTTATTAAATTTAAAAAAATAGATCCGCTATATGTTGACCCGGGCATGTCTTAGGAGCTTATCTCCCGACAGAAACAAAAAACCTGAGCCAATAATTAATGGAGTGGCTAACTTTTTGAAATAATGCACACAATTTTTATTAAATCAAAAAAATTATCAACACTATACAGAGGTTTCTGCTATGACTACTGAATACACTTATAATACCTGAGTGAAGTCATTTAAATATCTCACTTAGGTTTCAAAACTCAAAATATTATTATTATTATTATTAGGCTAGTTAGTTTTATTAGATTTTTTTTAGGTGATCCTTAACAAAATTTAATAAAGGAAGTTAACAGTGTAAATAATATTAATTGTTCTTAAATACCCAATTTTCCCCAATTAAAAATTACTTAACTTGACTGATAGACCTTGAACTCTTAATTAACTTTAAAATATTTCATTAACTTACCTTTTTGTCATTTACAGGTTCTGGAGGGGCTACAGGATGTACCAACCGCTCCCTTTTCAACAAATCACTGCACTGTGTGTAATAACCTACTAGATCATTCAGTGATACAAACTGTCTACCTCCTATGTAAAAATCGCCGCAAACTGCGGTTATTCTAAAAAAATAAAAACATTTATTTTAGTATTTATGAGAATTTCCCTTACCGAAAGTGATTCATCCCTGTTCGCCCCAGATAAGAGAGCACATATGATCCAGGCTTTCGGTCACTCTCCCTTACAAGATACGCCCCGAGCTTGTTGCAATTCCACAAGCGTTCTTCGGCTTGGTACCTATCCAACCTGCCATGGTACCACAAAGTTTCTGATGGGGCATAATGGGCAGAGTCACCTAAATCCGGTTCCTCGGGCTCTTTAGTCTGCGCTCCTACTGGCTCATTGGGTTCATTGCCGTCGTCACTTCCTGTCGACGGGGAGCCTAGCTTATCCTTTTGTCTTATCAAATCACTAGCCATGGCAGTGGATTTTAGTTTTAGCTGATAACGGACACTAAATTATAAGTACGCGACTCGAGTCATTTAAATTCATATTTTCGGACAAAAAATTGGAGGACAACTTCAAAAGAAATACTTTTGTGTTTACTCTACAAGAACAAGAAGTGGCAAGCACGGAACACACAGCTTAATGACAGGACACCACTGCAACGCTGTTGTCTGCGACTGATCGACAGAAACAGTCACGGATCAGAAACAACCATCAAAATTTTGTGAGAAAGGATTTAGATGCTTGAATTAATTCGCGCATCGTTTGGGCTGTCCGGTTTATTACACGCTAAATTAAATGTTCAAGTAGCTACAAAATTAATTAAAATATTAAAATGGTACAAAGGTCTAAATATAAAGTACTACCTTATATAGAAAAAGGAAGAATATTAATAATTAATATCTGCGTATCCTGTGAGTGAAACTAACCTCAAATTACTTTATTTATGAAAACTGAAAATCAAGCCGTTTTGAGCTAGTTTGTTATTTTAAAACTATAGAAAATGGTAAGTATTGTAAAACCGAACTATCCTAAAAGTGTAACGTTTCTCAGCAAACAGTAACGGTTTTTGTTTCAGTCAGCGATATTCAACCTCCAAAGTTTGTTAGTGGTAGTGCTCCTCGTAATTTGTACCTGCACATACGTAAAATCTTTATTTCCAAACCTTTTGGACAGGAAAAGAACGGGGTACCACTATTACTGCAAATGCGCACCCAAACTATGTTGTCCTTCCTTTTTTGTTACAGAATTCTCAAGACACTTTGGAAGTGCGCAAGAATCGGTGAAAGAAAATCACCATGGATCGCAGTCTCTTGTCTTTCGATGGCGTTTTCGATACTTTTTTTAAAGTGACAATATTCAATTAATAATAATTAAATATATATTTTCATTGTGGTTAGTTGAGAATTATTTAAGATTATTTAAGATGCATTTAGTAGCTATGCAGTTGACAGTTATTAAACACTTAACATATTAGCTCGTTTAAAATTAAAATCTTCTGTTAGTTGTAACATATAGATAAATGCAATATATATTACTAATATAATGTTCTCTACATATGGAAAAATATATTTTTTGGGATTGATTCAAAAATGTGCTGTAGAGAGCTAGCCCGAAAGGTATATTTTGACACTAGTCAAGAAGTGTTATTTAAAAACGGTTTTAAGAATGACATTTAAGAGTTGGATACCACATTGGAAATAAAAATATTAGGAGCGACTGGACATAAAAATTTTTTTACTAGTTTTTATAGCAGGTAATCTTTTCTAAAAACCTGCACCTCTAGTCAAAATTACTGCAGTAGTTAACGACCACAGCAGTTAACGAGATCTGGGCATAGTTTGCGAAAATACTGCTGTAAAAATGTTACATCTAAACTGAAATCTGTCGAATTGACGAACTGTGAAAGGCCATGTTCGTTGTTGAACGCCGCAAGGTCATTGGTGAAAAACGCAATTTAAAATGACAGCGCGTGCGCAGATGAAATGGCCTATCTCAATATTTTCAGTATAGCAGGGTGCTCCTCTATATATGTAAGTATCTAGTAACTATATATCCGCATATAATGATGATGTCGCAGTGTGCGTTGGATATGAAAATTGGATTGTACGTCAAAATTGCACACATCGGTTCGAGTTATATTGTTACTATAGAAATATATTGATACTATAGCAACTTATGAAGCAACCATAAAAAAATTGAGAAGGGCCATTCAACATGCACACGAGCAAGATTTAAAATTTCGTTTGTAACCAATGACCTTGCGGCATTGAACAACCAATATGGCCGCTTACAGATCCTCAATAAGTTTGGAAGGATTTTAAAGCAGTATTTTCTCAAAATATGTCTAGATCCCATTAAATCTTAAGGCAAAGCAAAATTAAGTAAATGCAATGAAAATGGTGTAAAGGACAGATTGGTGTTTGGATGAGTTCTCGTCCGAACTACATAGTAAAATGATATGGACGGTTATGTTTTGAGAAATTGTTATTTTATTATGGATGATGTTAAGTACGGTTTCTGACACATGCATTTCGGACGAAAACACATCCAAAGGACCATAAATACGGACCAGTTCATTAATTTAATGGATTAAGTCATTTTGTAGGTTTAAATTTCATATGTATTATGTTACAGGCGTTTTCGAATAACAAAAAAAACTTGTTTTAGTTATTTAAGTTATTTGCATTGGGTAGCTATACAGTGCATGCACTACAATGAATATGAAGTGCCCTAGTCATAATTAATAATTCATATTTAATTTTCACCCATTTGTCTTATTAAAACTAAAAACTTCTCGAAAATTCCCACAACGTTAGAGGCAAGTTGAGATTAAGGTTGGTGAAGTGAAGGTAATTAATGAAAATTGCGAACAAATAATCTAGGCAAACTCTTTGACGAGCCCTCGTAAAAGGCATTTGGGTCGTTCAATCTAACTGAATTGAACGGACACATTTTCACTCGACTCGAGGAGCAACAGACGCGTTTACTATACTCGTGGTTCTATTTTTATCTTGGTTCTCACGGATTCGGTACGACGGCGCTTTTTATTCAAAATTTTTAAAAAATCTGAAGTGGCGGGATCAAAAAACCAACTGTCGTCCCTAATTTCATTCGTCGATCTAACGTGAACGTGAGTGTTAAAATCGGATATAAACAATTAAGTATTTTGTTACGTGCGGCGGGACGGGCAATGTAAATATTTGAACTAGGTTCTGCTGACAGCATTTCGAAAGGTGAGTTATACCATGTTTTCGCATTATGAAAAATGCCGCGGATTCGTTGTAAAACTTGAAAGGATTCCCTCCTAATGAGGTTAAGTTTGGCGCTTGAAAACCGTGTCACGGTTGGTCATCGTTGGTCGAAGTCGAAAAAACCGCGACCTCTAATCAAGTACTGTTACCTTTACACCTTCATTAAAAACAATCGTACAAAGTTCAAGAAACGCGAACAACGGCGATAAGATGTTTATTGATCACGTTATCGATCTGTTTACTTATATTAATAAAAAACCCCGCTTTACTTTTACTTGTTGGTTCCGTAACTGTCGCCTTTACAAAAATACATAAAAGTTCAGGTATAGGTAAGTATATTATTATGCGCCGGGTGGGAAAGTGGTGGGAGGTGTCCGAACATTTTGAGAAATTAATGTCAATAACTTCGTAATGGCTGAACGGATTTTATCAAAATTCGAGTCGTAGAAAATGGCTTTTATTAGGCCATGAACGTTATCCTAAATGCATTGGTTTCGATTGCTTATATGGCCGCTACAGCGCGTTTTGTGACATGAGAACAAATAAAATTTATTTTCCCTAAAAAAAAGTAAATGCAAGGATATCACTTTTACGTCAACAGCATGTAGCCAAATAGCAAAATACATATATGATTGAATCCCAAACTAACACGTTAATGTGGCTTTTTTATGAATATTTCCAGGACTCCTACCATTCATAGATACTAATCGTTCTTTTAGCAATATATGTAAATTTACCCAACATTACATTTAAAATGTCAATAATAATTAATATCCATTCGCATATGAAATAATGAACTAAGATCTTCCGTTTTAATGCAAGATACTCCAACTCATAGATTCAACGAATATAATTGCATTTATCTTTTCAAAATAATCGCAGAACGTATTTCTTCTACAGGTGCAAGCACCATTTTTTTACCAATAAAGCCACCAAAATACTCTATAAATAGCCGCAGTCTTAATATGATTGATCATACCAGATCTCTATATATATGGAGGCGCTTCCTATGTTAATAAAACAGGATCTAATGAATAAACTATAATTTTTTTGAGAAGATCCATTTGACCTGCGCATGCGCGAGATTTAAAATCTCGTTTTTAACTAAAGACTCTGCGGTATTCAACAACCAACATGGCCGCTGACAGATGGCGAATAAGTTCAGATGCCGCGTTTTCTCAAAATATGCCTAGATTTCGTGAAATCTTTTGGGAAAACGAGTTAAGTGTGTGGAAATCATGTTTAGAAAACAAAAAACACAAAGTGCAGGTTATTGGTTAAATGAGACATATCATTGATACCTAAAAGCCACCATTATATTTTTTGCTCTTTTGTTTCAGAAAGCGCGCTTGGATTTTAAAAATTCCGAATTTTGTGTGGACAGATTGAATTCAATCATATTTTAATACTAATTTTATATGTAGTTTTGCTAAAATAATCAAATAGGATTTGATAACGGCAGGTATGCTAAAAATATTCCCAAATATGCGACATTATTCAGAGTTTATTTCATTTACGGATTTTATAGGTTAGGAATTGCGGTTTTTGCTAGCGTCTTAGACTCTTATTTTTCTATCTCTTGCACAAATAAATGTGATATCATTTTTAATTTTTTTGAAAAAATAAACGGAGGTTGTAAAACGCACTTTGGCGTTGATAGCCCCTTTCAACAAACTTCCCTATAACACCCCTTGTCTTTATTACATATTTACTTTTCCAGATAGAGCTGAGTGCCCTTCCAATTTGGCTACCCGGTAGATATTATACGCGCCTTTACAAAATTGTTTAGATAGCGAGGTATGAAAATATTTTACCCAAGAAAAAATGTATATTTTTCTTCGAATTTGAAATCGTAAAAATGACAACAAAATTTATTTTATAACGTTACATTAAACAATTAAAAGAAAAATATAAATGAGAAAAGCGAAAATATTTGACAGAAACAATGAGGTCTACCTTTTTCCAGATCCGGTATGGAGGTTGCGGGGGTGAAATTCGCTCCGCTCTACGTCCCGCTGGAACGCCGCCTCCAGACGCTGGCGGCTGGCGTCGGTTTCCTCTGGCTCATATTCGGCGGTATCGTGTGCCTTTTCCTCAGCATCTACCTGGTGCTGTTCACCAGGTTGTGGTGGGCCACACTCCTGTATCTCACGTGGGTATTCTTCTTCGACGTCAAAGTCTGCGAGCGGGGAGGGCGGACTATTAAATGGGTGAAGAGCTGGAGGTGTGTCCGTCCCTAGACGGTATAGTTCCGGAGGTCGAGGTTAACGTTTGTCGTTTTAGTTGGTGGAAGTACATGAAAGACTATTTTCCCGTCAGCATGGAGAGGCTGCCATGGGTCGAGCTGGACGAAAAGCGCAACTACCTGTTTTGTTGTTTTCCACACGGCATGTTGTCGTTGGGAGTCCTATGCGCTTTCAGTAAGTAAACTTTCTTGAACGTATAGATCGCCGGTTTTTCTTAGCAATCTTCGTTTACTCAACTTTTAGTCAACGAACACGGAGGGTTCAAGACATACTTCCCCCGCCATAAGCAGCACGTGGTCACCCTCACCCAGCACTACATGATGCCATTTTTCAGGGAAATGGCTCTCGCCCTGGGCGGCATATCCGCAACCGCCGAGTCCATAGAGTACGTCCTCGGGTATCCGGGAGGAGGCCACGTGTGCGTTCTCATGCCCGGCGGAGCCCAGGAATCGTATTACTGCAAACCCGGTCAATATAAGATCATCCTTAAGAAAGTGAGTAGTGTCTGCGGTAAATTTACTTATGTCCACTTCACAGGATAAAACTGGTTCCAACATCATTGTTAGCTCTGAGGTTTCGTTCCAGAGAAAGGGTTTCGTGCGGCTGGCCCTACGCAACGGTACTCCGTTGGTGCCGGTACTGTCGTTCGGCGAGACCGACACCTTCGATCAACTGGAGGGAGAAACATTGAGGAAGATCCAGGAGGTGCTCAGGAAATGGATAGGACTGGCACCGGTGGTTCCGGTGGGTCGGGGTTTTTTCCAGTACTCGTTCGGTTTAGTGCCCAGGAGGAAACCCATCGTCGTAGTCGGCAAGTACTTCTAACTGGGTGCTAGGGCATTGCCGCTGATGTACCGATTTTAGTGGGTCACCCGTTGGACGTGCCCAAAATAGAGAACCCGTCCGCGGATGAGATAGAGGAGTACCATTCCAAGTTCGTCGACCACCTGGTGCAAATGTTCGAGGAACAGAAGCACAATTACATCGAAGACGCGAACAACAAACATTTGATCGTCGAGTAGGCGGTGCCATTTCCCAATAATCCTTTTTTATTAGAATTTGTTGTATTCTGTGTCAATAAATATACTTTGTTATACATTTGTAAACCTTGACTTTCATTTTTCCATTTCCATTGAAATTAGTTGTTTAAGCTTCGTCGGCACTCTTTTATTAAACACTCGCACCGTTGGTGCTTAAAGAAACTCGTGACTAAAGTGCCGTTTGTTAAACTTGTTGCATACTATATTATGTCACAGACGATGACGACTGTGATGTGTTTATTGGGGTTTAACAGTATAATTCGAACTAATCTAATTACATAAAAGAGGTCTAATCAGGTAGTTACTTTCGAAAAATCGATTGGTACAGATGGAATCAGCGTCGAAAAAAAAACTTTTTTTTTCTGTTTCTCTGTTCTCTGTGTCACGGGTTTTAATTCAATAACTCGAGCCGTCTGAACTAGGTGGCTCAATTTTTGCTCCTTTTTTTAAGTTCATTAGGTGTACAAGTTATTTTAAAATGGCGGCGATCTAAAATTGGCGGCCATCTATTTTTTTCTATTTTCGGCCGTTTTTTCGACATTGCTATGAAACACGAAAAGTGTCCGAAATTTAAAGCCAAGACTTCAAATTGTTCAAGCGGATAGCGATTGGTCCCCTCACGGAGCCTATTGAAATTGGAGGGGTTGGGGGTCGGGAAGTATTTTAAAAAAATTAAAAATCGCGTTTACAAGGGACCAAGGGAAAGGTCATTAATCGAAAATCGTTTACACTACCGAAAAAATTCTTGAAAGGGAAGATGCAGAAGATTCGACTCCATAAATTTCTATTTTTGATAATTTTTAAAAAATGTACAGGGTGCGCTGCAAATTGAAAAAACTGGTAAGTAAAAGACCGTGTTTTGCAAATCAGTTTCTTTTACATGGCGCATTGACAGCTAAAACTTTTATAGAATTCGCTTCTAGGCATCGGTACCTGTACTTGTCTATTCATTATTGTTCTAGTGATTGATAGATGATTGATTGGGTTTAAAGAGACTTTATTCTGATAAATATAAGAACAAACCATATAAATGTATAACGATCGAACATCAAAAACCTTTTCCCTATAGAGAAGATTTGTTGGATATAAGTTATGTTTTTTGTAAATCACTTCAAGCATTCTATTCTGAACCACATTCAATGGTCTCAACGTAGTACTGTATTCAAGGTTTTCACCTATTGTACAGGGTGTTCAAGATATTAAGTGATATATTCAAAAATTAACAGGTGTTTTAAATTTGCCGTTATCAATTTCAGATTTGGCAGAAGGGTAGAAGTCTATACCCGCATTTCATCTATTGTAAAAAGGAATTTTTTTTGGTATATTTTGCCTTCCAGAAAAAAATTATTTTCTCGAAAACTTTAACCCCATCGGCAAAAATTTGTGAACCAGGAAATGCAGGAGATCCGGATCCGTAAATCAAAATTCGTGACAAATATGGACCATTGGAATAAACAGTGTTATAGGCCACTTCGAGAGCTACAATTTTTGTATTTACGGTTTTCGTCTATCACATTATCTGTTTGAAATACTTGAAAAAATACAAATGAAAATCACCACTTCTCGCCCTTAATCTAGACGCGATGACCTCATTTACTATTACCATGTACTGCATGATTTCAGAAAACAAGTATTTTCTGGAAAACCACTGACTCTATTGAAAAAAATCATATACCAGAAAACGTGGAAGATCCAGTGCCATAACTTCCATTTCGAACATTGTTTGAATTATATACAGGGTGTGTTTATTGACAAAAAAACCTAAAACATCCTAAAAATATCCGTTTTTGTGGGAAAATTATTAAAGATGCGATATTAGTCCTATGCTATTATTTGTACAAATTTTAATATTTAACAAAGTTTGCCTTAACGTTGAAGATCGGCGAGACTTGAAAGACGCAATAAAATTACACCGATTTTGCGAACACAATGCGTTCCTCTAATACAAGAAACCGGGAAGCGGCTTATTTTGGAAATAAAAACTGATTCGAGCTACTTGCGATGAATTTTCCCTGCCCAGCGACGATTTTTCGAAAGCAATCTTGTTAATTCGATGGAGGAAATTTTCTAAAACTGTCAGAAACACACAGCATTAAAATCCGAAGCATTTGGTTGTGTCGCGCCGTTGCTCGACCTTATCTGGCGCAGTCGGTATCGAAGTCGGGTACCGTCGCGACGCTAGACCTCGGGACGCCCGGCGTCGTCCTGGAAGCGTACCCGGTCGAACGGCTCCCGCCCCGACATTCTATTCGCCTCGCGTTTCGACGCAAATGGTGGGGGGCGCGACGTCGCGACGCGTCTTTCCCGGCGCTCAGTCAGTGGACGGCGGCAGTATGTGGAGGTGGCTGCTCTTTGTGGCGCTGGTGGCGGCCAAGCGAGCTCCAACGACCACTCACCACCAGGACCAGTCCGTCATCGAGGAGGTCAACGCGAAACAGCTCGACAGACTTCTCCAGGACAAGGGCTACGTCGCCGTGTTCTGGTGTAAGTAGTACCTTACCCCACCAGTGAAGTGTGCGCAGCGAGGGGAGCATCCTATCCACATTTGGAAAGTGGTATTGTGTGTCCTCCTCCCGCGCATTGGATGTGATGCAATAAAAGTGCGGGCCACGCGAGTTTCATTGCCAAATGCCCGCCGAAACGTCGGCGCGCACGCGACGTTGCCGCTGTCGCCGTTGTTGGCGGATTTTTGGGAGATTTTGAGGCTGAGTTGGAAAGAGGGATCCCTGATTCGCGGTTATTATTGGTGACCTTTCGCTTGTGCGTAGTTTTCAAGAGACACGGCCTCAAACTTAAAAAATATAGCTTAACAATGCTCTGGATGATTTTGTTTAAATTTAGACGTTGTACTTTTGATAGTAAAAGGTTAAGTGGATTAAATGAAAATTATAAATTCCTGTGGCGTCCCAGGAGAGAGTCAAACCGACACAAAAAGTGCGTCCTTTTTTCTTAATTTTCAACAATAAGAAACAAATGGTACAAATTTGTTCTCTCTTTAGTTTTTATCGTACCTCGTTGGTTTATTAAATGCTTTTCGTGCAATCTTGTACCAATATGATGGAAATACTTTACCAATATTGTCAATTGCTGTCCAATATTGGCTAATAGTATGAACTTGTATTACAATATATGTAAAGTTCTCACCTTTAATACCAATAATGCAATATTTACTATAATTGCCCATTAATGCGGCTTGTTTATTACAATATTACGTCTACAGTCTTGAACCATTGCTTCACGTTTAGTATAAAAAAAATTGTGTCATTAACCATACTGATAAATAACTGGCATCAACTTTTTTTTAATTATTTTGCCGATATCGTAGAACTTTTGTTTAAAAAACATCGAGGCTGAAAATTGTCTAATTTTGAGCAAACTGAATTCAAGCTACTAAGTCCAGTGGGGTGCGGGAGAGTTTCTTATAGAATTTAATCGGCAAACCACTTCGAGCCATTGCCATTTTATAAACCTTCTTTTTACATATCGATTTTGGCAGCTAAAAATATCAATTTTTATCTCTCGAATTATTTTCGCGTTTTGCTTCCCTAAAAACCAAACCGAAATCTGAAGGAGCCACCTGTTGCCGAGGCGAAACGTCGACACAGGCGGCAACGCCGGCTGCCCGATGAGTAAAAATAAATCGGTCAGATATCTTGTTGCTCCCGTTCTGCTTCTGGCATAATAATTGAGTCTTTAAAAATAAACGCCTTCGATAATGTCACACCGTACTCCCGACTGGTAATGGCGCCGGAATTCGAGCGAAGTCAAGATACATAGAGTGCTTCCGATACCAGGTTATTCTCTGATTCGACTATACAATGCGCAGATTTGTTATGAAAGTGCCTTTTTTATAATATGTACATACATAAGAGATATAAGGGGGAGAATATATCTTATTATACAGGTTGTTCGGAAATCGAGTTCGGAACCTTGGAGGAAAGATTCAATGTGGTAAAATAATGGTAGTAAGTCATGTAACAAAAATTCTAAATCGTAATATTTTTCGAGTTATAGCTTGTCGCAGTGGACATAATTCTCAATTAATGATTAGTTGGTATTTTACACACAGTAAAAGGCATCGTTACAAAATCAAAGTGTTTCAGAAATCTGTCGCTAGATGGCGCTTTACCTAGAACGTTTTGTTCAATTTTCCCCGTATTTTATTTATTTAGACTGATATTGCAAAATAGAACAGATTGCCCGAAGCAGAATCACAAATCATCAATAATTTTTACTCTTGTGTTGAGTCGATGAGTGTTGTCGTTTAGGCAGAAATCGACTTATTTTTAGCCCGAACACCCCCTCACTTCTAATTTACAGAAAGGTAATACTGGATATCGAGATATGCATTTCTGTTACGGAAAAGCAAGTGCAAATGCAGACCAGCATTATTAACCTGCAGGCGACGTGCAATAATTTTTTCAAAATAGTATGATACAAATTTAAATGATAATGAAAAAATGGCCTAAGTCAATGCAATAACATGTTTAATTTAAGTAGCATAAATACACTTAACATTTTTGAAAAAAAAATCAATAATAATAATAATCGAGAATTAAACAATATAAAACGTTAATTACAATTCATTTTCAAAATGCTCACCGTTTATTTCTAAACATTCTCTTATACATTTTAAAAAATGTATGTAAATTTCGCAACCGTTTATTATTTATTGTAGTAGGTCATTGATATCTGTTATGTCATTGATATCTGTTATGTCATTGATATCTGTTGTGTTTTAGATGTTTCATACATTAAAGACTTTAAATGCCCAAAAAAAAGTCCATCGGATTAAGGTTTGGGTGGACCTCTAAATGCCTGCATTAACCACATGTTTTGTGTCCACTGCAAGGGTACCTCTTCCAGCAAAGCTGGTAGTTCCTCGTGGAGAAACTGCAAATACATTTCACCATTAAGCGATCCGTTAAAGAAATGAGGTCCTATGAGATTATCTCCTATAATCCCCGCGCTGATGTTTTCCTTCAATTTTTGCATATGGGTTTTCAATGATGCATATTTTGACCTTTAAGAATTGCGGGTAATTTTGAATTTTTCCTAAAATTTTATTACATAAAATTATTTTTATGCAAAACTTTCCAAACTGTTCTGTCCTGAGCAGCAAGTTTTCTCGTATTCGTTGACGGGTCAGCGTCCACATTTTGAAGTATTCTTTCTTCTCTTGGAACGGTTTTTTTATACCCTGGTCTCCCTTTGTTGATATTATAAGGTTTGAAGGATCCTCTTTCACCAAGTCTTCTTGTATGTTGTATTTCCATTCGCCCTTGCATAGCAAAAATGCATATCGCGATATTCAGTGTTCGAATATTTCTAATGGGCCTCCACAGTAGTAGCCCTTTTATTACAAACTAATTTTTAACGGATTGTGACAATGAGTAAAATTTGAGCCGAGAATAAAAAATCGATTTGTGGCTAAACGATAACACTTTTCGACTTAAAACAAGAACAGTTTTTGAGGATTTATGACACTGCTTAAGGCAGTCTGTTCTATTATGCAATACCAATCTAAATAAATAAAATACAGGAAAAACATATGTTTGTAGGTAAAGTGCCCTTTAGTGACAGATTTCTGAAACACCATGAATGTTACTAAGTTAGAGCTGTGGGTAAAAAACCAGCTTATTCCGTTGACAATTAAGCCCACCGCTGTAAAAATTATATTTAAAAAAACAACTATAACTCGGAAAATATTACGATTTCGAATTTTTATTACATGACTTACTACCATGATGTTACCACGTTGAATCTTTCCTCCAAGTTTCCGAACTCAATTTCCGAACACCCTGTATATTGACACTAAAAACTGATGCAAAAGATAAAGCCAGATTTGTTATAAAAGGAATCGCAGTTAATTCTTTTTGTCCACGCAAATTTTCTAGTATTTAGATTTAGAAATATCCGCCATTTTGTTATGGTATTTGTAACAAACAAGTATTCTGAAACGTCCCGATTGTCTGAGTCGAGAATTTTAATCGTTTTTGGAATTAATCCAAAAAAAAAACGATAGCATCCACGCAGTCGGAACGCATTATAGTTTCGCAGAACCTGGAACCTACACGCGTTATATGTTATAAATAGTGGAATATCGGGCTTTGAGTAATAATCTTGTTTGTTTATAAAGTTTGGTTTGAATCCGAGAAAACGCACAATCTGGCAAGCGAGGTTACCGTTCGCATCGTATCGCAGAATTTGAACAGCGCCGTTCGAGCGTGTTTTTTGAATCTAAATTTATCAATTGCTAAAAGAAAACGCTTCGGATCTGGGTTCCCATTAAGTGTTAACCCATTCGGGAGAAGGAGAGCCATTTGTCGGTCTTCTTGCAAGTTAAAACTGCAACCCGGCGTCTTCAAATTACCAACAAACTTTGCCAACCACTTTCGTATTTTAATAATTTATGAGATCCAAAATATTACACCAAATATATTTTTAACTAACACGACCATCCTGGGATTTGTTTTTTCATTAAGTTGGGTCACTCTGTGCGTCACAAAACTAATGCCCACAGCTTCAGCAACACGATTACCGTTTGGTTCCAGACACGAGAAGCTGCACGACCTGCGACAAAGTCTTGGCGGAGTTGGAGCAGATAGACGATGATACCGACTCCTTCGGCGTGGACTTCGTGAAGATAAACGACAAGCGAGTAGCCAAACAGTATGGCATCAACAAGTTTCCCGCCCTTACTTACTTCAGGGAGAAGCAGCCGATCATCTATGAAGGTATTCTTTTACTTGCAAGGTATTTTGGCAAAAAACGAGAGACTTAATACTTTAAACAATTAAAACCAATTGAAATAAGGAACGCACTCAGCTCTAAGACCTGAGATTAAAAATCTCAAAAACTACAGCGGCTGGAAATTAATTGTAAATTCCAGGAATTTCTATATTACATAAAATTAGCACCGCCTTAAAGTTCATTAAATCATGTTGCGAACATTTCGCAAATGAAAATCGATAACTTCAGAATGGCTCAATGCATTTTGTTAAACTTAGAGTTTTTGAAATGATGATTGCTTGTATCGTCGCTAGAGGGCGTTTCGTGGCGCTACTGCAAATAAAATTTATAACTCGATATCAGTTTTTTTGCAAAAAAAATAGCCAAATGAGGGTTTAGGGGCTAGTGAAAACCGCATTCCAATATCACAAAATAACGCCATCTCTGGGAATATTTTCATTATACCTGCCATGAATAAATACTAATAAATATTAATAAAAACTAATAGGTCTCTCTTTACAAAACTAAATTTAGGATTTGGCAATAAGAGAAAGATTTATTCACATATAAAAAATATTCGTTTCAAAAATCCGTGAACCTAAAGCTACCCTTGGTGGGAACCACATTTATCCCCTCCACACACAAGGGTGGGCAGGCGTGCACGTTTACTTTCATTTCGCTCGGATAGTTGGAACGTTATCGAACGAAATACTAATCGAGCGTCGGAAATAATTGGCCGCAGCCAATGAGAAAGTGAATTAAGACACTGCGGTATCGAGGCAGCAGACGCTGCCAGGGGAAGCAGCCGACGTCTCTTTTAAAACGATCGGCTGAATCAGTAAAAATAAAAATAGTCGTTAACCGTGTAGGCATGTCGTAAAATGTTTGACGGTCGTTTCGGCTTTAGGATGAGTGGTTTGAGACAGGCCGTTGGCGAATCGACCCTGACCGAAGCGTTTTACGATCCATCTATTTTATACAGGGTGGCCAAAAACGAGAGTTCATTTGGAAAAACAAAAAAACTGCGAAAAAAGAAAAAAGAACTGATCAGCGTCAAAAAAAATTTTTTTTGTCTGTCTGTTCTCCGTTCTCCGTTCTTGTCCTTTGGTTTTTCCTGGATAACTTTCGAACCGTTGGATTTACAAAATTGAAATTTGACTCCTTTTTAACCCTCCACGAGACACATGAGCTAATAAGAAATGGCCTTGATCCGATCTATCATCTATCTTTTCTTCGCGATTGCCGACTGTTTTTTGGACATTGCTATGAAACACGATAAGTATCTGAAATTTGAAGCAATGGACTTCATATTTTGCACATATATGCAGCTTTGCCTCGTGACGGAATTTATTGAAAGAAGGGGGGCTGGGAGGTCGGGAAAAAAATAAAAATCCCGTGTGCAAGGGTCTACAAAAAAGATCATTTTTCGAAAACAGTTTACAGACCGAAAAAATTCTTGAACCAGAAAACGCAGAAGATACGGCTCCATAAACTCTTATTCTTTACAATTTTTCAAAAATATACAGGGTTGTCCGCAAAGTCAGAAAACTTGAAAAATGTTTTTTTTTTTAATTATTTTGTCTTCCAGAAAAACATAATTTTCTCAAAAACTGTTCAACCAATCGGCAAAATTTTAGAATCAGAAAACGCGGGAGATCCAGGGCTATGACTTATATTTTAAGCATTATTTTCGATTATATGGACAAAAGTCTAAAATACCGTGAAAATTGTACTTTTCGGGAATAAATTGTTAACCGTAAATCAAAATTCGTGAAAAATATTTCCAATCGGTTCAAACAGTGTTATAGGCCATATCAACAGTAACAATTTTTGTATTTACGGTTTTCGTGTATCACACACACTGCTCCAGATATTTTAAAAAATCCTTTTGAAAAGCACTATTCCTCGAGTTCAGTCAAAACGCGATGACGTCATTGATTATTAAGGAGCACTGCATGGTTTCAGAAAAAAAAAATTCTCGAAAACTATTTACTCTAGAGTCATGTCTGGCAAGAGTGCGCATTTTTTTTCTATGGTCATAAAATTGTAATAATTGTACAAAATACATTGAAATAAAAGTATTTATTTAAAGGATTTATTGATTTAACAATTACGTAACATGAAATTCAATTTACTTAATTGTAATTAAAGAAATAAAATAAAATAAATGTTAGTCAGAATGCGCACACTTACCCCAATATTGGGGTAAACGTGCGCAGCACTGCGGGTAAGTGTGCGCATTCGTAATAATTTAAACCATAAGTTGTTACATATAGTTACACCATATTTAATGTTATAAATATTATTTTTTATCAATACTTATCATTTTTTACTTCATTTTTTATATTTATATATTAAATATATCATTTTTGACAAATACTGTTTAACTTGATTTTTATCGAGAATAAGGTTTAGAGTAGTTAACAGTTTTGAATAGAGATAAATTCAAATGAGATCGTTTTTAACGAATATGATAAAATCTTAATTATTAGAACATATATCACATATGAAAGCACCAGTTTCATAATGAGTGCACTGTTCATGCCACCAGCTATGACATAAGCTACATTTAATCCAATCCTCTGTAGGTGGATCAACGTATTTTTCACCACACAATGCACAGTAATCATCATTTTCCTTAAAATCATTAATATTTTCTTGACTAGCCTTAACTTTAACAGCCTTATCTTTGGTAGTAGTATTCTTCTTTGTTTTTTTTTAGAATTTTCAGCTAGTTGACGTGGGTTGTCGTAAATTCAAGTCAGGGTGCCTTTTTAAAAATCCATACACCCATTCACGTCCAGCCATTTTCGACTTTTGATTAAACCGATGAGGAATATGATTTATTTCAGCATACTCGTAGATCAATGTTCTTAGAGTTGTCATATTAAGACCATAATAGAGATCATCACTTCTTTTTAAATAGTTATATATTTCATTTTCTTGCTCACTTGTGAAAGTTGAAGTAAATCTTCCTAATTTTAGAGCAGTTGAATCAGATTTTAATCGCTTCCTGAGAGTACTCTCTTTCATTCCAACCTGTTCAGCTGCTTTTCTTTTACTTAAATCTTCGGCAATCAATCGCTTAGCAGCATCAAATTGATCACGGGTAACAACGGACCTGTGTGGAGCCTTCCGCTTGTAATTTCGAGGCATTGTAGTTTTTTTTTTTAAGAAATATATAAGTATAACCTGAAACAAATAACAACGAGTGTCAATACACAAAGAACTCACTATCGGGGTAAAAGTACGCATTAAAATATGCGTACTCTTACCCCACAACCGTATGCGTACACTTAACCCTAATCGCCTTTACAGATTTAGTTTAAAATTACACATTTTTGCGTCATTCTACCAAGTTTTGATGTATAGCTGATAAAATTAGATATATAAACGAGCATAATTGGACATAATTAATACTAATTACCGCTACATAAATATAAAAGTATTTGAATTCTAAATTGGAAAAAATCGTAAGAATAATAACCAAAATTTTTACTTACCAATATTACTAAAACTACGTAACTTTGCCAGACAAGACTCTAGTCTTTTGTCCAACGTCGTAGTGACTACTGAAGGCAGTTGATTCCCCTACTCTACTGTCCACGGTTTTATAAATAATAAGCCTGCGCACACTTGCCCCACATGACTCTACTGGAAAAATTCTTGGATCAGGAAACGCGCGAGATCCAGCGCTATAACCTCTATTTCCGGCATTTTTTTAATGTGTGTCGATTATGGGCGTGAATTATTAGCCGTTAATGAAAAACTATAAAAAAGGGATAATTTGGTTAGTTTGGGTTAGTTTTCACTGCAAATACCTATTATTTGTACAAATTACTACAGCGAGACATGGAAGAAGGTATATATAGAGTGTGTGCACAATAAAATTACATCGATTTTACGAAAGTTCCATAGTGACCCGCGGGAGCACGATAGAAAAACAATGCGTCCCATTTTTGACAAAAAACCGCGAAGCGACTTCTTTTTGACGAACTTGCTCCTCCCACCGACGATTTGTCGAAAGCAATCTTGTTAACTCAAGCGCAATTGTTGGCTAAAAGTTGAACAATGAAAAAAGCTACAACTTTTTCGTTTTGAATTTTTTAACGTAGACGAAATATAAGAAAGGGCGTTGTTTTTCGCAGGTGACTTGATGGACGAAGAGAATGTTCTGGATTTCTTGACGAGTTTGGAGGCGATGGACTTGCCCGATCGGATCGAGGAAGTAAACGCCAGGATTTTGGAGAAGATCGTGCAAGAGACAGACTTCGTCGCGGTGTTGTTCTGTAAGTCGTTACATCAGTAATTTAGGAAACTTCGGCACCAAGGTCTGGTAGTGCGGGACACTTTAGGCAATATTTACCAAAAAATTGGAAGAAATATTGCTTATATTATCACCCACCTGTCGTTTACTATTAATAACCTCAAAAAAAAATTTTTCGTTATATCCGAAATTACGCTTGCGGTCCGGTCGAAACAGAAATCTGTAATATTGATTTTGAGTCGTCGTTATAGACGTGAATAACAGTACTAATAGGCCGTTCTAACAATGCAGGTCCGGACGTGGACACATGCTCCAAAGCGGCTGCTAGTAAGTAAATATTTTTCTAAGTCGCCCCTTTCTCGCTCAAACAACGAGACCAGACAAGTCACTGCCTTCCAACAGCTCTACTATCTCGTAAAACTTGTGACTTTTTCCCACAAATTGGATGGGACAAAAGCGGTTCGAGCCCATAACTTTGCTCGTTAAATCTGAAAAATTTCAATGTTTAGTTTTGGTTAGTTGACCGTTTTCGCATCCTAGCAACGCTGCCAGTTTAGGATTGAACTAATTATTATTTTTTAAAAGGCACTTAGCAAAAAATTACTACACGAAGCTGGTAAGTATATCCGTCGGTTTCTTTTGTCACTTGTAAGTGTGTTTTGTCGGGTCTCATTGTTGTATGGTGTCCGTTTTTAACTGCCATTTTGTTTTTGCATCCACCCCCCTTTCGTGAGAGTCCCTGTATTTCGATCTCCGTCCATTTTCCAAATATTCGTCTTAATCACAACGTGTGGCTCTGCATGGTCCAAATGTCGAAAACAGGCAGTCTAAATTTACTCAATGGGAAGACTGTATAATATAGTGTATTTAAAACCGTGCCAAGAACGTTCGACTTATAAAAATGTTCGCTCGTGTAAATTCCACGACGTGGGCTAACGGGGTGGTGGCGATTTTTAATTGCCTCAATTAAAGTTCTTTGGCACAATCGGTTAACTAAATAAACAAAATTGTTTGCTAAAATTATCAAAACGTAGATTCTCAAATAGAGGTTGCACTAGAAACATCGGGAAAATTTATTTATATGCTCTGTTTCTTAATGTGAGATCACTACTGAACTGTAAAACTTAATAGTGGGCTTAGTATTGTGACCATGACAATTGTCGAGGGCAGTCGTTGGCAAATTTCGTTTTTGAAAATGGCTTGTGATTCTGAATTCGTCGCTGAGAAATTAAACTGCGCTTTCTAAAGATGAGAAAAATTATATTATGCAATAAGTGCGGTAAAAAACATTTGGCTTAATAAAAGAGTGAGATAAAGAGTTTACCAAACGCGTTGCATACTATACTTTTTCTACGACCGTCTTTTTTTCCACGAAAATTCAACATTCGGGGTTGCATAAATAAATTGGTTAAGGCTTTCGCGGCCCGTTGATAAGCTATTATCTTGATTCGGGTTTAAAGGCCGTCGTCGGTTGGAATTGCTTCCTAACGTTTTGCTAGCACAAGTGGCGAGCTTCTTCAGAGGTCCTTCCATCTCCGATGTGTCCGAGTCTACGTCCAACATGGGAGATGGAAGGACCTCTGAAGAAGCTCGCCACTCGTGCTAGCGAAACGTTAGGAAGTAATTCCAACCGACGACGGCCTTTAAACCTGAATCAAGATAATAGCGTTGCATAAATAGTTAAAATGACTGAAGTTGGACAGCCAACATGACGATAAACGCCCCGTCAGGTCAATAAAAAGAGAAATACACAAATGACGATCAAAAGACTTTTGACAGCAGTAAAACAGTTTCGAAATGAAAACAAGAATAAACTTGGGTAATAATAAAGGATATACCGCTGGTAGAACATGGCAGGAAAAAAAATAAAAAGTGCGAAGCAAGCTTTCATATATATATATATATATATATATATATATATATATATATATATATATATATATATATATATATATATATATATATATATATATATATATATATATATATATATATATATATATATATATATATATATATATATATATATATATATAACGGTGCTGTGCCTGTGTATTATACCCCATATAATTTGTATGGTCGGAAGTGAAAGGGTTTGTAGAAAGGCCACCACTTTTAAAGCGAGAGACGTTGAAACCCTCTTGGAACAGGGAGAAAAAACAGTGAATTGTGAAAAACGGAGTAAGTGAGAACCTGATAGCATGCCAGAAAACACTATATGGACTCCAACGACTAACTATGCGGAACATTACAGCTAAAATTTATAAATAGTAGATGTTGTGAATTAATATTATTTATTACAGTTTTTTTATCATATTCTTCTTACTTCTATATTTACTGATAAACTATATTTCATCGCATTTCTGTGAGATTATTTTGATTGACCAAAATTGTCTTTCTATAGTATCTACATACATACATTATTCAAAAGTTCCTACGAACCCCACTCTCCCCCACTCCCTCTCTCCCCACTCTCTCTGTGATTGTAAATTTATATTATATTACTCTCTCGCATTAAGAAACATAGTATGGAAGGGTAGACAAAATGCAATTATATCGAATTGTAAGGCGTTTTGTTGAAGTTGACGTGTGTGAAACCCCTTAAATTGTGTTTTAGTTGAATTCCCGTATTTTTTTGAATCACTGATATAAATAACCACAAATTGTAATTTTCCCCATTGTTATGTCATTGTTTTCTACGCTTCTACGTATTTTGAAAAACAGCCAAGCAACTACTAACGCAGTGACCAGATTTTTGATAAGAAACTTCCTTTTGATAATAAGTGTACCAAGTTGAAAGAAATTTAGGTAAAATTCCGACTCGAAAAGGGGTATGTTGAAAAAAATCGTCGCGTCAGCTTGAGTTTGGAATTATGTACCCTTGGGGTTCCTAGGCTGGAAATTTCCAGTGTTCGGAAGAAAATTATGCAATGGCAATTGCAAAAGGTCCATATTAGATAAATAGGTAATTCTAATTTTTAACCTTTTATTTTTTTAATGTAAACTTTTGGACTACATATAAATTAATTATTAATTTTTTCCCAGACAAGATATATATCTATATATATGTATATACATATATGTATATCCTCGCTAAACGAAAGAATGGTAGATTTGGAGCATTCTCTTTATTTCTTTAATTAATATTTAGGATGGAATCGATCAGGATTATATTCCCGGTAATTTTCCAGATAAACCGGAATGCAAAAAGTGTTCGAAAGTCCTATTGGAATTGGAGAACATCGACGACGAGGCCGACCAACTGGGCATCGGTTTCGTCAAAATCAACGATGAGAGTCTTGCAGACGAATACAACTTATCCCCCCTGCCAGCCCTTGTTTACTACCGACACCAAATCCCTATCATCTACGAAGGTAAGCCCTTTCAAATAAAAGGCTTTTGTGCTACACCAAGCTTTCGAAAATGTTTATTTTCTTCTTCAGGGGCTACAATATGAAAGCGGCTCTTAGTTATTTAATACTAAAGTCTTATAGTTAAAGTACTTACTGCTACAGTGCCATTATAGGCCAACACCAAACTCATCCGGATAACAGAAAGAATCAAATACGACCGTTAATTATTATAACCGAGGGCAGCCATCTAGACGAAATTGTTATTACATTTTATTTAAACGAATTTTACTTCAAACGCAAAACGCAAATGATGGAAAGGTTTTATTAGTATGACCACCGCCAGCCGTCCAGTTTTTTTCCCTTTCTTTTTTTTTTTTTTTTCTTTCCCCTTTTTGTTACCTCCTTTTTGCTTACAAGGCACCTAATGTATAGAGGCTTGGGACTATTTTTCTAAATTATAATTACATTGTGACGACACTATTATCAGCAAACGCAATTCGATTGACCGATAGAAGTAATTTATAGCATCCCCTGTAATCAGTGTGATCAGGTATACATAGGACAGACATCGCGAGTACTTAAAGATAGAATTACGTCACACAAGAGTGATTGCAGACTCAATAAGAACACCTGTTCCTTAGCAACACACTCTAACCAAATGGATCACGATGTTAACTTTGTTGAAACAAAAATTCTCCATAAAGAAAGCAACTACAACAAAAGAGCAACTTTGGAAATGGTGGAGATTTTCTTGGAACCGAAATCGGTCAATAAAAGATCTGACATTGATGGCCTCAGTGTGATCTACTCTAATGTCTTAACTTTACAACCAACCGTCAATCGAATTGCGTTTGCTGATAATAGTGTCGTCACAATGTAATTATAATTTAGAAAAATAGTCCCAAGCCTCTATACATTAGGTGCCTTGTAAGCAAAAAGGAGGTAACAAAAAGGGGAAAGAAAAAAAAAAAAGAAAGGGAAAAAAACTGGACGGCTGGCGGTGGTCATACTAATAAAACCTTTCCATCATTTGCGTTTTGCGTTTGAAGTAAAATTCGTTTAAATAAAATGTAATAACAATTTCGTCTAGATGGCTGCCCTCGGTTATAATAATTAACGGTCGTATTTGATTCTTTCTGTTATCCGGATGAGTTTGGTGTTGGCCTATAATGGCACTGTAGCAGTAAGTACTTTAACTATAAGACTTTAGTATTAAATAACTAAGAGCCGCTTTCATATTGTAGCCCCTGAAGAAGAAAATAAACATTTTCGAAAGCTTGGTGTAGCACAAAAGCCTTTTATTTGAGCCCTCATCAGGACCGATACCCCAATTAACTTAAATTTGTTGTTCAACTAGCCGGTCACGACTACCGTTTTGTGTGTATATATATATATATATATATATATATATATATATATATATATATATATATATATATATATATATATATATATATATATATATATATATATATATATATATATATATATATATGTATATATATATTTGGAAAAATGTGATGACACTATATTCAGGGATATCATCCATTCACTTGTTGAACTCCGACTGGAATCCTGCAGACGTTTCGCCAAAATCTCACTTGGCATCTTCACTGCTCGCGTTCGAAGTGTTTTCGGAGCGCGAGCATTAAAGATGCCAAGTGAGATTTTGGCGAAACGTCTGCAGGATTCCAGTCGGAGTTCAACAAGTGAACGGATGATATCCCGGAATCTAGTGTCGTCATATATATATATATATATATATATATATATATATATATATATATATATATATATATATATATATATATATATATATATATATATATATATATATATATATATATATATATATATATATATATATATATATATATATATATATATATATATATATATATATATATATATATATATATATATCACTTCTAAAGTACATATACGATCTCCGAAAATTAAAAACTTTACAATTACTGATTGTCGGTTGTTTTAGGCGACCTAACGAAAGAGGAAGACGTGTTGGAGTGGTTAGTCCAGCACAAGAGCACCGGCGACGAAGACGACATCATCGAAGACGTCACACTAAAAACCCTCGGCACTTTAATCAGTAGCGTCGATCACCTTGCCGTCCTTTTCTGTAAGCCTTTTAGCTGTACGAGCCGTGGAGTGTCCGCGAGCCATTTGTTCTTCCGCAGACGATCACGGTGATGAAGAGTCTATGTCGGCTCTGGAAGAGCTCGAGCACATCGATGATGACTGCGACAAATACGGTATCCAGTTCGTCAAGATCGATGATCCCAACGCTGCCGAAGAATACGGGTTGGACAGCCTGCCTTCCGTCGTCTACTTCGAAAAAGGCATCCCAAACGTGTACGACGGGAACCTGGAGGAGGAGGACGAGTTTCTGGAGTGGCTCGTCGAGCAGCTGGAGAAGGACGAGATCGAAGATGTCACGGACGAGATGCTGGATAAACTCATAGCGGAAGGGAAAAATTTAGCTGTGTTGTTCTGTAAGTATTCCTCGGATGTTGACGCGTAGGCAACTTGGCTCATATACTTTCCAAGACGACGACGACGACAAGAAGTCTCAGAAGGTGCTCAATGAGTTGGAGAACATCGACGATGAGTGCGACAAGCTCGGTATCGTTTTCGTCAAAATAGATAACGATGACGAAGCTAAAGAGTACGGCATAGAGAAGATCCCATCGCTCGTCTACTTCGAGAAAGGTATTCCTACTCTGTACGAAGGCAATCTCGAGGACGAGGACAAGGTGCTCAAGTGGCTCGAGTATCAGCTCAAGAGTGACGAGATCGAAGAGGTCACCGACGAAATGCTGGACATGCTCATCGCCAAGAGGCCTCACGTCGCGGTGCTCTTCTGTGAGTATCGACGAAACCATCCAACTGTTATTTAAACAGACGTGTTTCCAGATGATAAAGACCAAAAGAAGAGTCAGAAGATCCTCGCCGAGTTGGAGAATATCGACGACGAGTGCGACGAGAACAATATCGTTTTCGTCAAGATCGACAACGATGCCGAAGCCAAGGAATACGGCATCGACAACATTCCCAGCTTGGTATTCTTCGAGAAGCGCATCCCCCATCTGTACGAGGGCGATCTGATAAAGGAAGACGAGCTGCTTGGCTGGCTCATACACCAGAAGAAACACAGCGAAATACCCGACATAACCGACGAGATGATGGACCTGCTGATCGACTCGCAGAAATACCTGGCGGTGTTGTTTTGTAAGTATTCTTCGAGGTGAGTCTACCATCAGGAATACTAAATATCGCGATGCTTAGACGACAAAGACGACAAACAGGACATCAGGGTATTGAACGAACTGGAAAACATCGACGACGACTTGGAGAAAGAGGGGATCGTTATAGTGAGGATCGACAACGACGCCGAAGCTAAAGAATTCGGTATCGACCACCTCCCCACTCTCGTCTATTTCGAAGACAAAATTCCGTCGATTTACGAGGGGGATTTGATGAACGAGGACGAGGTGCTCAAGTGGCTGATCGAACAGAAGCAAACGGCCACCATCGAGGAAGTCACCGACGAAATTATCGAGGACCTGATCCAGGAGCACGAGTACGTGGTCGTATACTTTAGCGGCAACTGCGAGGAGGGCGAGAAGTGCGACGACATATTGGAAGAGCTGGAGAATATCGACGATGAGCTGGACGAGACCGGCATCATCTTCGTGACCACTGAGGATACGGCGTTCGCCAAGAAGCAGGGGATCAAAACGTTCCCCAAACTGGTGTTCTTTAGGAATAAGGAACCGTTGGTGTACCAAGGGGATATCGAAGACGAGGACGAAGTTTTGGCCTGGTTAACCGACGAAGACACCCTGGAAATTCCGGATAAGATCGAGGAAGTCAACGTCAAGATGTTGGACAAGATTTTGGCGGAGAATGAACACGTCGTCGTTTACTTCTGTATGTGGCGACTTAGTGAAAGCGAAACGGATGGTGGATAGTATTGATTTCAGACAAGGAGGGCGACAAAAAATCGCAAAAGATTCTGCAGGAGTTGGAGAATATCGACGACGAGTGCGAGGACAAAGACATCGACTTCGTGAAGATATCCGACGAGGGTATACAGCAGGAGTACGACTTGTCCGTCCTGCCGGCGGTCGTCTTCTACAGGAACCGCTTCAGGGAGATTTACGAAGGCGATCTGATGCACGAGGAAGCCATATTGGAGTGGGTCTTAAACCTGAGGGATGCCGCCCCCGATGTGATCGAGAATGTGGACAGGAAAACCCTGCAGGTAAGAGCCACATGTTTGGTTGTAGCAGCGTCTGTATCGCGGAAGCGACATCTCGCGGTGGTCTTGTCGTGCAAGTCCTTTATCTTATGAAAAATGACGTATGAATTTGTTCGAACATCCGCGCTTTGCAGGTTCTCATCAACGACGTCGAACATTTGGCGGTCCTGTTTTACACGGACGATTGCGACGAGTGCGACGAAGTCCTGGAGGAGTTGGAGACTATCGACGACGATACCGACAAGCAGGGCATACAGTTCGTCAAGTCGAAGGACCAAAAACTGGCCTCCGAGATCGGCATATTCAGTTTCCCCGCTTTGGTGTACTACGAGACGGGAGTGCCCATCATGTTCGACGGTAAGCAACGATCACTTTGATTGCGGATAGCAGCAATTGATACGTGAGTATCGAGCTAGAAATAACCGACGATTCTGCTGATGTCGAAGTCTCCGTTTCTCATATATATTTGCGTATTTTATAGGAAATTTGAAAGACGAGGACGCGGTGTTGGAATGGCTAGTCGAACAGAAAAGTAAGAACTTTTTTTTCGCCACACCCGTTGTTTTTTTGTATTCGGGGTGTCGGGAGGAGGGATAGGAAGATAAATACACTAGTTTAATGTTAGAAAAAGATGCAGTATTTCCAAAGTAACGCTAAGATCCTCGTGTTTGCACCTATTGTCCTCCTTTACAGCACCCCGCACAAGAAAGCACGCAAGTACTCAAAGTAACATATCATTCGCGAACGAAATTAAAATATCGGTCGATTAGCATTTGGCTTGGCGCTAAATAAGACGTGCGAGGTGTGTTTCTATACGCATTGCGGGGGTTGCATGTGCCATTGTCGTTCCTTAGGTAACGATGACGACAGTAACGATGACACAGACGAGGATGACGACGACGACGACGACGATAGTGACGACGATGACGACGACAACGACGATAGTGAAGAGGCTGGCGATCAATTGTTAAAGGCATTCGTTTCAGGTAAACAGGAGGAGGCGCTCAGCTGGGCCCGCTGCTGAACATTTGAGGTTAAATTTGATTACCTACTTGTTGTGGTCTCCGCGCCGATCACAGTGTAATTGTCGAATATATAAATTCGAATATAGTGTATCTCGGAATGCGTCGTCCTTGAAAGGAATAAGTGAGAGAGGCTGTCTCTTAATCTGTTGGTGAAAAATTTGGACCCTCGTCAAAAATCTCGAAATTGTTCCGCTTCTTTTCTCAGGCTCTAGGATTGAACTTCTCTGTTTTTAAACCTCGCTGTTTTAGATTTCTCTCTTGTTAAATCTCTTCTCTCTCTCTAGTGGGGAACATTTGAACTTAACAAAGAGATTTCAAGAGAGAGACAGAGGTTTACAATGAGAGACCGAGGCCCAGTTCTTTACCTGAGAAAAGGACGATAAGTGATAGAAAAATAGTGAACCTAGCACGAAGCAGCACAAATATCGTCAGTGGTCGTTCGTTGATTTTCGGCAAAATAACGCAGAAAAATAAATCGACACCACCAATGCGATGACAAGATTTTAATGTTACTAGTTGACGTAGTATTACGGGACGCATTATATATTCAGCCGTGTACCACTTACATGGTGATTGGTCGGTTTTTGTGATGGTGACCCCGCCCAGTACCGAGCCAATAGAAACACTTGACTCCCGATCGGTAGATCGCCCTAGACTCGCAGCGATAGCCGCTTAATAGCAGTGGGGGGGGGGGGGGGACAGAAGACTGAGAAGCGTTTGAGCCGAGCACGCCCCTGCCCGCAGCGCATAGTGTCAGACGCACTCTTTATCTCTCTCTCTCTCTCTCTCTCTCTCTCAGTCCCGCCTACACACTAACCCTATAATACGCAGTTCGCCTCTTCTAATCGATCACCTCTGATTTAACTCTATATGATTTTTATAGTCGAGTGTGTACTCTGACATTATGTTCTGCCTGCAGGGGATGGTTGCTTCTACATCGGCATGGGCGGCCGAAGCCCCCTCCACGCCTCCTACCAGCCGTACCAGTGTTGTCCGAGCAAAGCTGCCAAGAGCGCCAAGCCGGCCAAAGAGAGACCAAAATTACCGGCGGCCACCAAACAGGTGAAGAAGCCGACGAAACAGGCGACGACAAAAGTGCCGGACAAACCGCTGAGCAAGGTGTCCAAGGCCAATCACCAAGTAAAACAGCCGATGGTGAAGGAAGGCAAGGCGGCGAAACCGTTGCCACCTGTTAAAGAGAAAACCCAGCCGGGCAAAGAGAAAGCGCCAAAGAAAAAAGGATTCTTCGACACCGGTAAATATACATGGTGGTGGTAGTGAACCTAACCGATAGCTGCAACGCGACATTTTGTTCTATGGTGAAGCCTGACGGACAGACCGTGTGTTGTCCGGGCGCGGACCTCTGTCCATTACGACTGACCTCGCTACCTATCTTCTTCTCTATTTATACTTTTCTCCTGAACGCGTGTTATGGTGGATTCGCGCAGCCGCGAACATTAATTTAACACCAATTTTTCTTTTTAGAATTAAACAACCTAAAACTGGAAATTTTTTTGACTTCTATAGGCGCATGCGTGAATCTACTTTTAGGTTAACGTTTCGTAAATTCTGTTATGTTTGGGAATAGATTTATGTTGTCTGTTTGACTGTTATCGTAGTTTTAGGCGATCGGAGAAATTTTCGGGTTGCAGCTGCACGTATTTCGGGGCGGGGTGGCCCGAATCGCAAAAATCTCCAAAGACAATATATAAAAGCTTGTGCTCAAAACTGTAGAACTCGGACCCAAAATATTTATTTCACCCCAAAATTTTTAAAAACGATTTTACCCAGTGCTTTTAACCCTTTTGATGTCATAGTTGGTGGGGAGTGTTGATTACTACCAGGGAAATATTTACGCAAATGGAACCTTAATCGGCATTTACAAAATGTAACCAACTGGTGTTTTTTTTTGTTCGTTACCATCTAAATAATTAGGTAAATAAATAAAAAGACAAAAGTAGATCCGTCCCCTTGTAGATAAATGTTAAAAGTAGATGTACGACGGGGGATTCGAGACAAAATGCCTGCCCGATTTTTTCACTATATCTCTGCCTTGCTCAGTTAGCTTTAAAAAATATCGCATCGCAATCCGCCAGTATCTCCGATTGCGTAGCTTTTTATAATAATCCATTTGTTACCCGGCACTGTAGCTTGACATGTAAATATTGTTGAAGTTTATTGTTATTTAACTCGTAACGTAACCGTTTTTATATAAATATATCTGCACCGCACGTTTAAAATTAGGCGGCTAAATAAAAACGACCCTCCTGCTTGTGTGATTGCGAGAAAGCCATTCTCTATAACGTCACAACAAATTGGGCGGCGGTTCTCGTTTTTGTTCGACCGCGCGGCACTTTGAGGCCGAAAACACAATCCTGTATGTAAAACTGACTCTTAAATGGCTCCACGTGTACAAATCGTCCAGGGTTGTATTTTCCAACGCACATTGATATTACGTCACTGCCTGTAAGGAGTGCACCTCGCATGTACTTATTTACTGTACAGTACCCAAAGGATGACGTCAGCAATAAATCGTTTTCTATTATCGTTAAACTTTTTATTTGGTACTCGTCGACTCTGTGTTTCTCCCTTAAATGGTGCGTAGTACCGAGAGGTAAGTGATTAACTTAGCCGTTCCGACCAGTCCGAAAATGAGACGCTCGGCTCATCGAAAGATGTCCTTTTAGGAAACCTGCTCGACGTGAACGAGGTCTTGGATTGGATGGTGGATCAGAAAAACGACGAGAGCATCGAGGAGATCAACAGGGAGTTGCTTTTCAAGTACATCGACACCAAGGAATTTCTGGCAGTCGTTTTCTGTAGGTATTCGACATGAATTGACCGCCAAATCTTTCGGATCGATCCGATATTTGATACGAATTATACCGCAACAAATCAACCACGTCGTTACATCCCATCGCATAGATCAAATGTGTTGTTCGTAACAACATCAGATATTAAAAGGCACTTTTAAATTATCTATCTATCTATTTATCTATTAAAATTTCCCGACGGTAAATCGACGAGGTTCAAATCGGAATTCAAAACGGGTCATGTACGTTTTCTTAGATAAAGAGGAGGACCCAGAAAGTCCACGTATACTGAGGCACATCGAGTTGATAGACGACGAGGCGCTCGAGTACGGCATCAAGATCGTCAAGATGAAAGACCGATTGATGGCGAAGAAGTACGGTTTCAGGAATCCGCCGGGAGTGACGTACTTCCGTAAGGGGAAGCACATCAACTACGACGGGGACATCGACGACGAGGAAGAGTTGCTCGACTGGCTCACCGATCCGGAAAACATGGAGCTGACGGACCACATCGAACGCGTCAACAGGAAGATGTTCGACAAGATCAGACAGAGGTCGGACTACGTCGCCGTTTTTTTGTGTAAGTATACGCACGGTGGTAGGTAATAAGTGTGGAAAAGGCAATCCTAGATTAAACTCATATAAAATAGTAAAATTTAGTTCTGGAAATTGTTATTTCTTATTATTATTAAATAAGGAAACAATTTCGATAACTAGTTGGAATCAGTTTTTAGTGGCCGATTTTTTGTGGAGGCGAGTGTAATAAAATGCGATGTATATCTCGAATTTCATATCGTTCATCTAAACAAACTTAGAAATCATGATTCAATTATAATTTTCAAAAAAAAGTAACAAAACTAACAAGAATCGTATGACATGAAATGGCGAGATTATATGGTATTGCTGGGGCCCTCTAGAACGAAAAAGTATAACGTTAATCATATTCCCCATTTCTAAAAACCATATAGCTGTTAGATAATATAATGGCGCTAGTCAAAACTGATGCGCCTCGCCCGAATGTGACATTTTCGTAGAGTGGTAATCATTTACCGCGCATGCCTCTAAATTTCATTCACTAACCTGCAATTTGCGCCATTTTCGTCACAAACACACCAAAACATATTGACGTAAGTTACATCTAAACTGGAACCTGTCGAATTGATGAGCTGTCAGCGGCCAGGTTAAGGTTGAACGCCGCTTAGGTCTTATTAGAGGACACAAAAACAAATACGTTTCTTTTTTTGATTTGATCATTCGAATTTGAGTACGAACGATTATAACATGTGTGCACTTTGCGCTATTTTCACCAGAAGATTTAATGGGATTTGGACATATTTTGCAAAAACATTGCACTAAAAATACGAACTTAACAAATATGTCAATTTATTGCTCATGCCTAAGAGGAACTGGTTTATTGTTGTGTCATATCGTTTTGTACGCAAGAGCATATTAACTATCTTTTGTCAATATTTTTTAGCATCGTCGCTTGAAAAATACTAAACACCATCGAATCCCAGTTTTGGTTAGTTTTGGAGTTGCAGAGAAATAACAATTTTGAAAAAAAACATTAACGCTGGTTGATGGAAGACATGTTATAGTTCGCTAACGATATACCGTTTTTACGACATAATCCAGTATTTACCTTTCGAAAATTTTTATAAAGACCTCGCTAGGGTTTCTCTTTGTAACCCACAGAACCGTACTTCGGTACTTCGTGAATACAAAGCTGACGGATTTGTGTAGAGTTTCAGTCCATCATTTCTTAACGGTATCGTGGCTATCAAAGCAGCCCTCATCTTAATATATGATGGGAACCTTTTTAGCCAGAATTTCTTGGATTTCCCTCAAATATCTTGTCTTCCACTCCGAAATTCTTTTTGATTCCATCAAAACTTGTCTCTTATTGATGGTAGGAATGCATCCAAAGTCTCTTGGAAACACTCAATATTCAGAACACTACGTAACTCATCATATATTACCGTCTTTCACGATCTCTCCGCGTTTTTCTTTATTGGACACCATTCACAACTATGTCACGCACTGTGGCATACGGTGTTTTACTTATCTCGGACGCTAATTTTATGGCTACACTTTCCCCAGATGTCGATTTTAGAAACAGAAACACAATTAAAATTATGATTTTGGCAGCAACCGGCAAAGGTGTCCGAGTCTTTGATCCATTTGAATTGGCGCATGTTCATCATCAACGCTTAATACATCATCGACCACAATCTCAATTTCTTCGTCGCTGGACATCGCACAAAATTGAGTAATAATGTTAGTATTTGCTAAGAAATAAATTGTAATAAAATGTATGTGGTACTTCAATAAAAATGCCCTCAGTCTTGAAAACAATTAAATAACAGTAAGTTGATATTTACTCATACAAACACAAGACGGAATAAAAATAACTCGAAAACTTCGATTACACTAACCCCCACAAATCAACCAATTGCGAACTGGGAAAACATCCATCATAAAACAATTATCTACATACGATTTTGCATGGCTTTCCTAGGAAAATATTTTAGAGTCATTATATTAAACCCTTAAATTGGAAATCAGTTTAGACTTTCTAATGTATTTTCAACATAGGAGATCAACCTATCTAATGGGCAAATTCAACTTGAAATCGAGCTATTTCAAGTAGGGACTGAATATTTAAAAAAAGGACACGAATATGAATTAATATAACAGTTTAATCAAAGAACATTTTCCTAAATAGATTTGCAATTCCACAATAACATTTCAGAACCTTACTTCTGTACTTTGTGCATGCAAATCCTGAAAGCTGACATATTTTTGTAAAGTTTCATAGGTGAGATTGATGGATTATTATTGGTTCATGGAGTGACAAATCCATTCTTACTTTTAAAATACAACAGTCCGCACGGCACAGTTCTTTTTTTCTAACATCGTAAATATGGCCCTGGCATGTGCTACAGGCGGGTCTTAAACTTATTCCAAAGTCAAAACCATAAACAGTTCTAAAAACTGTATATCGTCGAGCGAACTCTACTAGGGTATACCATTATTTCCACGAGTTAAATCTAGAATTGTTTCTGGCGTATACGTATCCGTATTTCCATACATCTGAGTATTAGACCTACTAAATTTGTTGCGTGACTGATTCTTTCAGACAGCAGCGATTGCAAACAGTGTCCCCGGGTTCTGCTCGAAGTCGAGCACATCGACGACGAGGCCGATTCCGCCGGGATTAACTTCGTCAAGGTCGACGACAAATCGATGGCGAAAGAGTTCGGGGTGTTCGCGTTGCCTGCCATTTTGTTCTTCAAATCGGGTTCGCGAGAGCCGGTGATTTACGCGGGCGACCTCTACGACGAGCAACAGATCTTGCAGTGGCTGATGACGCAGAAAGATCCGTCAGGTGACGTCATCGAGGCCTCGGAAGGCGGCGAACTGTTGAATCTGATCGAGGACGAGGACGCGCTCGCGGTGTATTTCTGTGAGTACCTTTAGGGCTTGCATTAGGGAGCTGTAGAGTGTGCGCGAGCGGGTGCGTGTGCGTGTGGCTTTTGATCGAGGTCGCTGAAAAGGCGGTGCGATTTTTCACAGAAGTCGGTTGCATTGCTTGGTCGTTTAAAAAACAAAAGGCGCAGAGAGGTTGTTTATGATACCTGTACCGTGCGTTCAATTTATCTTGACAACATTTTAATTGACTGTAACTTTTTTGTTCAAGGTAAACAAAAAAACGAAATGTAGGGCAAGTGACGTATAAAACAAAACGCTGTCAATTTTCTGACTTATAAGTCTACATAATATATTTTTAAATGGAACTCCCTATATATTGTACGTATATTTAATAGAATATCTTATTTCGATTACAATGATGTAACCCACTTTGTATTCTAGTCCACTCATTTTTGACAAATCGGCAAAAATATTTATATAATTTCAACTGCAACAACAATAATCATTTACAAATTCAAGTAGAACAAAAACACTAAAAATGACAAGACGCACTAAAGTGAAAAACACATTTCTCATACACTCTAATTGTATGATGTCTTGCATTTAGTAACGTTTCCGGATTGTCTATTAACCGATTGATTGTGTCTGAAATCCTTTGTCGAAGTTCAACGACTTTATTACAAGAAGTTCTGTGTACGTGATTTTTTATGTGTCCCGAAATAAAAAAAAAACATTAAAGTTAAGTCGGGGCTGTTGGCAATCCATAGTTGCGTCGTTACGGCAAATTAAAATGTTATCAAGATAAATTGAAGGCAAAGGTACATTTCGTATATATCAAATAGAAAACAATCATATCGACTAATCAGCATTGGAGAATAAATTACCAATATTGTTATAATATCTTCAAATGTTCTTATGTCTCTAGACTTTGGTAGTATTGTTATTGTTTTTAAGTTGTATTTCAAATCTCACCTCAATGTTTATAAATATTTTTAATTTTTAAACGTATTTGGTACATAGTGCGTTTTATTTCTATTTAAATAAAAAATAATTTTTATAATGTACTTATCTAAGAAAAAAAAGAACACCAACTATGCTCTGATTTTTAATGCAAGGGGGTTATAAGTCATTAAGTTCGTGGTTGAAAATGGCTAGGGCTTCTTAATATTTTGCAAATATATAATAACATTGCGCTTTCAAAAAATTTTCTTTTTATCAATATGACGATGCGAATGCGAAGTATTATGAATTTTATTACTGATAAAATAACATATTTTAGTTAGACTATTTAATTATGATTATTTTCATGTAAATTGTTAATTTTTTGGGAGCTCTGCACCACTGCAGCGCATATGAACCAGCTGTCCCTGCATGATTCACTTAAAAAAAGAAATGCCTATCTTGTTTAACTAATCATTGGTTGCTTTCGCTGAATTTCATTAGCTACGGTGGCTAATCAGTTCAAATTTGTTGTTTTTTTATTTAGTTTTTTAGCCTGTCCTTCGGTGAAAATAATTATAATCATGTATACTTAACTACCATTGCAACTTATCTGAACTTCACGATATTCAAATGATTTAATTATCCTAGTCATTGCAAATTTTCATTTTATTACTCTCCCGCATTAAAAAACATACTATGGGAAATCATTGCATAAAATAACTAAAAAATATGTTCTAATGTACAGTTATTATAATAGCAGACACATTATTTAAAATTATTGACATGACATGACAAATGAATGACAAATATCTTCAAATATTACAATATTACCTTGCACTCTGTCAATTTTCTGACTTATAAGTCTACATAATATATTTTTAAATGGAACTCCCTATATATTGTACGTATATTTAATAGAATATCTTATTTCGATTACAATGATGTAACCCACTTTGTATTCTAGTCCACTCATTTTTGACAAATCGGCAAAAATATTTATATAATTTCAACTGCAACAACAATAATCATTTACAAATTCAAGTAGAACAAAAACACTAAAAATGACAAGACGCACTAAAGTGAAAAACACATTTCTCATACACTCTAATTGTATGATGTCTTGCATTTAGTAACGTTTCCGGATTGTCTATTAACCGATTGATTGTGTCTGAAATCCTTTGTCGAAGTTCAACGACTTTATTACAAGAAGTTCTGTGTACGTGATTTTTTATGTGTCCCGAAATAAAAAAAAAACATTAAAGTTAAGTCGGGGCTGTTGGCAATCCATAGTTGCGTCGTTACGGCAAATTAAAATGTTATCAAGATAAATTGAAGGCAAAGGTACATTTCGTATATATCAAATAGAAAACAATCATATCGACTAATCAGCATTGGAGAATAAATTACCAATATTGTTATAATATCTTCAAATGTTCTTATGTCTCTAGACTTTGGTAGTATTGTTATTGTTTTTAAGTTGTATTTCAAATCTCACCTCAATGTTTATAAATATTTTTAATTTTTAAACGTATTTGGTACATAGTGCGTTTTATTTCTATTTAAATAAAAAATAATTTTTATAATGTACTTATCTAAGAAAAAAAAGAACACCAACTATGCTCTGATTTTTAATGCAAGGGGGTTATAAGTCATTAAGTTCGTGGTTGAAAATGGCTAGGGCTTCTTAATATTTTGCAAATATATAATAACATTGCGCTTTCAAAAAATTTTCTTTTTATCAATATGACGATGCGAATGCGAAGTATTATGAATTTTATTACTGATAAAATAACATATTTTAGTTAGACTATTTAATTATGATTATTTTCATGTAAATTGTTAATTTTTTGGGAGCTCTGCACCACTGCAGCGCATATGAACCAGCTGTCCCTGCATGATTCACTTAAAAAAAGAAATGCCTATCTTGTTTAACTAATCATTGGTTGCTTTCGCTGAATTTCATTAGCTACGGTGGCTAATCAGTTCAAATTTGTTGTTTTTTTATTTAGTTTTTTAGCCTGTCCTTCGGTGAAAATAATTATAATCATGTATACTTAACTACCATTGCAACTTATCTGAACTTCACGATATTCAAATGATTTAATTATCCTAGTCATTGCAAATTTTCATTTTATTACTCTCCCGCATTAAAAAACATACTATGGGAAATCATTGCATAAAATAACTAAAAAATATGTTCTAATGTACAGTTATTATAATAGCAGACACATTATTTAAAATTATTGACATGACATGACAAATGAATGACAAATATCTTCAAATATTACAATATTACCTTGCACTCTAGGACCACAAAATGCAAATTTTAAAACATATAGTACAGCATAAGACTATAATATGCAACAAGTGTGGTAAACGGCATTCGAGTCACCAGTTTATTTAGCCACGGGCCAAACGCAGCAAAGCGAGTGCTTAATTGTTCCCAAACCCGTGCGGTAATAACCCGGAAGTGTCCGAAGTGACTCAGATCCGTGGGAAACGCAAGTGACTCGGTAAAATGACACTTGGCGGCTTGTTTTAGGGGAACTCATTGTTTGCGGACCACTATGGATCTTTCGCAAAATGAATGTAATTTTATTGTGCACGCTTTATAAAATGTCGTTCAAATAAGCGCCTGCCGAACTTCCAAGTCATGTTAAAATTAGGTAAATACAAAAATTTGTGGCAATAATTGAAATTCCCCAATACATTTTTCAAATATATCGCACACGCTGTATGATTCCTGAAATTCGAAAATTCTAGCTCTGGAAACAGTTAATGACACTTTTTAAACCAAATTATCTCATCTTTTGACGTTTTTCATTAACATAATTTATCCACAAGCACTGAGATTTTCAGGATTTTTTAAAATTTTTGCCCATATAATTAAAAAAATGTTCGAAATAACACTGGATCTCCCACGTTTCCTGCTCTACGAATTTCTCCAATAGAGTAAATGGTTTTCGAGGAAATAATTCTTTTCTGAAACTATGCAATACGCCGTAAAAGTAAATTGCGTCATCGCCTCTAGATTGAGTGCGAGATATAGCGATTTTCATATGGATTTTTTTAAATATCTCGAAAACCGTAAACATAAAAATTGTAGCTTTCCATACTGTTTAAACAGATTAGCCATATTTTTCACGAACAGGACAATTTTTGGGGTCTTTAGATTTTTGTCTAAAATTGAAAAACCCTGTATACAATCGAAAAAATGCCTATTATAGTCCCGTATCTTCCACAATTCCGGGATTAAGAATTTTGACGATCGGGTTAATAGTTTGCGAGAAAACATTTTTTTTTCTGGAAGGCAAAATAACCTAAACAAATTTTTCCAAAATTTTTAAAAAATACTTGGCGATATTTGATTGCGCCCAGTTTCTACAGTATAGTATAGTACGGACTTTTATATATTTTCTAAATTTGAAGTCTATAGCTGCAAATTTGAGAGACCCTTTTTAAATATAGCACGGAATATCCCCAACTCCCTGTACAATATATTAAAACTTTAAATACAAAAGTTTTATCTGTAAAAGTGACAACTGAAGCACAGCCTTCTAGTTATGATCAATTACCATTATTAGGGGACCCCAATTTTCAGTTCGGGCACACCCTATACATTTTGGAAAATTATGAAGAATAAGGATTTATAGCACCCACTCTCGTGATCTTTTCGTTAATTTTTCGTCAATTTTTCCTTTCCCACTTTCAATAGGTTCCGTCAAGGGAGCGAACATTATTTGCTTACAAAATTTGAAATCGACATTTTCAAATTTCAGCTACTTATCGTGTTCCATAGCAATCTCCAAAAAAAAGTGCAAAATTGAAAAAACAAAAAAACAAGATGGCCGCCCAGTTTCGACCGCGGCCATTTTCAAATATCTTTTGCATCCTGTGGACGGTTGAAAACGAGCAAAATTTGGACCGTCTAACTCAAAGTTATAGTTGGAAATGTCCAGAAACAGAAAACAGAGAACCGACAGACAATAACAAAACATTTTTTTTTCGACGCTGATCATTTCTGTTCCAATGGCGGTCCTTTAGGACCTACCGTTGCCGAGATCTCGAATTTAGTGAGGAGCGCGTATACTTTCGCAAAGAATCTATTTCATCGATTTTGCGAAAGTAATATAGTATACTATGCAACAAGTGCGGTAAACGGCATTTGACTCACGAATTTATTTGACACGAGCGGAGCGGAGCGCTATTACCGTTTTTGGGTACATTTTCGCAAAACAAGACGAATACATTCACTGACATGACCGTCAGAATTGACAAACATCAAAATTCAATATCTCCGAAAACATCCGATTGCTCCCAAACCCGTGCCGTAAAATCTCGTATATCTCCCAAGTGGCTCCGATTCGTGACAAACGAAACTGACGTGGTAAAGTGACGCTTACCGCACGCTAGATAATTAGATATTTTACAGACGGGAGTAGAAAAAAATATTTTTTTGCGTAAATTCTATCCGACATGTCAATGAATGTATTCATGTTCTTTTGCAAAAATGTAGCCATTTTTATTAAACACTCGCTCCGCTCGTGTCAAATAAACTCGTGAGTCAAATGCCTTTTACCGCACTTGTTGCATAATATACTATTGAAACATGGTTTTCTCGACTGATTAATTTGCAAAAACAAATAAAACGACCTCGTCTGCCGCCGATGACCAGAAAGTCCGCGCCGCCTTTGATCGTATAGCAAAGCATGAGGCCTACCTCGGAGTAACTGAACGAATTAAAATTGAAGAGTAATCATAATGAATTGTGCGCTTGCGCTTTGCGGTATGTTCAGGGAACAAGACGCTCTGCGACCTGTGCAACGAAATGGAAGAGCAGCACAGGAGCAGGAAGGGACAGAAGAAACAGGAAGAGAGCGTTCAGGAGGCCGCAGTCGTAGTAAACGGTACCGATGAGTTTAATGAACCCCCTCTAAACCCAGATTTTGGTTAGTTCTATGGACGACACATGAAACATCACACGTTCTTTATTTTTTATAGACGGCTTGGAATTTGCTTGTTTTGAATGTGAAGTTGGGTTTTCGTTTTTGGAGGCTAACGCCGCATTGTGCGCGTGTTTTTTTTTCATTTTAGCTTAGGTATGCAGTTGTACACTGGGGCTGTATCAAACGGCATATATTACCTAACTATGTTGGGGCGTGGGAGGGGTGGGGGACAATTCTGGCACAAATTGTCATGATTTTGTAGTAGGCATTGTATCGTTCAAGCCACGAAGGTCGGTATATTTGAACTACTCCATATACCTGACATGTAGTTCCATATATATATATATATATCCCATAATAATAATAACAATAATAATAGACTTTAGACTAATTAAATATATTACAAGAACAACAAATTAACGCAAGATCAAACACATTCTAATAACATTCATAAAGAGCAATATCAGATAGACATTTAGTAAACATTGAAACAAGAATTAGCTACAAAAATTCCAATTAGTATTATGGAGACACTCGTGACGCAACAGGGATGTACTCAACTGCAGTATAGAATGCAATATCCTATACAAATTGTTTATTTATTTTACAAAGTTTAGTGACAACAGAACATTATAAATAAATAGTGAGGGTAAGGTCAAAATATTAAGCTTAGAGAATGATCAATGATCAATAGCACTCGCAATCACACGTATTGCTCTTTTTGCATAAGAAAAGCCTTATGGGCAGGGCCCCACAAAACAAGTGTACCCTAAGTGGGAATGGAACAATCCGAAATAAGCAAGTCTTGACATGACAGGGATGATTGACTTGTTTCAGTGTCTAATTAAAAGCAATTGACTTGACAGTTTGTGGCAAATGTGATCTTTCCAGGAAAGAGAACGATCGATCCAGACTCTGAGTACCTTAACCGGGGCATTATTTAAATGGTGCAGCTTGCTACAAGAGATAATAAGATGGTTCGTCTTATTTTCGTTTAACTGTAAGCTGAACCATCCCAGCGCCACACTATCAATACTAGGTTCATATGGATTCCTAGCTCGCGATAAGAGAATTCTATCATCCGCATAGTACTACATAGTATGTGGGAAGGCAAATCGTGAACTATGAACAGCAGCTAGCTAGAACTACTGAATCTTCCATTGACTTCGACACACTGGAGGCTGGCGCTCAGGTAAAAGCGAAATAATCTGTGAGGCATGCCCTTGATGCCATACCACTCGAACTTCTGCATCAGCACTCCATGATCCACACAATCAAAAGCCTTCGGTGGCGTCTGCCATTTCACCAGCGTCAACGCCCTCGACAATGCTCCCAACAAGACTTATTAGAGCGAACTGTTCTTTGCACAAGAGTTCATGCTTTTCAAAATGGTTCAGTAAGGGATCTTTAAGATTTTTTCGACGAACTTATCTATTATAAGGATAACTGTAATAGGGGACATTGTAGTGGCACAATCCTGCGTATTTTTAACTGTTCTGGAAATATTCCAGTTTCGAACATCTGGTTAATTAGATGAGGTATAGGGTTAGCTAAAAAAGTTTCAGTGTGTTTAAGAAATTTTGAATTTAGGTTGTTAACGTCTAGAGGATTAGAATTATTCAAATGTAGAATAGTGTTATAGACTAATTGACTGGAAACCAGATCTATCATGCGGGCAACTTGGATCGTTGTTGTACCAGTGAATTAGTCTCAAACTTCGATTTAACTTTGTTTTGTTTTAACAATCTGACGATGACATACATTGCTTGTAGAACTTTTAAAATCAGTTTTCACATAATAATAATAATAATAATAACATTAATAATAATAATAATAATAATAAAAGAAACAACATATCTATTAACAGCATTTCACAACAAGAAAAACTATCCAGAGAGCTCAATAGTGGCCCAGTCTAGCTTTCAATAGCTACTGTACTGAACCACTACATAGAAGTCTTAATATAGTTAATAAATTGCACACTGTTTATTGAAGTATACATAAAAATGTATATTCATTTATTAGTGAAACTATAACTTAGAAAATTTGTATTTATAGCACATGTTCGTTGTACATCTTTTCTTTTTAAATACATTTAAATTTAAGTTACTCAATTTCTGTGACATAGAATTGTAGAAGCGAATTGGGTTGAATGTAAAGGATCTCTGAAACAAGGCACTCTGATGATGTGGCATCGTTAGTTTGTTTCTGTACCTGAAGTTAGCAATGTCGATGAATAGAGATTATGTTAAACTTGGATGACGAATGTTCCATTGCAAGCCAAGTTGACGACCCAAAGTAAAACGTACACAAGCATTCTGTGATAAAAAAAAACATAAATCACAAAACAGCAGTTGAAATGTATAAGAACAAGTGACTCGCACACTTGTTAATTTATTTTAAAATTTAAAATGTCCCTGTTTGCTATATAAAATTCTTAGTGACATGTATGCCTTTTGAAAGACATCTCGTAGGTCATTATCGATGATTACTCCCAAGTTCCTTAGTGAACTAATCACGGAAAGTTTAGTGTTATCTAACATTACATTAATATTTTACTTTAGGAGGTTAACTTAATTTTTATTTCCAAATATCATTAAATGAGATTTTAATCGGTTAAGCTTTAAGCTATGGGTACGAGAAAGATCACTAATCATGGTAAGATCATGAAAACCTCTGGATTATCAGCGGTATTATTAAAATTAAAACAACAATACAATACTCGAACCTTGTAAAAATTTAATGATTTTGAAAAATCGAAAGTGTAAATCAAAAACAATATCGGACCCAAAATCGAACCCTGCGGTACCCCAGAGAAATTTTAAATTTCTTTGGAATATCTTTTGATCGATCGATTTGAAAGATAAGCTCCTATCGGCTTACACGAATTAGATGAAAATCCATAGAACTCTAGCTTGGTAACATATAATTCACCGTATCGAATTCCTTCAAATAAACCAAAAACATTATGGCACTCATCAGTTTCTGGTCAGTTGCCCGGACAATATCATCCATGACATTTATAAGAGCAGCACTCGCAGTACTTGATTTTCGGTTAAAACCGCATTCACTTCCTGGTACTATTCTATTAACAACTATATAATTATATATTTGATTAAATCAATTATAAAATATTTTCAAGTCATTAAAACTATCGGGAGGGGGAGTAATGGATTTCCAGATGAAAATCTTTATAGAAGAATTAATAATATGAGTGACATATTTATCAACACAAGGACTACAATATTTAAGCATAATTGCAGATATTTCGTCAACCCCACTGGCATTTGTTTTAATTTGGTGGATATATTTATGAACATCAGAAATTTTTGTAACTTCGAAACAAAAGCGCAAATTATTTTTGAAAGAATTGTTCTGATAATGTTGTAATGTAATGCAATTTTATAATTATAATAAACTATTTTTTCAGGCTCACTCAAACTACTTAAGTTAATATTAATTTATTTTAGAGTAACCCAAGTTTGTTTGTACTTATTTAAATTGCATTGTGAATCTAGATATATGGTCTGTTCATAGATATAAGAAAGTGACCAATTGCTTTTGAATGGGATTATCCAAGGGTGGTCATTAACATACAATGCAACAAGATTATTACTTTAGTTAATAATTAATAATTATCTTAATTAATAATAATAATCTTGTTGCATTGTATGTTAATGACCACCCTTGGATAATCCGTTCAAAAGCAATTGGTTACTTTCTTATATCTATCAACAGATCATACCCTCTTCTCTCTTATTAGTGTTATCTTTAGTTTTTAAATCTTTGCTTTCTTCTTTAACTGGGGCGTGGGGATCAAATAGCGCCAATAGAAAATTATTAGTCTAATTTTCTCATCGATATTGTTGATTGTTGATTAATTGATTAATCACATTAGCCTTACATTACCTATCATATATGAAAGTATAGGAAATGTATATTGAGATATAGAAGTGGTATATGAAGGAATAATAAGAACTACATGTCAGGAATATTGAATAGTTCAAATGCACCGACCTGTCTTTCCCGAGCGACGCAATACCAACTATTAGTTTTCCAAAAGAATTTCAACGTCTCAGTTGTCCCTTTAAGAAACTAAACTTTGTCACGCCCCTAACTGCAACTCATCTCGTTAACCCAGACAGCGACGACTGCGAGCAATGCGCGCGCATCCTAGAGGAACTCGAGAACATCGACGACGACTGCGAACGACACGGTATCAAGTTCGTCAAAACGCAAGACCTGAAAATAGCGGAGAAATACGGAGCGACCGATTTCCCTGTGCTCATGTACTTCGAGAAGGGAGTGGGGGGCGTGTTCGAGGGCGACCTTGAGGAGGAGGAAGAAGTACTCCAGTGGCTTATCCAGCAAAGTACCGAGGATCGTATAGAGCTCATCACGCGGGTCATGCTCGAGTCGATGGTAGAAGACACCCAGTACCTGGCTGTGTACTTTTACAAGCAGAACTGCCACATATGCGAGCAGATACTGGAGGAACTCGAGCAGATCGATGACGAATGCGACGTCTACGGCATTCACCTGGTGCGAATCCAGGATCCCCAGCTGGCCAAAAGGTAATTTGACGCTCCTTGTGTGTCAAACGGTTCATTTCTTCACCTCTATATGGAGTTCTGTATCTCATGTTTTGGATTTTAGTTATTGTTCACTTAGTTCTCTTTTCCCTTAAAACTTCGCTTGATCAGGTACAGCATCAAAACGTTTCCTGCTCTGGTTTACTTTCGGAACGGCAACCCGCTACTGTTCGAGGGGGACTTGCAGAACGAACAGTCAGTTTTGGAATGGCTCATCGACGACGATAATAGAGAACTCGCCGACGAGATAGAGTCAGTCAATAAACGCATGCTGACCAGGCTGCTGAGCGAGTCGCCATTTTTGGCCGTTTTCTTTTGTAAGCTGTCCTTATTTATTGTAACACTGTTTATTTTATGATTGAAACATTGAAAGATCTATGTGCATATCGTGCATTAGCGTTTCACGTCATGTGATAATAAAATGGTAGTCATAAATGCTAAATTATGTTCCATAGAAACTGTACTTTTGTATTAGTGTATCAGCATATTTAACTGATTGGAGTTAGAGGTGACATTTTAAAATCTCTCATGAACACATTTTTCACCCCCCAATTTCCATTCGCGCACTATTATTATCTCGACTTGCTAGATGACGAAGACTGTCCTGAGTGCGACGAGATCCTGGAGAACCTGGAGCAGATCGATGGCGAAGCGGACCTGTTCGGCATAGATTTCGTGAAAATTTGTAGCGCGGAAGCTGCCGCGGAGCAAGGCTTGCACACCCTGCCCGCGTTGATGTACTTCCGGAAGAAGAAACCGATGGTGTACGACGGTGACCTGACGCAGGCGGACAGGGTGCTCGATTGGCTCACCTCCCAGGACGTGTTCGAGATCAAAAACGAAATTGAGGAAGTCAACAAGAAGATGCTCGAGAAGTTGTTGGAGGAGAACGAGTTCGTCACCGTGTTTTTCTGTGAGTAGACGGGGGTAATTTTAACACTATACAGGGTATTTTTTAATTTAATGTCAATTACCCATTGAGCTATCTTTGAGTCTATTTTAGAAAGTAAACTTCTTATCAACACATATCCTGGTGGCAAAATTTTCAAAAATAAAATATATTTTTTTAATATTTTTAGATATTTTAATGAAATTTGGCACACACACATCAAAAAGCACTATTTTTTCAAATGCACCAGTGGCGGGCGTATGGAAATTCGCCTGTCTATTTTGGCAGACATTGATGGTATGCCACTGTTTTCTTTTAAAATAAAAATTATTCTCACATCTCCAATCATTTCTCCGGAAATTTAATTTCTTGATTTTTTTAATCCGATGTACGATTTTAGTTTAAAAAAATAAAAACCTCTTCTCCGCATAGTCATAAGAATATCGTTAATATTATTATTTACTTACTTAACTAATTGTACGAATACGAAGTACTCTGAGGTGTATTTTTGTCTTTAAGAATTATTAATTCTATTGTCAAGGCTGTTGTTTGACAGTTATTTGTTATTAGTTCTTAAATTCAGTTCTTCGCGTCTTATTAATTTGGTGCTTCAAATATCCCGGCATTGTTATTTTAAAAAGGAATGGTCTGATTTGCCAATGAGGAGTTGGCAGATATGCATTTTATGTTTGGTTTGGCTGATTTGAGAGGGCCAGAAGCTAGGCGATTATGTCAAGAGCGCTTTCCTAATACCACGATTAATACTAGAAAAATTAAATATAATCTGAATATCTCCCACGTCTTGATTTGGAAAACATTGAACGATTTTCTATTGTGCCCGTAACCATAACATATTTACTTATTTATTTATCAATGGGCCAACCGTCCAATATAAAATAAGATTCAAACGAAATAGAAAACAACAAAATAAAATAAAATAAAAGAGAATGAAATAGATAGATGAAAACCTTACCCTAATATGACAAACATTGGTTTTGCAAAATATTAATATTAATATAGTTAGTCGACACGACAGTAAGAACACATATAACAGTAGTGAGGCACCAACACAATGTTATACAGTACTATTCCGAAGTCAGACAACGGAATAGTTTTACTGACAGTCTTTAAGTTCTTTCCTAAATATTCTTGCACTCTGAAAGCAGTCAAGTTGGTCCGAAAAGCGATTGAGTGCAGTAGATTATAAAAAATGGTGAGATCCTTATGCATGCGACGAAACGAAGTTGAAGAGAGTTATTCAATTCCGAGTAATCGACGTCCTCAATTCCTTGATGCTCCTTCAATGTTATGTTTAAATGCTGTATGTGGACGTTATACAAAGGTGACCACACACAGGAACAATAATCCAGGTTTGGAAGCACGAGGAAGCATAATAGTAATCTGAGAGACGGAACACTCTGTACAACGCTTAATAAAGCCCAAAATCTGAATTGATTTAGACCCAATAAGTCACGATTCCTTATTGCCTTCCTTATGTTATATGTATAATGTATGGGCTTTCTGCTCCGGTAGAAGTTCATTAGTTGGCACTTACTGTTGACGAACTTCCAAAAATTCTTAACGTTCCCGGTCCCAAGATGTCGTTTATGTGATTTCTTCTTCTCAATTTTTGTTTCTTTAAGCTCTGGGGAAAACTAAACTCGAAACTTCTTAGCCGAAAACTTGTTTAAGTAAACGTAAATATCGATAGCTAAATAAACTATATCGTAGAACACGTTAACCATATCGTCAAGGGTTTTGTTCGTAAATAAGTTGTCCCATTGGAACTGAGACAAAAAGTCAGTCACTGGATCCAATTCCATTGCTTTAAAATCTCTATAAAGGCCGTTACCCCTTAGACCAGAACTGTTGAAATGTACTGAATCACATTGCAAGGAAAAGGAGAGGGGCATCAGGGCACTGTCCGCCTCAACCATTAAAATTCCGCCAACCTGTGCGAACACTAGGTCCAGAAGGTTGTCGTTAATGTTCGTGACTGTGTTTATCTGGAAGAGGCTGTGGTAGGAGCATAGGTAAGATAGTAGATTAGTGGATACGATCTCGCTATGCGTGCTTCCCGCCAAAGGGATTGCAACTGTTGGTCCACCAACTGTTGGGCATGTTAAAATCTCCTAGGAACCCTATGACTGGGGTATTCTACAACCAGCCTTTCCAGGTTCGCTCCAAATTCTCTTGAAGCTTGGTGCGCAATCCTCTAACATTTTGGAAGTATATAAGTAAGGACGAGGGGTCCGCCAATCCGCGATGAGAAGGTCTGTCTAGGTTTTTGCAATGAGTTTAGGAACTCCGTTTACATATTTTAGAAAGAGATTAGATTCTCCATTTCGCTGTCTTTCCTTCAACACGTTCTTTGGTGCATTCACTTCCTAGCGCTGATCAGGTGTAAAGTCAGCCTCTAGGAATATTTTGCGGCTTCTGTCCATTATTTTTCTTACTCATCAGCAATCTGTGAACTATTTCAGCTGAGCCTAGAGTCAGGCGCAATGACTGGTGACTGTTTTTATTACGCTTTCCTATTCTCACTGCACTAGCAACATTAATTGGGAAGTCAGTAAGATCTCATTTTTGCTCTAGACAAATCGTCTTCTTCTTTAAATTCTGAGACTTTAAAGAGCATCAAGTTAAGCGACCTCTTTTGCCGCTCAGACACCTCATGCAGAATCTTGCCATGGAGACCCACTGTATTGAGTTCCAGAGTACAGATAAAATTGTTGTTAGGCTCCTTAGCTCATCGCTAATCACGCGTATTTGTTTTTCAAGTTCGTCGATTTTCTGACTGCTAGCAATTTTCACCTCACTAAGTGTGACCTCGAGGGCACTGACGTGATCTCTCAAGGTAAGTGCACTCTTAATCCCTGGTGTACAAAAACCTTTCCGGTATTCTTCGGCTCTTTAAAAACACAGTTTTTAGAACACTTGTAGCATGTGGCTCGCATTGTGAGGTTAGGCCGCATTCAAGGAGTCCAAGCATTGTGTTAATTTTTGTCAATGGTTCTCGGACAAAATTGCGCATTACCTCTTGTTTCAACAAGATATACTATTCCAGAAATGCAATCAATATTCATAATAACCGAATTGAATTGTTCGAAATGACTTAATTGAACTCTTTTTCTGCCAGCCAGTCCAAATGGCCCTAATTATAGCCGATTTTTCGAAGAGGATTTGCTAATATTGCTTAGGAACAGAATGTGGTTCATGCATGACGCCGTGCTTGCTCACTTTAGTGTCGCAGTAAGATAAGAGAATATTTAAGTCAAACATTTAATAACCGATGGGTAGATCGCGACGGACCTCAACCATGGCCCCTTGGGTCCCCAGATTTTAATAGTTTTCTTATGGGGGTATCTTAAAAGTTTGGTTTACCGCACCCCAGTTAACCCTGTAGAAGAGCTGCAGGATGGAATAAGAGATTGTTGCCAATTAATAAGAAACACTGGAGATTTACTTAAAGAGTGCCCGACAATATGAAGAAAAGAGTTGAAGCGCCACTGATTTCCTTAAAAAAATAATGACATTGAAAGCTAATTTCTCTGCATATTATGTTGTGTGTTCTTATTTTTTCAAGCGAAAACCGTACATCGGATTGAAAAAAAATCAAGAAATTAAATTTCTTCAGAATTTTCATTTTAAGAGAAATCAGTGGCGTACCATCACACCCGTGGTGTATTTAAAAAAAATGTGGTACACTAAATAATGCCTCTTGATACATACTACATGTGAGCCAAATTTCTTAAAATATCTAAAGTGTATTATAGATATAAAAAAAAATATATTTTATTTTTGAATACTTTACCACCCTATATCTCAAAAGTTAAGGCGCTTAGGACATGTGTCCATATAAAGTTTTCTTTTTAAAATAGGGTCAAAATCCCCCTCAATTATTGACAATTAATTAGAAAACACCCTATATAAAATGGCACGCTTTCTAACGGTTGTTTATTGTTAAGAATTCATTAAAGCCCCATAAGCATATTTATTTATTAGACGAGTTGAACTCGGAGGAAAGTAGACATATCATGGACAAGCTGGAGAACATCGATCAGGAGACCGACAACTTCGACATAACCTTCGTCAAGATGGCGGACGCCCGCTACGCGCGTAAATGGGGCGTTACCAACTTGCCCGCGATCGTTTACTTCCGCAGGCGTTTCCCCAGCATTTATCGAGGCGATTTACATTCCGAACGTGACGTGCTCGAGTGGCTACGAAAGAACAGGCGAGTTGTTATCAGCAAACATAGCTAGGACGAAAAGGGTCACTTTACGTCTCGGCTTTTTTGTGGTCCTTTATCAAGGAATAAATTATTATGCGGGTGTTAATAGAAATAAAGTCATCTGAGGTTTAATATTATATTTATAAGACAAGTACCGTCACACAAATTGAACATTTTTAAATGGGTACTCCCTTTTTCTATAAGAGATAGTGTCGTGGGATTTCCTAAATTTTATTTTAATTTGAGTCGCGCCATCTATCAGGCTTAAGCGAGGTTAGTTAAGTCAGAGATGGTTTCACAGATTATAGTATATTATGGCCTAATGGCAGAAAAGAAGAAGAGGACGGTAGAGTAAAATAGATTTGTAGGGTGATCTGTGGCGGAGGATGGTCTATTATTTTATTGAAAACAAATATTCCAATATCATTTTGGAAGCACGAACGACTAGGGATGTTCTCATTTCGATAGTACTCAAATCTTTTTTCGATACTACTCAACTAAATACTCCTAAAGTATCGATACTTACTCATATCGATACTTTTAGCACTTTATTATTTTTATTTATTTTAAGGAAACTAACAATGAACGTTGAAGGACAATGATTAAAACAAAATTAAGAAGGAAAAGAAAACTTTTATTATAAATGTTTAGGTCACGTTAAACACGTACTTTAAACAAAAAACTCCATGATAGCATTGGAATAATAAACCGATGATTACAATAAATACAATTAATCGTAAGCAATCTCTTGTATGTTTGACAATTTATGTTGGTTGACAATGAAAAAAAATGAAGGGCGTACGTCTTTCTCGAGTTTGGTTCGGGCTCGGTCGAGTGAAGTCGGACGAGTTCGGCTTGGCTAGCGCGAGACAACGCGTTCGTTTTTTTTTTTAATTTTTTAAATGCTGAGGCTGATTCGATTTGATACCAAGTGCTTTTGTTTCGATACCGAGTAAATATCGCAAGATTGATTCGATGCTATAAATACTTGGTATCGAATCAAAAGTATCGAGTGCCTACTCGTATTTACTAGTATCGGAATATCCCTACGAACGACCAAATTTGTGATCATGGCGTTCAACATTGAACCAACAATAGACGAAAAGTAATGTCGATATAGGTATGTAGTACCGTTTCGGGTGTTTTTGGAATATATGCATTTAAAATAAATTTCGGTAACTTTTTTGTTATGCAAAATTTTCTACTTCTATGAAATCATTCCCAAAAACACTTGATGTAGAATTTAATGGCTTCAATATATTATTTTTAAATCTAATAGTTAATTAACAACCGAAAAAATGCTCTATTAAATTATTGGAAAGTACTTAAAATTACCTTTCCAAAAATTAGTTGATATTTTGCTCGAGTGTTCTTAGAAAGACTAGAACTTTGATCAGGTAGGCTTTGAAGAGTGCCATCCGAATGCAGAAGACAAATGCGTCGCTAAATTGTGATTTTGGTGGTAAAGCCTAAGGAAAGGGGAGTTTCTATTTGAATGTATCCAATTTGTCCTGCCCGTTTAAAATTATAGTGTTTTCCTTTCGTATTCAGGTACAGGCAGCCGGAGTTGAACATCTTTATGTACGCGCTACTCGCGCTGAGCATTGCCTTTGTGATCTACACTGCGTTCTTGCTTCAGTGCTTCAAACCGCCGCCCACCGCGATAGTGCCGCACAACAAACAGAGTTAGAAACGAGTGCGCGTGCCCATCGAGATCGTGCGTAAAACAGTTGCGGGTTATCCGGACAAAAACGATCGAACGGGAAGGCAAGTAGCGTCCTTTATTAATAGACTGGTCGTCGAGAGTCGCGGAACCTTCGACAGGGCGGGTGCGCACAACGCCGGTTTTGTTGTTTTTCTCCTTTTCAAGTAACTTTCGCGTTTTCTTTTTTATCGATGTTAAAATCTTGGACCAAATTGCGGTGTTCGACAGCATTCCCGACGGAACTGACGTAACGATTCACATTTTTCACCCACACTTAAATCGGAACATCGGCATAAATTCAAAATGTACCATTATGTAAATACTCTTGTAAATAAAATATTATCCATCGAAACTCGTCTGCCGGTAAAAAAATAATTTTGTCACTTATAAGACCCTAGTCCTTTGAACTACTTGTATGGAAACCCTTACGGAACGTTCCGACGTCAAAATCGATCGATATTGTAGGAATCTATCGCAGTTTCTCGATGTGCATTTGCTTATCTTTGCCCGCTTTCCGAGGAAAATGGGCAAAATTTAATATTGACTGCCTAAAATTAAGATAGTCCATGGTACAAGAAAGTTTTATTTTGGTTGAGGGCGGAGGAATTTTAAAATTTTGTAAGGTCATAACTTTCCCAGAAAGGTGCGCATAATTTAAAACTGGTTGTGCAACATTCAAAGAATAAAATATAGGGCGCCAGAAAACTCGTTTGTTGATGAGGGCAAAACATCAAGTTCACCTCCCGTTATGTGTTTTATTTTAAAAAATGGGCGCAATATTTGGGTTGGGTTGGTGACCATGTATATATACCGGGTGTTTCAAATGCAACTCTCACCATTAGGATCTCGGTAAAGGTAATAGGTACAGGATGATTTAAATTAGGGCAAAGTTGCGCATCGGTGAGTTCATTAATATTTCGTTTTGAAATTAAAGTTATTTTTGTTACATCCGGAAATATGGCGGTTTTCGTTTTTATTTTTTTGTCTTTATTTTAAAACTTAGCATTGGAACTTTTTAGGCTTCATCTCATGGCCAGGTCAAAAATCCCTTCCGACGTGTCGTTTTTCTCAAACCATCATCAACTTTATTTTTTCTTATGGTCGCCATATTCGAAATATTGAACAAAAACTTTCATACAATAATAAGCTATGAATTTTCAAATCTGTGGATGACAATATTTAGTGCATTACTATGTTATTACTAGTATTGGATAGAAATCTCGCTGAGTTTGCTTTGTTTGAAAAACTAAGACAAAAATATGGATACAGAATGGATGAGGAAACTAAAGAAAATTTACCTAATGAATGAGGAAGATTAATGTGAAATTATTTTATTCCTTTCAATAAAAGTTCTCATACGACTGCTTGGAAAAACCTAAAAAAAGTCATTTCAAATGCTACAAAATTCATAACTTCCAAGGTGATCCTGAAAGGCGATTACAATTCTGTAATGGGCTACAAAGGAGACCCTATTTTCCTGCCTTTTTAGTAAATGTGATTTGAATAGATGCACCTTTACAAATTGTGGACTATTCCATCGAAACAATGAACATATCTGGAGCATTAATAACCCTAGGCAGTTTTTAGAAATTTGACCACAAGTTTGATTTAGTCTTTTATATGTATTCATAAATATTAATAATAATAATAATAATAATAATAATAATAATATATCTTTATTTAAATACATTAAATAGCGTCTAAATAACAGTATTTACAATTTCCTGATCTTGGTGTAAAACTCTTCCATAGTGTATGGTTCCATTCTGACTAGAATATTAAAAATTTCTTTCTTTAAGATTTTATCAGTTCTAATTTTTTGTATCCATTCCAGGAGGGTGTTGAATATTTTTATGCAGTGTTAATAAGGACCATTTTCAGTCCCTGTGTCTGTGTTTAAAGAGTACATGACACACTCCTGTATGAACACTGAAGTTACTGTTAAGACATTAAGTTCTTTGAACTTTCCTCTGCACGACTGTCTACTTTGTAGACCTAGAAGTATTCTGATTGCACGCTTTTGTATTATAAATACTTTTTCCATGTCTCTGCAACTCCCATACAGTAGTATTCCATATCTAATATGACTTTCAAAATTAGTATTATACAACATCTTTTTCGTATCTATACCTATATAGTTTATTAGAAGCCGAAACGGATAACATACTTTGTTTAATTTACCCACAACACAACTAACATGGAATTCCCAAGTTAACATTTCCGGTCCTCATTTTTTATGAGCATTCTGAATAGTGAATTAGTTTTTGACGTCAACGCTTGAAGACTATTTGGATGATTTATCTTTGATCCACTACAACAGCATGTGGTTTCAGCACTGCTTATTACCTTTCGACAAGATTTGATGGCCGATGGATTAGGAACAATGAGCCAGTGAGATGGCCAGCCAGGTCTCCAGATCTCAGTATCCCCGGCACATTTTTACGGAGTACACTTAAAAGTAGAATTTACTGGCGAGGTGAATATCAAAATATCTAAGAGCTCCACGTCAACATGAGTCGAGAGTTCGAGAGTCTTTGCAGAATCACTCACAACATTTTGAGCATCTTTTGTAATTTATTTACTATCTTTCTCATTAATTGTACATTCATAATTTTATATCAGTTTTTCAAACGAAGCAAACTCAAAGTGCTCCTTTTCAGTATAAAGGCAAATTAGTAGTTTTCCACTTAATGTGCATTAAGAAAAACAAAAACACCCACGAGAAATAAAAAATATATTTAAAAATGGAATGTTTAGGACAATACTATACAACAGCTGCGACGATACTCGTTTTAGACAGGAGAAATTAGTATGTAATCTTCCCAAATGCCGCCCGGTACATTTGAACTACCGCCGCAGCACAACCGAAGCCCCCGAAATAGTCAAAAATAAATAAATGCAACGTGGTAAAAAGTGAAATGGTAACAACATAACAACCTCTTTTTGTCGAAAGGACACGACTTAAGTACGTTAAAATAAGAAATTTCTACAGAAACCTAACTGTGATTTCGGCATACATTAAGCAAACATATTGCGTTTTAATCCTTTAAAATTGCTTTGAAAAGGCTACACAACGAACGCCGGCCATTACAATAAAAAGTTATTGCCTTAAAATATAAAAATATTTCGCGTATTTGATAGGAATGTACATGACGAACTTCACTTTCCCGTCCATTCGCTGACCCTGCCGTTATCGAACACCAAATTCCTCGTTGGCAACGGGACCAGTTTGCCCCGCTTCATTATCTCCATGTTTTCACCCGGAATGTATTGACACTGAGATATAAAATCTAGCAGAACCGTTCCCAGATTTTTACTGGACTCGGCCAAACGTTCTAAACTGAAAAAAAAATAGGATAATGGCAGGCACACACATACTTAAACATTACTCTTACGTTCATAACTAAATTAAATAAAACAACCAATTTTAATAAAATTTTGACTGTAGACGCCTGATGTGCTCCCCCACCCCTTCTTACCTCTCAGCTTCGGCGAGGCCGGCAGAAATTATGGCGTCACAGATTTTCGTGTTTGCGTCGGCGTCGAAGAGCGGCACCCCGAAGTGACAATCTAACAGAGTCCACATCTAAGATTAAAATTAACAATTAAATTTATAACACTCTGTATACACCATAAACGAAACTGGTACCTTGTGGCTGTCGTCATGGAGGTCCGGTAACTTGTAACTTTCGCCGTTTCCCTTGACTACATGGTCGGTGGCGCCCTCCGGCGACTCTCGACTGAATATACCGACGTGCTCCTCCGTGGGACTCAGCAGCATTTCGACCGAATCGTTCCGGTCTAGGTTCGAGGTCGTTTCTTTTATGGCCAGCTGGTCGAGCTCTTCTTGCAGCAGGGTGCTGCAATCTTGGCTGAAACAAAAAATTTCGTAACGAAATAAAATCATATTCAATCGACCGAAAGAGCGATATCGATACCTGGTGAACCCATTGGTAGGAGACGAGCGGCTGGCGCCGTCCTCGGGCGTTACAGCGAAATGCGATTCCACAGGAGTCCTCAGTTTTTCCTCGCTGACCGCCTCTTTTAGGGTCCTAGATGCTCCCGGTGCCCCCGATTTCCCCCCACCTCTTAGTTGCACTCTCCGCTCCGCCCCTTTGGGACGGCCAAAATCCAAGACGCCTACATTCGCGAACGTCAGATAACCGCAGCTGTGCTCCAGGTCCAAAACTTCGGCCAGAATAGATAAAACAGGGTGGTTCGGCAAAGGGCTGGGGTCGAACGCTTTGGAGGGCGTTCCACTCCGAAACGGGAAGGGCAGTATTTTCGTTTCGGCCGGCTGATGCACTCCGAAACCTTGTACTAACACGGGAGCAAATTGCAACGTCGCGTTCACGTACAAGAAATTGCCAACCGGCACCACCGCCGGCTCATGCAACCACGACGTCACCAGGAGCCTGGTGAAGCCCAGAAACATCCTCGGCAGTTGCTTGACGGCGGTGCCCTTGGAAAGAAGCAGGCTCGGCGGCCCGTAGCCCGTTACATGGTACAAAAAGAACCGGAACCACAGGCTGTTGATCTCCGGGTGGGTGGGGCCTAATACGGGAGGCGGAGGCACCGGCGCTATCCTAACGTCGCGACCAAGAGGCGCCATGCACACCAGCAGGCGGTACTTGCGACGCAATAGACGTTGACAGGCGGCCTCGTCGAGAGAGTTTAGGCTCTCCAAGCGTACCAGGTCCAGACCAGGTCCGGCCATTTTGCGCAGCGCTAAGATCGTCGACCTACAAAGAACAGTCTCGTTTTTTCATTTACACCTACGCGGTCAGCAACAATGGAGCAGAATCTATATTCAGATCATTGCTTTTTGTCGGTTGAAATTCGCGACATTGGCGAACTCAAAGTCCGGTTTGAGATGGCATTTAAAAAAAAACATTTTTTTCTTTGCTGTTTAGGTATGTCGTCGTGGTTTTACTTTAAGCGACAGCTGATACTAAATCATATTATAGGTTCCAACTGATTCAGCTCAGTTGTTGCTATCCGTTAAGACGTCTTCTTTGCGATGTGATCACCTCAAAATGACCGCGTGATCGAAGAACCTCCGCGCCTCACCCTCCCCATCTGCGTCCATCGCCGAAACTTTCTCCAGTTCAGCCAAGAAACTGTCCACCGACTCGTGCTGCAGCTTGCCCACTTCGAACATGGTAACCGCGTGTCGTTTCAGACCAGGCGACAGGTTGCCCATCATGAGGAACGCCGTGAGCGCGGAGTCGAACAGGAAAGCGACCCGGAGGCCGTTCCCGGCTGAAGACGGGTGCACGGGACTTATGGGAGAGGGCAATTCGGCTGTGGTGGGGGAAACCAGGAGCGGGGAACCGGTCGTGGCAGTGAATGACAATGTTAGGGGTGTGATGTCGGTCCGTGATCTGTTTCACAATGGGTGTTTCGAAAAATAATTACTGATTTATTAAAATTTTGCAGGATGAAAGCAGAAATAAAAATGGCAAAAAATAACAATGCAACATATATAAGCAAATCTTTAACTAGCCATAACGTTTTTTTTTTTATATTTTTGCCCTAATAAATTTAAATTTTTCTAAAGATACGACCCTTACTTGTTAGCAAAAATGACCAGGTCAAACCAGGATGGATGTCGTCTGGATCTTTCAATCTCTGTCTCTGGGTCCAATTTGCACGCAAACTGGAGCCGACAGTACAGAGAAACAGCTTGCTTAACAAGTTCTGTTTCTATTTCCAAAACTGTTGCTAGCTACAAATTGGACATTCTAAAGACACCCCTACCCAAAAGTTGGGTTAAACTCACTTCACCTACAGTTGTCTGTTCATCAATTGACACAAATATTTTGTATAACAGTGTCTCAAAGTAGTCGCCAAGAATGCGATTCATCACAAACCCTTGTAAAGGCGGAACCCTGACCCTATCAACGGCTGTTATAGGAACATCTAAATAAATAAGCCCTTTTCTACAAAATTATAATTTCAAGTCCCTTATTACTAAGAAATGCAATTTTCATTTACTTGTACAAACTAAGTACTATAAGGTAATCCAAATCACCGGCGTTCAGTGACCCCAAATCTATTAATTTATCAATAACTGCTAATTCATCTTCATTAACCATCTTAAAGGTGAGTAAAGTAAATTAATTCAAAAATTTAATACACACTTCCACTAATTGTATTACCTTCACATCCTCTTCCAAAATTAGGCCTACCTCTACCCTCCACCAAGGCTCTATGTGAATGTTAACGGGCACAGTGGGTAAGAGTACTCTGACATTTTTTCTCCCAAACAAACGACCCCTGTTAGACCTCGATTTATTCATTAATTCGATGTACTCATTGCGACCTATTCCTAATAGCCTTAGGCCTAAAATGTTTATAATAAACATTGCTGTTACATTTGAAGATTAATGACTTACAGTCGGCGGCTGTGAAGTTTGGCAAGGTATCGTAACTTTTTTCAGCCTGCATCAACCTTTCCACTACGGAAATATAATAGTTAAAAGGTGTAATCCTAAGACCTTTAACTATCATGTCAGCAAGATGATATGGAAACAACATGAGACGCTCTCTACTATATGAGACGACTCTCTCATAATATCTCTTCTCATCTTTGAACACATGTCGAACTAAAAGGCAACAATTACATATTCGGGAAACGGGGAAGGCATTTAATAAATTACCTAAATTTCCCCGGTACCGGAGTTGGTTCTTGATGCTAAAATTGATAATAGATCGTTCATATTCTTTAGAAGAATTATTAAGAATCTACAAATGAAATATAAATTAATCCTAATTTGTATCCCTCAATTTTGTCAAATACTTGTTTGATATGGGTTGGCAACCTCTGCCACGTGATATTTTTCCTAATGTGTTCCTCTACCTCGGGGTTCATCATCTTTTTAAATAGTTAAGTACATTTCCACGGCGCAATTTTCAAAAATTAAGCCCAAACCTCATGTTGATGTGTACATTTTTTATGACGGTTTTTGAAGTACCAAATTATCACCTGTTTTATGGTCTTCTTCCTCTTTGGTTCCATTAGTGACATTCATAAAGATCGTTCGGCCAACGATTTCTGTGATGTAATAATTTATTCTTAATGAGCTACAGGTGCAAGTACAATGTCCATGTTTTAAATTTCTACAATGGTTAAAGGTTATCAGTATTTAATGGAAAATTTTGTATGGATAATTTATGACCCCTGTCGCAATAATTATGTTCAGAATGAATAAATCATGAAGTTTACGAACTACAACCGCCTTTGGAACCAAATTACGGCCACAAAAAAGGCCGGTAAACATTTCTCTACATCTATTAAAGTAAGGTGTACTATGACTGCCAAACTTAATTAATAAAAAACAAATGAAAATATTGCAGGAGTCAAAAGTGCACGTGAATGGACAAACTATTAACTATGTGAAGGTTGGTGAGGGTCCCAAAAATGTTCTTTGTTTTCCAGGGGCTCTGGGTACAATTTGGAGCGACTTTAAGCCCCAAATTGAGCAGCTGGATAAGAATAAATTTACGGTGATTGCGTGGGATCCGCCTGGTTATGGACACAGTAGACCACCAGATAGACTGTTCAATTTAGATTTTTATACCTCTGATGCAGAGGTTGCATATAACTTCCTAAAGGTTACAGTGGTGCTCCATTGGTTTTATACTCTAATATATGGTTTTAGGAAATAAATGTGGATAAGTTTTCTCTACTCGGCTGGAGTGATGGAGGCATATCAAGCCTCATATTGGCTGCCAAATACCCCAAAAATGTTGACAAACTTGTTGTGTGGGGAGCAAATGCTTATGTTGTTCCCAAAGATATAGAGGCATTTGAGAGTATCAGGGACCTAAACAAATGGTCAGATAAAATGAAGGCACCCCTAATTCAATTATATACTGAGAGGGGATTGCAAAGCATGTGGAATAACTGGTGTGATACTATGATTCAAATTCATGAGAGGGGTGGGGATATTTGCAAGTCTTGCCTTGCCAAGATTGAAAGTGATACTTTAATTTTGCATGGCGATCAAGATCCGATGGTGCTCAATGAGCACCCTGAGTACCTGCTTAATCATATTAAAAATGCAAAGTAGGTGCAAAAATTTAGCCCAAATTATTCAATCTGATGTGCTGTTTCCAGGTTGCACAGGTATCCAGATGGCAAACACAACATCCACCTCAAGTATGCAAAAGACTTCAACAAGATTGTTTCAGACTTTATTGTATCAAATTAAAATGTTATAAATAGAAAGTATATCTTATCCATTCAGTGTGGCTTGTAACTCATTACTGGCAACCATTTCCTTTACAATATCTAGGCCCCCAATAAGGTCACCATTCACATATAACTGTGGATAAGTTGGCCAGTCTGAGTAAGTTTTCAGCCCTTGGCGCACCTCCTCATCCGTCAAAATGTCAAAAGTGTCATAAGCAACTCTAAAATTTCACAAAACTAATTCTACTGAAAAACCGTAGTAATGAAACACTCACCCCGCGTTGTTTAATATTTCAATCATTTGCCTACTAAATCCGCATTTCGGTGTGACCCGGTCGCCTTTCATGAACAACATAACTTTTGACCGGTTAATTAAAGCTTTTAGCATTTCTTCCAGCGTTTCTTTGGGCTCATTTTCTTTGACCTCATTTCTGACATTGTGTTTTTTAATGCTCTCTGTTATTTTGGTGGCGTCTGCGCCTTCGACGCGGTCTATTTGCTCACCAGACTTAAATAAAATCACCGTCGGTACCGCCTCGATTTTATATTTCAATGATATCTCGCTCAAATCCTCAGCGGGGCAACTATAAAACTTCACGTTGGAAAATTCTTTTTGTTTAGAAACAGCGTCCAACAGTTCGTTAACTTGCGTACATTGCTCAGCCCACTCAGCTTCAAAGTGGATGACGACCAGATTCAATTGCCTGGCAAAACACTTCGTGGATTATTTGTAGTAATATTGTCTAAAATACCTACTTTATGGTTTCGATGAACGATTTATCATCCTTTAGAACGAGCGGCATTTTAAACGATCCTTGGAATAATTTTATGATTTACCGAATTGCGGTTAGGTTCGTCTTCTTCACTTCTGTTGAGCTAGATTACTATGATTAGGCCAAGGATTCTGTCGTGAGCATTGCTAATGGCGGGTCAACCTTCGTTAGCTCCCGACAGAATCCTCTGTAATCGTCCCCAAAAAACTTGAAATTGTATGGATTTAGTGTTGTAAGTGTTTAATGAATGTTATAAAGTGTGAAATCGTTGTCGGCCCGCCTGTTTTTTTTTGTCTTCCACGCTGGTTGTGATCGGATGGCCCTTGGCGAGAGCCGGAGAGGTCGTTTTGTGCTATCGATTGAATGTTTCGAAGCAAGAATTTTCCATTAGTTTACTCCACTTGGAGGGTGATGGATTCGTTCAGTCGTTTTTAATTTAAGACACCCTTCAGGTTATAAAGAAAATGTTAAACTGTAAGTGGCTGAATGATCTTACCAGTTTTGGCTAATAGAAGTAAGAAGAAGAATGATTGGGCAATGTGGTTATATTTAATTATTGCCGTTACTTTAAACCAAAATAAATTGTGTAATTTTTTAGGGTCTTTAAATGATAATTTTAAAACTAATTGAATATTTCCAGATATAAACCCCTGACTAAAATTAATTCTCAATTTTTATAGTACCATTAATAAAATTAAAAACTATTTTAAAATAAAAACGCAACAAATTTCCAAAATATTTTATTAATCGTAATAAATTCTCATATGAACAGAGATTTATTTACTGTGAGTGCTGGACCTGCTCTCTCTAACACTGGCAGACCTACGTCTCTTAAGCTCTTCCTTCCGTGCCTTTGACTCCTTCTTCCTCTGAGCCAGTAGTTTAGCATAGGTATCAGCCTCCTCTTTGCGTTTCAAGCAGCGCTTCTTCTTCAAAGCCAAACGATGACGCTTGCGTTGCAGCACTACAGGCGTAACCAGCCGCTGAATCTTCGGTGCCTTGTATCGCTGCTTCTTGCCTTCTTTCAGCGGCAGAGGACGTTTTACTACGTACTGTCTTACATCGTCGTCCTTTGATAAATTGAACAACTTCCTGATATTGGACGCCCTTTTGGGGCCCAAACGGCGGGGCACATTTGTATCGGTCAAACCAGGAATTTCCTGCTCGCCTTTACGCACAACTACCAGCGCCAAAACACTGAGGTTACCGTCGACAATACATCCTCTTACGGATTTACGTTTACGTTCTCCATCGCGTCTAGGTCTATAGCACGAGTGACCTTTCGACAAAAGCAAACGTACTCTGCTGTTAGTAAGCACACCCTGTTTCATGGGGAAGCCCTGCTTGTCGTTACCGCCGGCAATTTTTAGCACGTAACCCTTCCATTCGTCGCCTAGCGGATCGGCTTCTACTTCCTGACCCATACGCTTCTCGTAAAATATACGGATTTTGTGCTCGTCCACCACCTCGAACAGTTTCTGACAGCCCGTGGCGGGATACGACACATTCAACTTCATGATTTCAAATTTGTTAAAGAAACGTTTATAACAAAATCGAAAATAATTGCGTTAAAACTTAATAACACGTGGATCGCCTTAGCCGACCATGTTACAAAATGACAGAGCATAGTTTACAGTTTCGCCGCGAGAGTGTAAAAAAAAGGCAACTTCCTCTTCTTCTTCCTTAAGCTGCAAAAGCATTTAATTTAAAGAAACAAAACAAAACAGCCGAATGATACTGGTAATATTGAATAATATAAACAAAAAGAGGAACCGTGGGAACATATTGTTCGTGGTCTTGAATTCGAATTTGATTTTAAAGGGGTGGTTGGTCATTTAAGAAAAAGTTATATTTTCTCACAATATCACTTGTAAAATTAGAAACATACTGTACATGGATACATCTTTCTATTTCCTGCAATACTGTTTTTTTTGGAATTTTTCAGGTGCCCCAAGCATTTCACATGGATTCTGAAGGCAATTTTTGTTTTGGGGCTGAAGCAATAATCTTAGCCTAAAATAGTTTTAAACCGTTTCCCCTACTGAGAAACATAGTGGGCAAAATGGAAACATGTTATTTGAAGATAATCACTGGCAGAGGCAGCAGTAGAACTTTTATTTATGACATGATTTAATGTGAGTTATAAGACCTCCATTTTGTACAAAACACTTGCCGCAAAACTTGCACGAGTAGGGTTTTTGACCCGTGTGCGATAAAATATGACTCTTCAAAGTTTTCAGATCCAGGAATTTTTTCATGCAAATGACGCAATCAAATTTGCGTATATCATTGTGGCTCTTCATGTGATCCTAAAAACAAAAAAGATAACAACTGGAAACGCCCTCATAAATACAACAAACCCGTAGATGACTAGCGGCTATATATTTCTTGTTGCAAACTTTACAAGCATAAGGCCTCTCGCCCGTGTGATACCGGGCGTGCGTGTCTCGCGTTTCTTTACGCCTAAATGACTTGCCACATTGCCAGCAAGTGTAGGGTTTTTCTCCTGTATGCACCATCATGTGCTTTTTGAGCTGAGTGCTGGCTAAAAAAATTTAGTAATGTGCAAAAATGAAAATTTTCCAAAGTTATATGGAGGTATAAAAAATTACTTACTGTTGAATGGTTTGTCACAGAAACTACATATGTAGGGTTTATTGCCCGTATGTATTCTTTTATGAATTTCCAAATTGGTATTTGTGTAGAACTTTTTACCACACACTGAGCACATGTGAGGTTTTTCTCCTAAAATGATACCATTGTAACAATGGGTTCGACCAAAATGGGGGAGGGCTATAAGAAGGTGAATGCCATGCTCGAAATTCATCTGATGCTTCCTTATATTAAGCAAAATTTAATTAAATAGTTTGCAAATTTGTATTTGTGGCCTTCACTTGTAATAAAACTAAGAAATTGAAATGTTGCATTATCAGTGTAATGGGGGTACCTCCTTATAACCCTCTGCGGGAGTAGAGTTCTCCAAACAATATACCGTTTTTACGACCTTTTATGGTTTTGACTTCGAAATAACTTTAAGACCCGGCTGTTGTAAAGTGGAGGAGACCATTCTTTTTGCGGCCTGTACCACAAGCCAGGGCTGTCTTTAAGATGTTGGCGCTACAAAAACTGTGCCATGCGGACTGTTGTATTTTAAAAGTAAGGATGGATTTTTCACTGCATGAACCAGTAATAATCGAGGAATCTCACCCTTGAAACTCTATAAAAATCTATCAGCTTTCAGGATTTGTATGCACAAAGTACAGACGTAAGGTTCTGAAATGTTATTGTGGAATTGCAAATATATTTACAAAGAGAAACAAAGCCAAGAGAGGTAGGCCTGCGGTTAAATCTTCTTAAAAATTTTCCAAACTTAAATACTGGATTATGTCATAAAAACGTATACCATTAGCGAACTCTAATCAATCAATACCGGAATGTGTCAGCATATGCGAAGTGACATTTGAAGACTGATTGAATTTCCTGCCGCATATATTACAAGAGTACTGCTTCTCTTTATGTATTTTTTGATGTTTGTGCAGGCTGCTTGGTACTGCAAAGGTACGGGAGCATATCTCGCATTTTAGTGGCCGCTCGCCAGTGTGGGTGCGCATGTGCAGCATTAGATCTTTATACTGTTTGTAGCGTTTGCCGCAGGCGGTACAGTTGTGTTTCTTTTCCTCCTGGATGCAACTGGTTTCCAGAAAATGGATATCTTTTAGGTGTTTCTTGAGATACTTTTGGTCGGTAAATGTTCTGTCACATATCTATGGTCAATTATATCAAGAAAGTATTGGGAGAGTGTGTGAGACATTTGTAAGAAACAACTTACACTACAGAGTAAATTCTCATTGGCTGGCTCGATATTCTCAAACATGAAATTATCCTTTGAGTTTGTATCAAATGAATACTCCAGCAACATGCTCTTGGTCAACTCGCTGGTAATGTTAGTGCAGAAATATTTATCCTGACAAGAATGATTTTTAGTATGTTCTGATAGGGACCATTCATCTTTAAATATATCCTCACAGAACTGACACTTGTACAAATTATCTACCAAATTAAAGTTGTTGGACGTTTCGTCAGCATTTATTGGGCATATTTGATTGTCGTTTTCCCAAGAGGCTGGCAAGCATTGTTCTGCTATGGTTTGCAGGCTCTGCATGGTTTCCGCCAGGTCTGAAACCACTGTATTGGCTTGCTGAGTGAAATTATCAACCAGAGATTGTTCAGGGTCATTGAAAATATCTTGAAATAGTGAATTCTGTGGCAGAACTTCGTTGTTTTCAAATATATCATGCCTGACTTCATTTATTTGGACAATGTTATTCTGGGGCATGTAGTTCATGTTTACATAGTTTCTGAGTGACGCATCAGATTTTTCGCACAACTGTTTAAACGCGTACGCTTTGTTAACATTTGTGATGCACTGGGTGCAAATTTGATGCGGTAGTCCGTCGCCCTGGACCATCTGGAACGAAGTAACCGCTACGCATAACTAGTAAAACTGTAGTTTTCTTGTACCTGAACCGACGCAAATGACATCACCATGCTCGGAACGTAGGCTTCGAATAACGGTTTCAGATTGCTTTTTTCAAAGAGGCACGTTCTGCAAATTTTATCCAATTTCATCGCAAAGTTTACGCTTGAAAACAATGCAATAGGTTATGGTTTCGTTCCCTCTTCCTTTTCTAGTTGTGTTACATATTGGCGTAGTTCCATTAGCCATGGTGAGGCTGGCCAAGCGCATTGCTAATTTCAAATATCTATATCTACATTCTAATTAACTCGGGTAAAAATTATGAATAAACAATTTCGGATTTTAATTATATATAAATAATCACAATATTATTTGAAAACATCATAATATAAATTAGAATACAATGAAAATTACTTGATGGAGCCTCTCAGATAGTGCCAAAATTGTAGGACAGGTTCCCGGTTACCCCATATCTTCTGGTTGCCCCACAGAGCCCAAAAAATGCCCATAGCAGCTCCGCCTAAATGGGCAGCGTGATCAAAGAACTTCCACCCCATAAACACCCCAGCAGTATCCAACGCGACTATAAACTTAATAGCAGAATCGGCAGAGAAAGTAAAAAAAGGCATTAGGATAATTCCTAGTCGTGTGTCGGGGTACTGGGTACAAACATAACCCAAAACGGCCATTATGGAGCCTGAAGCACCTAAAGACAACCCTGGTTGTTTGGTTAACACTTTGTACATGTAACTTGTAAAACTAGAAACAACTCCTGAACTGAGGTACAGAGCTAAAAATTGCTCTTTGCCTAAGCTATGCACAGCACCTGTACTGAAACTGTGTAGCACATACATGTTAGCCAACAAATGCAATCCCGAATAATGACTAAATGTAGATAAAATCATTGGCAAACACTGATGATTACTAGCAGGGTTGGAAGCAAAATATCTAAGCATGAACGGTTGAAATCTGGGCACCCTCCACGCACAGAATACCAATACATTGATGGCACAGATAGGGGCAAAGACTTTTTGACCAGGCGTTAGTGAATTCCACCATTTATCAGCTATTTTCACTAAATTATGATTGCGAAAACTATCCGGATTGTTCCGCAGTGGTCGTTTGAGCATCTTGACGGCGTGTGCTCTCATATTCTCGTACTCCCATATCGCGCACCCCACAAAACTAGCACCCGAAAAACCCACGGTAAACAAGAACGGTTTCCACAGTTTTCTACCGCTCAAATCTCTAGTCTCCAGGTGCACGTCACTAAATGGAGTCTCCAAACTGCCCGGATTGACTTTTGTTTCGGTTTTAGTCGGCTCTGTAGTGTTCCTTTTGCGAAAATGTCGAACGTTCCTCGAAAGCTTGTTTTGCAGGTCTCGATGCAAGCTCAATGCGGTTCGCGTAGAACAAAGCTCTAATATTGTGCCAAGGTGATTTAATGCCATGATTTCCAATCACATAGGTTCGTTTATGCGGATAACTAAAAATTAAAATAAAAAAATCCGGTCATTTAACCTATTAACCGTCAATCACATTTATCAGTGTAGCCAACCCACACCGTACAAAGCGGTTACGTCAAAATTTTGCGTGACGTATGGTTCCCGGCTATTTTAAAGTAGAATTTCGTAAAAAGAACAGACATATATTCTCCAATATAAACTCTACATTTGATTGCATTAAAATTAGTATGTATAATGGCAAAAATTTTAAAGAATGCGACTGCGCTGCTTTTTGACTCTTGGTTTGGGGGCTAATGTCGGCCTGGGATCCTCTGGGACGGGCGGTACTGGTGGCGGCGTCTTCGGGATTATAACGTTTTGCAGGTCCATCAGCTGCAATCTCAAGTCCATCTGGACAAGCTCGTTGAGTTCTTCCGCATAATACTTGCTTAGGTTTTCGGTATTTCCTGCCGAGTTGTTTAATATCAGCGCAAGCTGGCGCAGTGGTATACTTACATACCAGCTAGTATATTCAATGCATCTACCCAGTGGCAGGCAGTTCTTTCGTCCTTGGCTATGAATTTAATCTTTTCCTCGTGATTGACTATGACAGAAAATGCTAGACCCGGTCTGTTGCCGCAACTGCAATAATTATTATAGTGATTAGTAAAAAAGAAGAAGAAGCATAAAAAATACTCGAAAAACTATATATATATATATATATATATATATATATATATATATATATATATATATATATATATATATATATATATATAGTCCTTTTCTTTGCCGATAATAGAGAAATTTTTAGAGTTACTATGAAAAAAATAGTAAATATGCACTGACTGTCATAGCGGCGTTTAACGTGGCTGCCGACAGTGTGTCGATGGAACTGTTCTCTTTTTACTGCAGTATTTTCTCAAAATAGGTTCAGATCCCGTTAACTATTCAGAGAAAAGCGAATTAAGTGTGTGCACAGATAGCACACAATATCCCCAGTATATCCGGTCAATGTCCCATTTAAGTCGCATGTCCCGGGACATGTCGAGGACATTCTTAGGATATACGTTAGCATATATACTAAGAATATACTGTAAAATACATTCCAGGGATACCCTCTGAATGGATAGCTTGCGAATTTACTTTACACGATATACCACAGATATCCTCTAAATAGATGGCCCGTGCGCCATAATGGGAACATTAGAATAGAAATAAGGGAAAAAAGTGAAAAACCGTAAAACAAAATGAAACCTAAAAAGTTAAATTTTGAGCAACTGAGTAGGAAAATACTTAGTTTTTTTGGGAGACATTTTATTGGCAACATTTTTGTGCATATCTACATCGACGTCAGTGTTGCCAAGTCCTAAAAAAAAACGGAATCAAACCTTTAAAATCAACTTGTTTTTATTATTTTTGGACTCGAACGAGACCAGACACGCTCTTTAATAAAAATGCCACAGAAAATACGGATTGCCTAAGTAAAAAGATTACAAAAACGTAAAAATAATATAGTTGTTTATAAGGTCCCATTTGACGTGCCGTGCCGGATTCGCTCGAGTCTCGTCGGCTTCTCTCCGTCTCGACGTCCGCCATCTTTTCAGCCTTGTTTTTGTCGGCGGTATACGGTATATGCTTTCGGTGTTTTTATTATTAGTATTATTAGTATTATTATTACTGAAGAACCAATAACTCATGTAAGTAAAGCTTTATGGTAATATATAAGATTTGATAAATTCTAACCTGATCAGGAGGCGGCAGCAGTTATGAGTTTGTAAAATAAGCTCTGACCCCGCAGATTTCAAATGAACTTGCAATAAAATTTAATTGGTTCGGCATGAAGAAAAAGAATAAATTTTCAAAATGAAAATTTTCCAAGTTAATATTCGGTAAGTAGATATTATGTTTTTTAAAAATAAATAGGATGTAAATATAATATAAATAAATTATATATTATGGCGATTGCTTAGTTGATACTTCTTTTAAGGAGTGATTGCTGGACCGAGTTAAGATAAAACTAACTTTCTCTTCATGCTTTTTGAGCAGTTAAATTTAGGCATACAAAACTAATTTTTTATTTAAATAAACAATGTTAGAGAAAATCCCCCAGAACAAAATTATATTTTTAATTATATAGTATAGTTAGTATATTTTTTTCTTAAAACGGATGCAAGAATCAGCCCCCAAAAACAAAGAATTAATTTTAGGAATCATCTTGCATAAAGTACAATTTTCATATTAAAATGGTTAATTCTGAAAAAGTTTTTCCTATTTTTTAAGGCTTGTTTTCATGGTGATAGTAACACGAGCAAAAAAAACTAGGAAACTCGCATGAAAGAGATCTTACCGATTAGAGTTTAATCAGCTGTGTATTTAATGAAATGAAATACATAAACGTATATATACCTACATCATCGTGGAAATTAGCATCTAAGATCACTTTCATGAGAGTACTATCAGAGTCAAATCAAGCCTTTGCGTAAAAGGCGGATGTAGGGATTTTATAAATCTGTTTTTTAAACCTATAAGATATCAGTCTCGTTTTTTCTAATAAAGTACAGATATACAAAACCTAACCAAAACTAAAATATTTTCAGATGCGGATAAGAAGGCTAACACATCACAAACCTCAAAAGAATGTGAGAATTCAATAGCTGCTTGGCTGAAAAGAGCTACTTTCACCAAAAAATGACGGAAGACCTTTCAAATATTAGTTATTCTGCAAGAGTTTAGTTCAAGATATAGTATATTACCCTATATTTAAGATACTTTGGGTTAGGTTGTTCTATATTTTTGCTATATTATAGACCTACAATTTTTTCATATCTACAATCGAAAAAAATGTGTATAAAATGTGTTTTATTATTGGTGTCAATCGGCAGTCCTTCACTTTTACTTTAATTGGAAAAAACTTGTGCATTTCAAATATCGCCTGCTATTCCAGTGATGACTTCACCAACCATACCCAATAGGTTAGTTCCATCACACGCGAGTACAAAATACTGGGGTAGAATTTTTGAAGTCGTACAACCAATTGGACTACTGGACATTACCTTTCCAGTATTTCTCATAGGCTGTTGGAAATAACCTAACCTAACTATAAGAAAGGTCTACTGGTATATCTATATAAGATCCTATATCCCCACAGTCGGATATACTAATGACGTCTCAACTAGTATAACTGGATATCCTTAGTATGTCCTAACAAACGTCCTACGGACATACGTATCTGATATACTGTGGACGTTCCAATTAGTAACATCGTATATCCTCGAGACGTCTTAAGGATGTCCCTTAGCTGAAACAGTATACCCCCATGTTCCGTCACATATCTCTAGGACGTTTCGCGGATGTCCTTGTGCTATTTGGGTGGAGATTGCCGTTCGGATGGAAAATAGCGCAATGGTCATGAAATATATCAGGAATATGAAATATACAGGGTGTTGCGAAAATTAATCAACGTCACTCACAGGTTCGCATGTTTGCAATTTTTGCCAACAACCACATGGGTGATGTCTTCTATCTTGTGCTTCTCCTGAAAATCCATCTTGTTGGTTTTCACGTCGCTCATGTTATAGACCGCGAGCTCTTTTTCGTTCCTGCAGAGTTGCACGAAAATGTTCCCGCTGGTTTTCTGCAACGTTTCGCTTCAAGACATAAAAAACATACGCAAATGGGATGGTAGCGCGAATTCGTACCTTTTCAAGGACTTTCGGGAAATGCGCTCCGACCAGCAGGCAGCGTATCCTGTTTTGGTCGACGAAAGTGCGATTTTGTAATGTCAGCCTCTCTTTCAGTTCGATCACGCACGGGTTGTGTTGTTGCAGGGTTTTGAACTCTTGTTCCTTGTCTCTCTGCGGAGACAACAGACTACTATTTTATGTTTAAAAAATGTCTGAATGTCTCTTTGTTTATTTGGCAAAAAACAACTTATTGAAATTAAGTTAGTAAAGAGCGTTCTAAAAAATATGCCTTACTTAGTTTACAATAAAGAATATATGCAATATTAACGTCACAGCTTAAATGATGCAAAAATATTAACCGTGGTCAAAACCTATCAGTTTGAAATTTACCAAGGCTTTTATTTATTACTGCAATTATTTTTTGTTTAGTTTGACATTTTAAAACGCGTTTTTGCTCAGTAAAACGAATTTTTTAAAAAATGGGTCGTCGGACTACAATTTCTGAGAGAAATTCAATTATTACTCATCACAGAAATAGATACATGCAAAGGGACATAGCCAAAATGGTAAATAAATGTACATCGACTGTTCAGCATATCATTGAGCGTTACTGTAACGAAAATAGGGTCGAGAATAAATCAAGGTTAGCTCCAGATAAGATCTTCAATAAACGTGAGGAAATATAGATTGTAAGAGAGGTATCAAATTATCCAATAAAAAGTGCTCCAAAGATGTCTGCCGAGCTGGAAAGACAGTTCTGATAAAGGTGTAACCCCAAAACAAGTCGACGAATCCTGCGAAAAAACAATTTACATGGTGGAACTGCCAGAAATAGGCCTTTCATTAGCCAAAGAAATAGATGCTTATTGATAAAGATTTGAAATTCTGGAATTCATTAATATTTGCCTATGAGACCAAAATAAATTTATTTGGAGCCGATGGAAAAATATCAGAATTAAAATTGAAAAAAGCAGGGTGGAGGTTCATTGAAGGAAACATGACCCAAAATGTGTATTTGGATATATTAAGACAGCAGGTTGCTAGTGCCCAAAAATTAAATATTTGTAACAATTATCGGTTGGTTGCTTTATAACTGACCAAATGTTATTAAGACACTAAAAAAAAAGTAAATAGTGTCCCAATATCTAACCGGAATGAATTAAAAGTAAAAATTGCTGGAGTCTGGAACACAGTTTCCCCGGAGTATATTAGAAAATGAATCAATACCCAGAAAACTACAAGCCGTTATCGATAATGAGGGAGGCCCTACTAAATATTAGCAGGAGTATTTCAAATTATGCAGTTGTTTTTCTCTATTGATTTGATTATATTTTGTTTTGTTTCATTTACGCTGTGACCTTAATACTGTATATAATTCAATTAATTCTTTATTGTTAACTAAGTAAGGCATATTTACTAACTTGATCTCAAGAGACATTCAAACCGGTTAGTTTTTGTTTTAGCGACTGCATCATTTAAACTGTGAGTCACTGTAGCTACTACGTATATATGTGGGGCATTTCATGTGCGCCTGCGCTAGCCATTAACCTCGCGTTCAACCAATAATAGTTTGCGTCGTTCGACAGCCAACATGGCCGCTGACACTTCGTCAATTCTTCGGTAGTATTTTGGTCAAAAATAATATGAAAAAGTCGTTTAATATAATCTGTTTGTTCTCTCCACTCGCATTTACCTGAACCTGTTCGACAACTGTCTTGAAAGATGTGTTCGACAGCATATTGGTTAGGTCTTTAAAGTCTTTGGGTTTGTTCTTTAACGCCATCTTCAGTTGTTTCTCCAAAATTTTCATCACCTGCAAATCGAGAGCATCGAAAATCCCTTCGAATGGCTGAGATTGTGCGTCTACCTTCGGGTAATCCGTTATGGTGGACGCTTTCATCTCTCGCCTGGTCTTTGACAGGAGCCACATGGTCCTGGAAAACAACTCCAAGAAGAACGGCGTCCTTGGCGAACAGTTAAACACTGCCGGTTGGTAAGAGGTGCTTTTGGCGTCTGGCTGGTCCATTCCGACGTGCAATATTTTCGCCAGTATTTTGACAATCCTGAAAGATACGGCCGGTTACGAAAAGTCTGCAGTTCCACGGCTTACTACCTAACAGTTTAAACTACAAAGTCTTTGATAATGATACTCACCTCTCACTGGTAACGAAAATGCCGGGTTCGTAGAGTTTCTCCTCGATCTGCGACTGGTGAAAATTGTTATAGTGGTACTTCTTGTAATGCCCTAAAATCTTTTTAAGCGATACCTGACACCACGGCATTGGGAAATGAGAATTGGGAAGCAGTTTTTTCGCAAAACTTACTCAGGGCGTCGAGCGTCAGCTGGTTAATGCTGAAGTTTTCGTAGTCGATGATTTCGTTGATTTTCCTCGACGATCTGTGGCTAGATTTAGAACCCTCGTCTGTCGCGAATGATGCCAGCGACAACCTGCTAGTTTTAAATTAAAAGAACATAAAATTCGTTACTTCTAAATGTGTGAAGCGAAACTCTGACAACCCAAACAATTTCGCGTTAAATCATTGTCAATTTAGGTTGGGATTGATTTAGATATTTAAGTATTATTTTTTCTTGGGGCTGTTGGGGAGGGGGGTGGGGAAGTTGAGTGAATTTTAACAACGAATACCTAGAATCGCTGGTATTGTTTAAAAACAAACTGTCGACCGAGTAGCGGTTGTGGTTTTGGAAATTTTCCTCGTCGAAGTCCATCAGAATTGTAATGCGTCTGATGTCTTCCGTGCACAGTTCGAATTCGTCTTTGTTGAACACCTGGTTGTCGTTTAGCGCGATCTCAGTTTGCAACGCTTCGGTTAGCAGGCTGGTGGGAAAAAAGCAAATGATTCGATTTGAAATCCGGTATTTCCCAGTTTAATTTATGTCCGACCGATATAAAATTAAACTCGACTATTTCTTCGTATCGTTATAGGCGAAAGGCGAAAATAAAAGGTCAATTTGACGAACCTGAAAATGTACGTTTGCAACACGTAGAGCTCGTGTTCCATGTTCCTTTCCAGGTCCCCTTTGAGTATGATGTGTTTGTACACGTTTTCCCTGTTCTTTCTCAGGTTCATCTCCTTAATTAGTGCCACTTTCTTGTCACCTTTGCAACACTTGATGATGGTATTGATGAGGAGTAGGGCGGAGTATTGGAGGTCGCCGTTGTCCTCGCTCCAAATGTACGGAACGATTTCGGTGATCGGGACTTCCCTTATTATCTGAAATCGACCAAAACATGAAGAGGTGACAATTTACTCAACCTTTACCGCCTCCGCAGCAATACCTTTATTTTCCACTGGTCGAACGCCGTATTTTTGCTGATGAGCACCTTCTGCAGCAAAGACAGACAGTATTTGGCTTCCTCGGCTGTCGTGTCTGAACATTTCAGAACGTTGAGGGTCTTCTGCAATATATTTTGGGACGTGTCTTCGATGTGGCCCTTCTGGAACAGGTGCACCACCGTTACCAGGAGAGGCAGTTGCTCCTCCGATTCGAGGATGGCGTCGGTGAACTCTTCTATTAAGCTCTTGTGTTTGCCCTCCTCAACTAAAACATACATTATGTCGTGAACATAGATAGATCTTTCACAGTACCGCGCGTCTTACCGAGCTCTTCGATAAATATTGGATCCAGGCACAGCCTGGATAGGTCTTTAAAGCATATGGGCCTTACGTTCTCGTCGTGGAGGTTGTTTACGATGCGTTGGGTCATGTATTTGATGGAAAACACCACCTTTAGGCAGTCGTTGTGTTTGATTGTGCCGAAGTTTGTTTCCGATATGTAATGGGTCGCCAGGGGATTGTCTTTGGTCGGTAGAAATTTGAGTCCGTAAACATGAGATTCTGGCTGTAAAACGTCTCGTCTCAGATCTCGGGTTCGCCAGAAAGCGGGAATTCAAAACGCGGCAATTATTAATTATAGTTATGAAAATTAATTAAAATTTCAAGGTGATTTCCAAAAAACTTTCAAGTATTTAAATCCATCTTAAGATTGCAAAATTTTCAAAGTGTTTTATTCCATTTTAAAATTTAGAAATTTCAATAGCGTCGTATTCCTTTTTTTTCTAAGAATCTTCTACAGGTTACTGTGATACTAATTACAAAACTTGTGGATTCCTCCTGCGTCGGTTATTGAGTCGAACTTGTTGACGTTTCGCAAATCATTCTGTTGGCTTCTTCAGAGCTTTACTAACAATTTCAGTTCACTTTAAAATTGTAAAATGAATTCCATACATTGTACTGAGGTGGCTTTTACTTGATGAAAATCCATTTATCAAAATAAATAAGAACTAAAAGTTCAGATTTTCACGAAATTATGTATATTCATATGACAACTCTTTCGAAAACACCGTGTCTTTATCAAATGTAATATTTGCAAACTACCTGCTACTATATATAACGAAAAATGACAATAAAACCTTACTTAATGTTGTGAGAATTTAAGTTTAATAATGGAGAAGTATTTAAATCTAACTGATCGTTAAGCAATACATTTGAATGTCTCATTTTGTTAATCTCCACGGCTTGCAATAAATTTAATTTTCTACTTTTTGTCGCTGTATGTAAAATGTCAAAATTGTCGTCAAAAATGTGTTTTTCTATGTTTAAGTGTGTAGCATAATTAGAATCTAGACTATTGTTTTTAAACGCTCTTATATGTTCGTTAATGCGTTTCTTGAAGTATCTACATGTTTGTCCAATATAAATTTTAGTACATGATGCACATTTCAATCTGCAGGCACCTGATTTTTGAGATTTTGGACACTTCGTTTTATTGTTTTTTGAAAATTTTCCTATTGTGTTGTTAGTTCTGACAGCTATTTTTAAACCACATTTTGACAAATGTTTTGAAACTTTTTCAGTTGGTTCTCCTGTGTATGTAATTGTTTTAAATTGTTCGTGTTCTGTATTAGTTTTCAGATAAATAGAGTTTGTGTTGTTGTTATCGATAATAGATATATTGTAGCCGTTGTTCAATTTTCGGTTGAGAGTGGCCTATTAAGAAGTCTGTGTATAAAAGAGTGAAATGCAGTCATTTTGTGTGTATATTCCAGTATTCCACCTATAGATTTGATAGATTTAGTAGATTTCAACTTCACTCGGAAAGATTTATTAGATTGCTTAATATTATCTTCAGACCTTAATTCAATACCCAGGAAAACTCTATTAATTTTTTAGACTTAACTATTACGAAAACACAAAACAAATTAGATTTTTCCATTTACCATAAACCTTCACACACAGACCCAGTGATACATAACAGCTCAAATCACTCCTATACACACAAAATGGCTGCATTTCACATTTTTATACACAGACTTCTTAATACGCCACTCTCAACAGAAAATTACAACAAAGAACTTAATATCATTAAACAAATTGCACTGAACAACGACTCCAATCCGTCCATTATCGATAAAATTATAAATAAAAAACAAATCCAGACAACATTTTTATCCGAAACCTAATACAGAACACGAATAATTTAAAACAATTACATACATAGGAGAATCAAGTGAAAAAGTTTCAAAATATTTGTCAAAATTTGGTTTAAAAATAGCTTTCAGAACTAACAACACAATAGGAAAATTTTTAAAAAACTATAAAACGAAGTGTCCAAAATCTCAAAAATCAGGTGTCTACAGGTTGAAATGCGGATCATGTCCAAAAATTTATAATGGACAAACAGATACATCCTTCAAGAAACGTATTAACGAACATAAAAGAGCGTTTAAATACAATAGTCTAGATTCGAACTATGCTACACGCTTAAACACAGAAAAACACATTTTTGACGACAATTTTGATATCTTTCATACAGCCACAAAAAGTAGAAAATGAAATTTATTGGAAGCTGTGACGATTAACAAAATGAGACATTCAAATGTGTTGCTTGCTCAATTAAAGTACCTCTTCATTATTAAAATTAAATTCTCACAACAACATTAAGTCAGGTTTTATTGTCATATGTGGATATATATAGTAGCAGGTAGTTTGTAAATAAATATTACATTCGATAAAGACACGGTGTTGTCGAAACAATTGTCATGTATATATATATATATATATATATATATATATATATATATATATATATATATATATATATATATATATATATATATATATATATATATATATATATATATATATATATATATATATATATATATATATATATATATATATATATATATATATATATATATATATATATATATATATATATATATATATATATATATATATATATATATATATATATATATATATATATATATATATATATATATATATATATATATATATATATATATATATATATATATATATATATATATATATATATATATATATATATTGAAAGCCTTGCGAAAACCGATGGAAGGACGTCAAACTTTTTAAAAATTACGACTGGAGTACCGCAAGGTTCCAGGCTCCAGCTGAAATACTAAAGCATCTTTTAGAAATTCTCTTTCCAGGAAGTTGTTTGATGAGCAATATTAGAATTTTGTATTTTTGTTTTTCTTCACTCTTTACTATCTCACGATGTAAATACGGTGATTTACAACGTTTGGATGTATTCTGTGTCTCAAATTCCTTGTAAACTCATGGTTTCTCGGTAATCAGCAGAGATGGAATCCAGATAGCAGTCAAAACTGATATACATAGATAATTTTAAGTAGGATGCATTGGTGTAGTCAATAATTCTTTTAGATAAACTGTTTTCGAGATATAGCCCAAATATAGTATTTTTTCAAAGTTAACATTCTGTTCTTTTTTTAAAATGATACTTCTGACTAAAACTAATCCTTAAAATTGCAATATCATAAGAAAAACTTAAGTTGGCCATGGAATTATAGGTATTCAAGTGCCCACAAGGAAAATTAAACAAAATTGAAAATGAATAACTATTGTTTATTCTGTACTTAATAAACTTAATAATATTAGCAAACTTGATAAAAATGAACAAATTTCTACATGACAAAAAAAACTGTTACCTCCCGAACAGACAATTGGCACATAGTGCTAATTCTTCTTAGAGCATTCGTCATTATCATATCCATTTTCCTGCCTGAATGGTTGCATCTTGTAGCTGCTCTCTAGCATTGACTGGATTAAGGCAAATAATGTTTTTTAAATTAGACAAAACGAAAAAAATTCAAGATTGAGAGATCTGGCGACCCCGGAGGACATCATACTGGTCCATTTGTACCAATTCAGCGATCGTCAAAAATTTCAAACAAAATTTCTGCTGAAAGTATATGCAGTATATGATTTAAAGTTGCTAGGTATCAATCTGCTGTTAAATTATTTTTGTTTTCCCTTTTGTTCCTAATATAAGGGACGATAAACCTAAACTTTCCTTGTTACTGACGTTCTCTTCTTAAAATTGTTTCAAAAATATCGCTAAAATATACATATAGGCTTCATCGAACCATTTAACCTTGCGATGGAAGTTGAGGTCATTTTGGGTTTTTTGGAGATGCCAGTAACAACAATTTTATCTAATCTAAATCTAAAATTGTAATAAAATGTAATATAGACCAGTGGAGATAATGATATCTCCAAAAACATATTATCTTTAGAATCGGAATTTGACTCAGTTGAGCTGATTTTTTTTATTACTATCATTATTATTATTAAGTAAAATTAATCAAATGGAAGCAATGAATCTAAATTTGTAACAAAACGTAATGTAGACTAGTAGAGATAATGCTGTTTCTATAAACATGTTATCTTTAGATTCGGAATTTGACTCAGTTGAGCTGATTTTTTTTTATTACTATCATTATTATTATTAAGTAAAATTAATCAAATGGAAGCAATGAATCAAAATTTGTAACAAAAAAACGTAATGTAGACTATTAGAAATAATGCTGTTTCTATAAACATATTATCTTTAGAATCGGAATTTGACTCAGTTGAGCTGTTTTTTTTTGTTACTACCATTATTATTATTAAGTAAAATTAATCAAATGGAAGCAATGAATCTAAATTTGTAACAAAACGTAATGAAGACTAGTAGAGATAATGCTGTTTCTATAAACATGTTATCTTTAGATTCGGAATTTGACTCAGTTGAGCTGATTTTTTTTTATTACTATCATTATTACTATTAAGTAAAATTAATCAAATGGAAGCAATGAATCTAAATTTGTAACAAAACGTAATGTAGACTACTAGAGATAATGCTGTTTCTATAAACATATTATCTTTAGAATCGGAATTTGACTCAGTTGAGCTTATTTTTTTTTATTACTATCATTATTATTATTAAGTAAAATAAATCAAATGGAAGCAATGAATCTAAATTTGCAACAAAACGTAATGTACACTAGTAGAAATAATGATGTTTCTATAAACATATTATCTTTAGAATCGGAATTTGACTCAGTTGAGTTTATTTTTTTTATTACTATTATTATTATTATTATTAAGCAAAATTAATCAAATTGAAACAATGAATCTGAAATTGTAATAAACTGTAATGTAGGCTAGTGAAGATAATGATGGTTCCATAAACATGTTATTATCTTTAGAATCGGAATTGGACTCAGTTGAGTTTATTTTCTTTATTACTATTATCATTAAGCAAAATTCATCAAATGGAAGTAATGAATCTAAAATTGTAATAAAATTTAATGTAGACTAGTGAAGATAACGGTGTTTCCATAAACATATCTTTAGAATCGGAATTTGACTAAATTGAATTTATTTTCTTTATTACTATTATTATTAAGCAAAACTAATCAAATTTAAGTAATGAATCTAAAATTTTAATAAAATGTGATGTGTAGTGGAGATAACGATGTTTCCATAAACATATTATTAACTTTAGAATTGGAATTTGACTCAGTTTAGTTTATTTTTTTTATTACTGTCATTGTTATTATTACGCAAAACTAATCAAATTGAAGTAATGAATCTAAAATTGTAATAAAATGTAATATAGACAAGTGGAGATGATAACGATGTTTCCATAGACATATTATTAGAATCGGAAATTGACTTAGTTGGGTTTATTACTATTATTAGAAAGCAAAATTGAAAAATTGACCAAATGGAAGTAATGAATCTAAAATTGTAAAATGTAATGTAGACTAGTGGGGATAACGATGTCATAAACATATTATTATCTTTAGAATCGGAATTTAACTTAGTTGAGTTTATTTTCTTTATTCATATTATTATTATTATTAAGCAAAATTAATGAAATGAGGGCAAAATTGTAATAAAACGTTTTCGCTGTTCCGCTGCGAAGACCGATTCCGGAGCTCCGAAAGCGAAACGAAATCGCAAAGCAAACGTCGCGTCGATCGCTCTCCGACGTGACTCACCAGTCCCGTTTTCCTGCAAATGAGTTTGACGTTTTCGAAAAGGCCGAGAGCCTTGTCGACGACGAACAGGATCTGCTCCTTGCTGTCGAACTTTTCGACCGATATTTTCGCCACTTCCGTCATATTTTCGGTAGCGTCGCGACACACGGTTATTAACGATTTCAATAAACGAATCGGCTCGCGCGTACGAGGTTATTAAAACAGGCAGGAGTCGCGGTTTCCTGCCGCGCGATCGCGCGCTGTCGACGGCGATAAGGCGCGATTAAGGGCAACTGATAAGGCGGTATCTTTCCGCCAAATTTGCTTAAGCCCGCGTCGAACGAGACGAATTAGCGGCCGCGCCCCGATTTTTTTTTCCAAGACGGCCGACACGCTTTCCAACACTTGGGCGCGAATTTTTGCCCCTGGGATTTCCCTGCGGCGTGAACGACCCCGCGGATTCGTTCGCAAAGAGCGGTAAAAGTCGATCGACTGGTCGCCCGGCGGCGTTTGTAAATTTGAAACGTTTTTGCCTGGTCGGAAAAAATTAATCGACTTTTTGCGGGCGGTATTCCTAAAAGCGGGAAAAATCGACGTTTTTTAATTTATTTTTTAGATTCTATTGACCACCATTCGTTTTATTATGTACAGGGTGGTCGAAAAGCCTTTCTGTAGGAGGAAACTAATCTCGGTGTCTCGGTGTCTCACTTGGGATGCTTTCATACCATCTTACGAGAAGTGGTCGTCTTTTTTTTATATGTATACGGTATGCTCCACTTAAGAACTACACCGTGCGCTTAATTTATCTTGATTACATTTTCTCTGTACCTTTTTTGTTTTTAGGGACATCAAGGCACAACCACAAAATGTTTTTTTCCAAATGACGTATGGTATATATATTAGCGATATCTTTTTTATGGCCGCCAAAAGTCACGTATGCTGATTCAGGGGATTTATTCAAGGTTGAAATCCTTACGCCTCCCCTTAAGTTAACATCAGAAGTGGGATAGTTGCGTGTCCAGTGTGGCAAAAGCAATACGAATTATTAGTGAAAATAGTGTGACATAAAAATGGCGGAAGACAAGTGCACACACGGTGCCCTGTCTTACAACAAATTCGAACGCATATAATGTGTCGAACTTCTGATACTTGTCGCAATAAAAACGAAACACCAAAACTAGTGCGAGAAGAGTTTCCAGGTTCATCCAAAGTACCAACTTAAAACCATTGTAAACCAAAATAATTGCGAGTCTAGTGTATCTCGGCAGATGCTCCCGCCCAAATCTATTCTATTGAGACTAAGGAAGTTATAAACGTGTTTATTTGGCCCTCATTGAACGTGGTGCCAGCAAGCAGGCATCTTTAGAAGAAAGCATCTTTGACGAAAATTCCAACATCAACTGTATGAAAAATTGTGAATAATCCCATTTCAGCGAGGAAAAAAAGAAGCGATGCTGACACTTTCTCGAGTGTAGATGAAAGTGATCAAGATATAATACGGGGTAAAATTTATCAGTTATATGAGGAACAAAGCGTGCCTACATTAGATGTCTTGATTAGGAGGCTTGAAAAAAATGAAACCGGTGTTAAATGTGGCAGAACTACCTTATGGAAGTGTATTCAACACATGGGTTTTAGATTTTTAAAAATTGACAAAAGGCGAGTTTTAATGGAATCTTTTAGAATTCGGAAATGCCGACTGGAATATCTAGAAAAAATCAGGATTTACAGAGAACAACAAAGGGCTGTTTACTTGGATGAAACCTGGTTCGACACTTATGATACCCCAAAAAAGGGTTAGGTTGACTCAACTGATAAGTGTAAAACAAACGCGCCATTAAAAAGAGCTAAAAGAATAAATATTTTGCATGCTGGCTCTAAAGATGGTTGGATTCCAAATGGACTTACTCTGTCTGCGAAAAATATTAAAGATTCTTCTCTGGATTACCATGAAGACACCACCGCTGATTTATTTGAAAGTTGGTTTAAAAACAAACTAGTTCCAAACATTCCTCCTAATAGCGTAATTGTAATGGACAATGCAAGTTATTACAGTAGACAGTTGACTAAAACCCCTTCCTCATGTGACAGAAAAGCAAGAAAAGACATTTATTTTCACCAAGATTATACCAAAAAGCAATTAATTGAGGTTCTACAAAGCTTGAACGTACGAAAGGAATACGTATGTGATAACTATGCAAAAAATCTAGGGCATACAGTTTTAAGGCTTCCCACCTTACCACTGTATAGTTAGTCCCATTGAACATGTTTGGCACCAACTGAAATTTGCCATTCTTCGTAACAATGTTTTTCCCCGTGTTAACTCCAATGTCCTCAAACTTATAGAAACCGAAGTTTTTAACATCCCTCCAAAAAGTTGGGCAAATTCTATTAAACATTTTGAAAAATTTTAAGCAATTTAAGTAGGTAATAAAAATAATTTGTAATTTTATTTTATATTTAAACATAAATGCATACATAAATAAATAAATATTGTTCAGTATCTTTCCTAACAAAACTCCAAATAATTTTAATTCTAAGCAAAGTACGGACCTGTTCGGCCATATTTCATTCTAACAGCGTGCCCGGGTCTTTCCTTAATTCGTATCAGTTAGTCACTTTCTTATATCTATGAACAGACTTCAAGCCCTATAGTTCGACCATAAAAAAAGAATGGTGAAGTTCGAATGTGCGTAGGTATGGAAGTCATCAAGAGAGTCGCATATTCAATATCTATGAAAACCATTTTGACTGCGGAGAGAAAAACATGGACTGTCGTACTTCCTGTCATAGAAGATAATATAAATTCAGTAACAGGTTACTCACCTAAGGCAGAAATCCGAGGTTGCTGGCCACTCAACAGCTCCTATTAGACGCGTCACCTAGCGATAACTTTGTTGATCCAGACAAAGCCGTTGCAGAGACTCTAGGGTCTTGTGGCTGTGGAAGATTCTCAGCTAGTCGGCGGAGGATAATTGAAACCAAAACACGGAGGACCATTTACTGTACGTGCAGTACCACCTAATGACCGATATGCGTTACAAAAACAAGGACGGCGGACTACTGTAGCTGCTTACGAACAACTGCGTGCATGGCTGTCTACGAATTCACAAAAAGTCGGTAACGTACAATTATTTACTTTTTGATTGCTTATCTAAAGTTAAAAAAAAAGTGAGATTAATTATGGCAATCCCATTATTAAAAAAAAGTGAGGTTAATAATGGCATTATTAAGTAGAGGAATAATGGCAATCCCATTATTTAAAAAAAAAAAAGTGTAAAACAGAGATAATGAAAATCCCATTATTGAATAAAAAAATATTTAAATTACGTTACAATAGCAACCCCGTTGTCTGTAATGAGTTAAACTTTAAATAGTAGCATTTACAAAAATTCTGTTGTTGGTTTCTAAAATTTTAGAAATAGCGCAAGGATGCTTTCAGAGCAGGATGGGCGTTTAGCGATATCTTTTATATGGCGGCCAAAAGTCCGTATGCTGAGTGAGGACGGACGAGCGGCGGCATGCCGTTCAAGCTACGCAAGAACGAACGGCAGTACGACGTACACCGAAGGGCCGAACGCCAATGTTGTAATAGGTAGACGAATAGATCAGTGCTTTGGTTTTTGGGGAGACTTTTATTCAGGGTTGAAACCATTACGTCTGTAAAATATCTAATTACCCACCGATCTAGCGTGCGGGAAGCGTCACGTTACCACGCCAGTTTCGTTGCCCATGAAGCCGAGCCACTTCGGACATTTCCGGGATTTTACCGCACGGATTTGGAAGCAATCGAATGTTTTCGGAGATATTTCCCACGCTTTGAATTTTGACGTTTGTCAATTCCGACGGTCATGTCAGTGAATGTATTCGTGTTGTTTTGCGAAAATGTACCCAAAAACTAACGGTCGTAGAAAAAGTATAGTATGCAACACGTTCGGTAAACTTTTTAACTCACTCGTTTATTAAAAACTCGCTCTGAGATCCACTAGTTAACCAGTTTTTGACAAATCGGCAAACATGGGAAATTTTTATATAATTTCAAAGAGTGCCCTGACTGACAAATAAAGATATGTTTATGTTTGACATATTAGTAAACAACGTTTTCATTATTGTTAAAATTATTTTCGCGAATTTAGAATCCGTGAAAAGAGTGATGTGCTTCAAGTATACTTTCTGAATAATAAAAGACCAACCTCACCTCGTCGTCAGTATATTAGACTTTATCCAGAGCGGCGAGCTCCTTCAATATTTCCAAGGCTGGCAAAGAAGGTTGCAGAAAACGGTAACGTATTAAATGCTAAAAAGGTATGCCGGAATCATAATGTTTTAAATGAAGAAAATAAGGCAAACATATTAGGATTCCATGAAACACATCCAGTTTCCTCTATTACTGATTATATGAAGAGACAGGTATTTCTCGGGGATCAGTCCACTCAGTTTTGAAAGGATGTAATTTCGTTGAATTTTTTAAATAGACATAACACGAATAATAATTTTTTGAAAACATTTTATGGAGTGATAAAAGTTTGTTCACTACAAGAAAGACAAAATACAGGATATTGGTATTTAAATAATACTAGACAAATACATGAAATAAAAACCCAGGGGTACCAATGAATTAATATATATTGTGGTGTTATAGACGGGCATATTTTGGGTCCGATATTTACAGATCAAAACTTAACTGGACAAGATTATTTGCAACTCTTAGAGCACCAAATAGAACAATATATAGAAGATTCATTAATAAATATATCAGCGCTGATTATATGGCAGCAAGACGGTGTCCCTCCTTACAATGTTGTGCAAGTTAAAAATTTTCTTAACAAGGAATATCCCAAGGGTTGGATAGGAAACGGCGATTTTTTTCTTTTGGGAACACATAAAAAATCACGTGCACAGAACTCCTTGTAATAATGACGTGGAACTTCGGCATAGGATTTCAGAGACAATCAATCAAATGCAAAACATCATACAATTAGATTGTATGAGAAATGTGTTCAGGAAAATGGTGGTCACATACAGCAGCACTATTTAGAATAGTTAAAGAATTTTTTACTTTAGTGTGTCTTGTCATTTTTTTTCTACTTTAATTTGTAAATTATATAAAAATTTCCGATTTTTGCCGATTTGTCAAAAACTAGTGTACTAACATATAAAGTGTGATACATCATTGTAATTGGAACAAGATATTCTATTAAACACATATATAATGTAGGCTTA